AGTAGCACTCTAATCATTTGTTAAGACATTGATATATGGTGTGGTAATTTTAAGTGAAAAATAAAAATAATTTATTATTCGTTTGTGAATCATATCTATTAAATAAATTAAAAAAAAAAAAGAAAAATTGGTTTGTTAAAATAATAAAATAAATATATTAATGATGGATAAATGCAGTGCGTGTTGAATCACAACATTCGACAATGTTGAATATAATAATTTCAATTGGTTTAGCAAATTGATTTTGTGATTTGGTTGTGGTCCAAATAGAAAAGACTAATTTATTATTATTATTATTATTATTATTATGTGTGTGTGTGAATTGGGACAAGGTGAGTACGAGACAGTCGGTCCATAAGCTAATCATAACAGTTTTGATAATTATAATGTTTCTTAACATAATTACACACAAAACACCAAATATTAGGGTGTGTGTTTTTTTTGGTTTATTTTTAAAAAATTTGTTTGTGTTTTGTATTAAAATAATGTTTGATAAAATAGTTTGTAAAAAAATATCTTTTTAAAAACGCAAAGTTCAAATAATAAAATTTGAAAAACTTTTGATAAAAAAAACACACTCTAATTGTTTGATTTTGATTTAAAATTTTTGTTGTAAATAATACTCCCTCCGTTTCAAATTGCATCTCTGGGTGTCTGGGTTAACGTAGATACGAGAATTTATGATATGTACAATTAGTAGATAAGTAATAATGTATTAGTGAAAATAAAATTTAAAATGAGATTAAAGTGTGTAATTATTTAAAAAAAAAATGATATGAGACGTGAGACAGACATAAACGACAATATGAACATAATAGGCGGCACGGAGAGAACATTTGAATGTGATATTATATTAGAAAAATATATATATTTTTATTAAAAAATCATACAACTTGAATAATATGACTTGAGTTTGAAACTCAAAACACACTGACTCTAAAATTGTATTCTTTGTCGGTTTGGTTTCAATTTTTTTTTTCTTTTTATACAACAATAATAATTTCCTCTTTTTCTAAAAATAAATAAATAAATAAATTATTACAACACAACTACTATTAAAAATAAAAATTCAAACTAAACTAAAAAAAAAAAAAAAGCGCTTATTTTGAAAAATCAGCACAAAAATAAAACCCGTGTTGTCTAATTTATATATACAATATATAAGTGTTGTATGAATATTTATTATATTGAATTAATGGTAATATATATTATATGAAACTATGCCATGTGTTATTCATTCAAACATTTTAATTTATAAATCATATTTGTTAATTATATCGTATTTTATTTTTAAATTATATTTGTGTGTTGTCTATCAACCATTTGCGTGTGTACATTGTAAGTAATAATATTATAAAAATGTATGTAGGGTGATTTGTGGATATGAATCATATGAAATATATATATATATATATATATGAGAGAATCGGATTTGTAGTAGATTTTATTCATTTAGGAAATGGAGCTCAAATTATTTATTACCCTAAATACCCGACAATATGTTATGTTGGTGGAGGAACAAATATTATATATTTATTTATTTGCTTATTTAATTGCATATATGTCATCACTCATATCTCACCCACAACACAACATATTTGGAAAATTTTTAAATGCTTTTTAATTTATACAGTTATTATGTATTTTGTATAGCATTTTCATAGGCTAATTAATTTTTATTAACTCTCTAACTATTCTTATATATATTAATTTACAAAAATATGTTAAATTAGAAGATTTAATAGTGTTGAATATTGCTAACCTAACATATGGGTTATTATCACTATTGACCAAAAAAAAAAAAATTAATAACCAGCAGCTAGTTGATATTACCTCTTTGTTTTCTTAATCGCATCGGATAAATTTCGGCTAAACCTAATAACCTACAAATTAGGTCCGACAAAACAAATCATACTGGACTAACCATATATGGTAGATAAGATCTGGAGACGTCGAGATTTGGATTCATGACCTGACGGTCACGAATTTATCCCCCCAACCCAACTTGAGTCTATAGATAAGAAAGTTTCCATAAAGATAAATTGTCACATGCCTACATTCACATTCAAAAAATAAATAAATAAATAATGCATGCATGCATATATATATATATATATATATTTGCACATGAAGTCCAAATTTATGTCTACTTGGAGGCAACACACTTTCGAGTGTCTCTACATAGGCTTATCTTATGGTACTATGCTATTGCTATGGCTATGCCTTTTGTAATTTTACACACACTCACACACCACACACTGAGACATATAGTCTTCCATATCTAAGCAAAAGTTGATGTATACCAACCTTCATGTGGCCAAATTTCACTTCAAACCAACTAAAAGCTAAACACACCATTATATTCCACCCCATGTGAATTCCTTTTTTTAAAAAAAACTAATAATGGGCATAGGCATGGAATTATAGAGACAGAATATATATATATATATGTAAATAAAGGGGTGTTTGACAATAGAAATTTTATAACAATATATTAGGATGATTATTTTCTGCACAAACAATATGCTGACACTGATGCTTGCCCACTCTCTAGTGCTAAAAGTTCATTAATGGGGTAAATAATATGTAGTGAAAGCACATATATGAGAACCACATATAATATTGATCCACAACATATAATTTGTATCAATATAGTACAAATACAAAATAAGAAGTTACCTGACTATAATTTATACAGCACGGGAATTTCAATAAACAGGTATATTCATAAAACATGCTGTAAAGTATGAACTGTCGGCACATGTTTTCAAATAACACAATATCTATTGTATTATATTATTTGTTTATTTTTTTATATATTGACTATGGTACTGATTTGTCCTAGTCAGGATAATCCGTAGTGAATGATGTTTTGTTTGGCAATGAAAAGTAGCACATTGTAAAGCCTTGCTTTGCTCTAATATTAAATAGAGAATCATTTGGATTTTGTCCCTATTCTAGGGTTCTATAGCTTCAAACACCAATAAGACTTGAAGGGAAACTTTTCTTTCCTTCTTTAAATATATATAAAAGGAAAGTGATGTTTCCCACCATTTTAGACCACTAAGGATCAAGAAAACAATAGAATACAACACCTCTAGCTTTATTAGGAGCTTAAAATTAGGCTTGAAATTAGGCAGAGGGGCGAAATGCATTTACAAAATTTGAAATTTATGATACTAGAATCTTATGTTATAGCTAGGCAAGAACATTTTAAGCACATTTAGCTCCAAGTTTATCTAGAAAATCGATAAAGAGATATCTAGAGACGATTTGATAAGCTTGTACCACAAATTCAATCAAGAGAAATTTTCGGGTCGTTTTCTTTGTTTCAAACTGATGTTTACAAAATAGATATGTCACTAATTTTATTCTACACTAGTGCACATTAGTATGAACCACAACCCACTACTTCGATAAATCAAACATCATTTGAATAAAACACACCAAATAATACTACTAATAATAATATTTCGAATCTTGACAATTCAAGTCATTGTCCAAAGAATTATACCCTCATATCTTGAAAGTGTAACCAACAACACAAATTTTTTGAAAAGATGCTATATGTGACTTGTTGAGAGAGACTTGAGATGAGGAAGCCAAAAAAAATATAAAATGGAAAAAGGCTTGACAGATAAGCATAATTAATTCACCTTTCTTGCCCCTATAATGATTCTAGCTAGTTTCATATAATCTTATGGATGTCATGTGTTGGATTTTAGACTATACTTGCACGTCCATGAACAACTATATGATCAGTCGTTGTAAAGGCAAAAAGAAAAATAAAATGGGCCCTGAAAACTCACCTCATCCACCATAATCTTAATTCCATGTCAAGTAACAATCACCATGAACTATCAAGGGCTGTTTCCAGAAGGATCACTGCTGGTGACAAAACTTAAACAAAATTATTTCCACGAGATTAGAGAGAAATATCCAGCAGTATTAAAAATTAAAAATAAAAGATTACATTTGATAATAAAGTAGAAGGACAAGAACAAATAATTGTGTGTAACTAAGAATTATAAAATAATGAGCAAAAAGATGGCTTTTTTGTTGTGTCTAACTCAAGTACTCTATTCCAGAAGACTTTTTGCTCACTTTTGAAGAAAATGGACAGGAAAAGAACAAAATAATAGGCAGATTATGCTGGCCAAACTTACCTAGCCAGAAGAGGGTAAGGGGTCAAACAAGAAACTGAACTTTCTTGTAACAGCATTCAGCAATGCAGCATTTTGGTAGGGGCCTCCCCCCCAAGCTTTGCACTCTCTCCTGCACAAAAACCAAATGCTTTAATTTTAATTTTTTTAATGCAAATGTGTGTTCGTGGTTGGGGGTGGGAAAATGAATGCAGTAGTAACTTGGGAAAAGCAAAATTAAATAAACTCTGGAACAATGCTGGATAGCTACTATAACAAGAGTATAAATAAATAAATAAAAATTAAAAACAGGGAGAAAATTGACTTGTCATTGGCACTGATAATTAGCAACTTAGTAGGGGACCCAAAGGCTCTGGCTGGGACTCTCTCTACAATAATTCATCGATCAAAACCTGACAAGTGAGGATGGATTACAACATGCAGGATCATATTATACTGTGCAGAAAATGAAGTCATATGAATTCCAAACATGTGAAAAGGAAAATGTTAAAGAAGAAAACTGTTGGTTGGCTGGTCCAGAGTAGTATTAATATCTCCTCTTTGAAGTAGCACAAATTAAAGAATGATGCATAAAATCAAAGGTACAGTCAGGAAGATATGAAGAGGTTGCTGGAGATATGGGACCAAGTGAGGATGAAACGTGTAGCCACCCCATATCATGGGGTAGACCAGATTCCTATAATTAATTATGTGGGATTTCAATAAAAATCCCATTTTTAGTTTTCACTAAATTTAATAAGCTACTTACTTTTACCGTGCATATATACTCAACACTTATCTTCCTTCCACTGATAAATGTGTATAAGATGTAATGTATACATATACATTACATATACATATATATGTATATATATATAGAGAGAGAGAGAGAGGGAGGGAGGGAGGTAATTAAAGGGTGGACAATATATTTCACAAACTCCATATTTCAACATCTCTTGACTCCTTAACCTATGTTTCCTTTAAATTCTCTTTCATTTCTTGCATTTCTCAGCCTATTCTTCCCCACCACCCTCTTACTTTAGAGAGAGAGAGAGAGATTGTGTAGGAAGGAAAATCACCTCTCACCCTCCTTCCAATCTTGTTTATACATAAGAGATGTTCATCAGACAATCTTATTGCAGATTCAAGCATAAAGCGGTGGCTCTAAGGCTTCTCTTAGTTCTCTTACTTGGCTCTACGCTATACAGAGAGCATTTGGGTTCGAATCACAACCCCGAAGCCATTCCTAGAGACTACCCCTCCTTGATCCCAACAATGGTGAGTTCATCAATGGCAAAGATGACATTCGATGGCTACCTAAGCTTTGACAATATCGAACATGCAGCAAAGGATTTTGGCAACATATACCATCTAATGCCGTCAGCAGTTTTACATCCGAAATCTGTTTCAGATATATCTTGCATCATAAAACATGTATTTAATCTAGGCTTGAATTCTGACCTCACGGTAGCCGCCAGGGGCCATGGCCACTCCGTGGAAGGCCAGGCACAGGCGGACCGGGGTATTGTAATCAATATGGAATCGCTTCGTGTACCTGATATGAGCTTTCACACTGGAAAGCATCCTTATGTGGAAGTGTCAGCTGGAGAACTTTGGATTGATATTTTGCATGAGAGTCTCAAAAAGGGACTTGCACCGAAATCCTGGACAGATTATCTTCATCTTACAGTCGGAGGGACATTGTCGAATGCTGGAATCAGCGGGCAAGCATTCCGGCATGGGCCGCAGATCAACAATGTTTACCAGCTGCAAGTTGTTACAGGTTAAATCGGTTACATTGCATGCATAATTATTTTTATTTTCAATTCAAACTGATCGACAAATGCAGGAGGAAATAATACATACATCTTCACAGAGAGTTTTCTGAGATTAATACAGGTGTCTCTGTGCAGGTAGAGGCGAAGTTGTAACATGTTCGGAAGAGCAGAACACTGATCTATTCCACGCTGTCCTTGGAGGATTGGGGCAATTCGGAATTATCACCCGGGCTCGAATTTCCCTTCAGCCAGCTCCAAAAATGGTTATTCCCTGATCAGAATAAAAACCAGGGCATTATTTAGCATGTAGGATATTATATATCAACCTTACATCGTGTTTCTCTTGTAACAGGTTAAATGGATAAGGGCACTGTACTCAGACTTCTCGACATTCACCAAAGATCAAGAAGATCTCTTAGCATCTGAAAAGTCCTTCGATTACATAGAGGGGTTCGTCATCATAAACAAAACAGGTCTACTGAATAACTGGAGATCATCTTTCATTCCCAAAGACCCGGTTCAGGCAGAAGAGTTCACTTCCGAAGGTAGGATTCTGTACTGCCTGGAAGTTGCAAAATACTTCACCCCACAAGAGGAGGATCATATCGATCAGGTGAGATGTTTTCTGAACTGTAATCGCATACAGCTACTCGAAAATGGAAATCCTCACCTTCATTTGCTGGTGTGCAGGATGTCGAAAACATGCTATCAGGACTAAATTACATTAAATCTACACTCTTCCAGGCACAAGTGCCTTACGTCGATTTCCTTGATAGAGTGCATGTTTCCGAAATGAAACTCCGGGAACAAGGCTTGTGGGAGGTGCCTCATCCATGGATCAATCTTCTTGTTCCAAAAAGCAGTATTCATGAATTTGCTAAAAATGTGTTTGGGAGCATTGTGAAAGACACCAGCAATGGCCCTGTACTGATCTACCCTGTCAACCAATCAAGGTACTAATCCCTTTAACCCACCCCCGTCCCCATCCCCATCTCCAGCACATTCCTTTTTGTGATATCCTAACATTCTTAAACAGGTGGAAGAACACAACATCTTTGATTACGCCGGGGGAGGATGTATTCTACTTGGTTGCTTTCCTATCCTCAGCAGTACCATTTTCGACAGGAAAGGATGGATTAGATTACATTGTCAGCCAAAACAATAGAATTCTGGATTTGTGTGAAAAGCCCCATCTCGGAATCAAACAGTATTTGCCACATTACAGCACTACAGAGGAGTGGAAAACTCACTTTGGCACTCACTGGGAAGCTTTCTCGAGAAGAAAATTGACCTACGATCCCCTGGCAATTCTGGCTCCTGGACATGGAATCTTCCAAAGAGCACGCGCCTTCGGACGACAGTGACCTCCAAATTGGAAGTTACTGGATGAACAGAGCTGCAAAAAAACGCAAGCACATAAATCAGAAGCCAACTAAATGTACAATAGAACAATTTTTGGGATTCATGCCTCTGATTTGAACACCATATCAAATGTGCTTTTCATGATTAAAGCATCCCATTCCCACCCTCGATAAAAACGTAGAAAGGCATTAATAATTGTTCCACTGTCAATTTGAGAAATAAGTTCATCAGTCTGGTTTGGTTTCTACCGTGGTGAATCGATTCTAATTTCTACAGCCGTAGGGTTAACCAGAGAATAGACGGTGAGGATTGAATGAGATTGCGACTGTACAACGCTCACTTCGATTGCACTGCAATTTATATACATTGTATATTCCTTAATCGCAGATGCGAATTATTAATCGAACAATACTTCCATGAAGAAGACGAAGAGCAGACACGAGGCTGCTGTTCAATCCGATGGATAATTATTTCACTGTCGCCTACGTTTAGGAAGAAGAAGAAGCACAAAATGCACTTGGACATTAATTGTTGAGTGTTGCAGCGAAAACGACGACGAAGAAGCAGCAGAAGCAAAATTGATCGGTAGCAGTAAAACAATGGAAAATCGAAGTGCAGTATGCAGGAAGCTATGCAAACAACTGAAATTTTGTCAAACCATGAGTTACGCCGTAAAATTGTCGACGATAGATATTCTGCAGCGAACCGGCGATGTAACACAAACACCGGCGACGATGTTTCCGGTGACGAAGATCCTATTCTTAATTCGGAATTTTGGTGGAATAAAAAAACACCTTAAACGTACTTATAATTATATAATTACTTCTATGTGTTTATTTAACCAAAATTTCCCAATTTTTTTTTTTTTTTTAAAAAAAAATGTTTCTTGAACACATTTATTTTTTTAGGGAAAAAATAATAGCAGCCCCTATAACCAACATATATTATAATATTATTTTGTTCCATATTAAATTTTTTATTTATATTTGGTGTTATTATTTTTTACATTAAAAATATTTTTAAAATTTTGTGATATTTTTTTATTATATTTTGATATAATAATTAATATTTAAAATTCTATAAAAAAATAAATGAAAAGTTTAATTTTGAATAAAAAAAATATAACATAAAACATGCTATAAATTATCTATAAATATAACTGGTCGCACATACATTGAGACTATTATTAATTTTTTTTCCCATATTCTTTTATATAAGACCAAAATTACATATAGAATTATATTATAACGCAACATTTGTATTTTGATAATTTTTTTTTATATTATGATCAAAATTGATACATTTTAGTTATATATATATTTTTTATTATATTTGAACTATTATTCATTTTTTTTTCATATTTTTTTATATATATTATTACATTAAATTAATACTTAAATTTAAAATTTAAATCAAAATCAAACAAATTTGTATCACCATCTTTAATAATAATAAGAGTAAATTGTACAGACTCCGGAGGCCTCCGAATCTTATTTGTCACAAATGGTTCGCACAACTTATTTTATTGAACTTAATTTGCAAATTATTACATTTGACCAAAAATTTATCTAGAGCGCACTCCAGAGATAGTAGTCGTTGCTTATGAGCCGTCTTAAAAAAATAAAATAAAATAAATTGTAATATTTTATTATATTGAATGTAAACATGTATGTTGATATTTTTATCTTTGATTTTATGTAAATAATTATATTTGTAACGGGTGGGTCGGTTCGGGTCGTACCCGACCCATGTTGCCATCCTATTCAGACGCAGGTGCATCCAGTTAGTGTGAGGATGTCCGCAGGCGATCAAATGGCGTCAAAAACTTTTCAAATTAGGGCAATTACGCTCCATCCCTAAACCCTCCTCCTCCGTCGGTGCTCTGTATCCCCCAACGCTCGAGAATGGCCGGCGATGGGGACATGGGTGGCTGGACTGATCTCCTGCATTCCTCTTCCAAGCTTATAGAACAAGCTGCTCCTTCCGCGCAGTTTCCTCCGCTTCAGGTATCGCTGGAATTTCCTCCTACTGTGGAAAAATGCTGTGTTTGCGTTACTTCTGGCTTAATTTGACTCGTTTTGCTGTGGTTTTGTTGGGAAAAAAAATAGAGGAATTTGGATCAGTTGGAGGCGCTTTCGAAGAAGCTGAAAGCAAAAACTCTACGAGCGGAAGCTCCTTCTCAGTCTATTGCAGCTACTAGGTATTTTGTTTCCCTGGTTGTTAACGAGTTGATTTTACTATTTTTATTGTATTGAAGGGTTTTGCTGCTGTTTTTGTTAACATTGGGATGGTATCCAGGGTTTAGCTGGGAAGATGTGTAGAATCTAATTGACCAATTTGATGGATCGTATATAATGTAATCTAATTAACGAGAATCAAGGATGGATCCTGGTGTTTTGAAAGGAGGCTGAGTGTCCGTAAAAAACAAACACACAATTATTAAGATCAACATTGTAGGAATAATTGTTTAAACCAAATAAATGTTTTTAGAAGCATCTTGAAATTCTAGACCAACATTGCTTGAATCATAAGATTTTTTTTTTTTGAACTGATCATATATGATGTAGGCTAATATGCCACAGGTTGTGATTTGTTGTACCGTTAACATTGCTGTGTTGCATTTTCAGTCCTTTGTAAAATAAACTGGTTATAATGCCCAGGTTATTAGCTCGAGAGGGATTAAATGCAGAGCAGCTAGCTCGTGATCTGAAGTCCTTTGAGTTGAAGGTAAACTCTTTTTTGCCGAGCATTTCTCTTGATCTTATTACAAGCGTATGTATGCTCTGGCAGTTGACCATTTGGGTTGTCAAAAATGTCTCGTGTAACCATTTTCATGTATCAACGGGAACACCTACTTTATTAATGGGCAATTAGGTTTTGAAGGTGGTTGTGTTTTTTTTCTGAATGTGGATGCTAGATAAAAAAAATACCATTTTAACTTTATGTTTTACATCCATGATCCATTGGACATCATATGGATAATTTTATTGATGTGCATTCTATCTTGGTTAATAGCTGTCATTTCTTGTTTTCTTCTTATATTTACCCAATTCCGTACACACACATATTCACACACCTATATTTGCGTATATTCACCTTTATACTTGACTGTTTTGGTGTTCATTCACATTTCAAAGACAACATTTGAAGATGTCTTTCCTGCTGAGGCAACTACAGTGGAGGAGTATCTTCAACAGGTAGTTTCATCCCTTGATATCATAAGGACAACCAGTAATAGAATGCAAACGTCTTGGTAGATTTTCCTTGTTAATGGTCATGTGATTGTTGCAACTTAGGTCCATGAAATGGCAATGATCTCAGCTGTTCAGGAAGCTCAGAAGGACAACCTGAGAAGTTTCAATGATTACATGATGTCTGTTTTGGAGGTGAGTATCTGGATCATGATTACTGACTCTTTGGTGTACCTGGCTGACAAGTGACATATCTTAACTTTAAGTCCCATGTCCTGTTTCCATGATGATTTTCTTCGTAGGATGACTGGCAAAAGGAAAAAAGGGATTTTCTACAGAGCTTGGTCCGAATTACACCACTGCCTAGAACAAATCCTCATGACTCTGGCTCTGGGTTTAATCGCCTGGCTCAAGTTTTGCCTGCGGCTTCTAGTCCCCAGGTTTCATCTGGTCCATCTATCATAGACCGTGCACCTTCAGCTAGTAGACCTGTTATTGAAAGAAAGGCTGCAGCTTATGCGGAAGTTGTGAAGAACCTTAACAATGCAAGGGAAAACGGCGTAGCCTTCAAGGTAGGAGATTAGTAAAAACTTTATCATGAACTTTCTTTTTAAGTCATTAGGACTGCAGACTAAGTGTATTGGCCTAACTTATTTGACTTCTCCATGATTACATTTGTTTTCTTTGATTTATTTATTCAAGATTAGAAAATGGCTTCTGTGCTATTTTTGAGTTAGGCCTGGTGCAAACGTAAAATCGTGGAAACTAATTGTTCATTTTTCTCAGCCTGCGGCAGCTTTCAAAAATGCATGTGATAATCTGAAACTTGATGGATCTGGTGCAAAATCTGTAAGCATGATGAAAATATGGCACCTAATTATGGTATGTTGCAGATGATCTTTGTTCCTGTTCTCTTTTTCTCTGTTCTGGCAGTTAGTTATTTGTTACTAGAAAGAAGTTGTGACTTTTTCTGGGTTCCTAAATTATATTTTTGCCAGACATTAATGGGCGAGGATAGAGCTGTTCAACGGAATGTTTCTAAAAGAATGTCCCTGGTAATAGGAGCGAGGCACCATCTGGAATGGGGACATGAGAAGCATGTGAAGGATCTGATTCAGAGTCATCCCGCTCAGGTAAGGAATAAGTAGATATTACTAAGTACTTATTCACCTGTCTGGGGCTTGCAGTATGCATTACATTTCTTCTGAGGGATTCGGAAACAATTGCAGTGTATCATATTGTGTTGCTTGAACTTTTTATGAATTTCATCTCCATTGCCTCACAGTGCAGTCCAATTTACAAGTTGTAGTTCATCTGTTGATATGATTGTAGGCTTCACTTGGTGGGGCTGTTGGAAATCTACAAAGGATTCACGCATTCCTTCGGGTTTGTTTGAGCTTACTTCTATGTTGGGAATGTATATAAATACAAAAGCAGACTTACACTAAGCACACTATTTATATGCATTTTGCAGATTCGCCTAAGGGATTATGGAGTTCTGGATTTCGATGCGGGCGATACCCGTCGACAACCTCCAATAGATACCACTTGGCAGCAGGTTTGGAACTGTTCTAATTGTACTAAGGTTCCTAGATAAATTAGGGGTGTGCATGTGACATGCACTCTAGAACAAAATCAAGCACCTTCCCATTACTTTAAACTGTAGGTGGATGGTCATTTAACATAGTATTAGAGTGGGGAGGTCTTATGATCAAATCCTGGTGCCATCCATTACTGAAAAATTGTAACATGATAGGGCTTTGTGGAAAGAATACTGCTTGCATGCCCGGGATTACTTTGAAGATACTGAATTTGAATATCCATATATATAACATGATCCATTTCACATGAACTTAAGTTTTTAAGTTGGATAGTAATTAATATAAACAATTGTTTGTTTAATCTCCTTTCAAGTATAATGTTATCATAACAATTTATACATGGCATTCTTGTTAAACTAATCCCTCCTTTGTTTTTCTCTGTTAAACCATAGATATATTTTTGCTTGAGAACTGGATATTATGATGATGCTAGAGAAGTTGCTCGAGCATCTCGTGTCTCACAGCAATTCACCCCTCTGGTATGTTTGGGTTGAACATACTTCATCACTACATTGCCCGTTCTTGTTCTTGTTCTTGTTCTTGCTCTTTTTTTAAAAAATAAATATATTGTTTTCCTATCGGACTAGCTTGCTGAGTGGATTACTACTGGAGGTATGGTATCAGCAGAAACTGCTGCTGCTGCTTCTGAAGAATGTGAGAAAATACAACGGATGGTTGACCGAGTTGGAAGACCTTCATATGACAAGAAGAAATTGCTCTTGTATGCTATTATATCTGGTTCCAGGCGACTGATAGATCGACTTCTCAGAGAATTGCCTACCATTTTTAATACAATTGAGGATTTCTTATGGTTCATGTTGTCTGCTGTTCGAGAAAGCCCTGATGGCTCATCTTATTCAGTTTCCCGCAGTGATGGATCACCCCCCTACAGCTTGGAAGATCTGCAGGCTTATCTTAATAAGTTTGAACCATCATATTATACAAAGAATGGGAAAGACCCTTTGGTGTATCCATATGTTTTGCTTTTAAGCATCCAGCTTCTTCCTGCTGTTCTTCATTTGTCTAAAGATGTAGGAGACGAGGCGTATAGTGTTGATTCTGTGCACATATCAATAGTGTTGGCAGACTATGGTGTTCTCTCTGAAGGTTCTGGGCCAGGAACAAAAATGGGAGTGATGGATGCTTTTGCTGAGGCTTCTAGCATAATTAGGCAGTATGGGGCTGCTTATTTGCGCCATGGTGACCTGCTAATGGCACTGGAGTATTATGTTCAAGCTGCTGCTGCTGTGGGTGGGGGGCATTTGTCATGGATTGGAAGAGGAAATGTGGATCAACAAAGGCAGCGGATGCTGATGTTGAAGCAACTTCTTATGGAGATTCTGCTTCGTGATGGTGGCATATTTTTGTTGCTTGGCTCAAGGGGTAGAGGGGAAGAGGGCCAGTTGGCAAGGTTTTTCACTGATGGGGCGACAAGACATCAGTTTTTGGTTGAAGCTGCTCGGCAGTGTCAAGATGCTGGTTTGTATGATAAGGTATTATGTGTGGGATTTTATAAATAAATTAAATCTTCCACTGTCTTAAGCTTAATAATTTATATCTTGAGCCAATACAAATTGTCCTGATTTTTTAGTTAGATTCATTCATATATGGTCTATACACGTCAAAATGGTCAAACAAGCTGATGCTCATTATCTGTATGTAATCTGGTTTCGTGTATCCATGATACAGCTCTTTTCTCTCACTTATAATTTTGGAGTGCGATGCATTATTGCTATGGGTATCATTTGGCACTCTAAACAGAAACGTACATTCTTATACACATCTCCTTTTCCTGCGAGTCTCCTGCATTATATATTGATATTACTCTTTGAATATTTAACTGTTTATCTTGTTTTTCCGTGTATTGATTTTCTAATGATGCTTTGTATTCAATGAGATTAGTGCACCAAAGTCATCAATTAATCTAGTTTATCTACCTTTTCCATATTCCAGTCCATTGAAATTCAGAAAAGGATTGGAGCATTTTCGTCTGCATTATACACAATAAACAAGTGCTTATCAGAGGCCATTTCTGCCCTATCACGTGGTGGACTAGATGGAGAAAGCAGAATTACGGGACTCATACATACTGGCAATGAGATCCTGGAGACATTCAAATATTCCCCTGAAATCAGGTTCTTTCCGGGCTTTCTAATCAAATTACGTTTACTTTTTTGTTTAGAGTATGCTACATTAATTTCCAACATGATGCACCTTCAATATATGGTTTCTTTTTTTGAAATTGTGTTTTATGATATGATGACCATCTTAGGACATTAAACTTGTTATTACTCATATTATTTTCTTAACAAGAAGGCCTGAGATCAATCAAACTCTATAGACTGCAATCTGGTTATCTCTCTAAGAGATTGGTTCCACTGGAAGTTCTTACATATTTTAGGAAATGATGAGATTAAACTAGAATATTCCTTGTTGTGCTCATCATGACCTGTTTTTTAACATCTCGATTAGAAGTATGCAGTAGTACTCGGAAAATGTTAGAATGTGTTCACTTAGTGTTTTTAAATTAGAATGATTTTTTTTTTTTTGTTAGTTATTGAGAATTGTATTAGTATTTTGGGGGATTGTGATAAGGTTTGAGTGAAATAATTTTTATTATTGTTCAAAATATGTTGTGAGATATTATTTTTTTATTGGAAAATTGTAAAAAAAAATTGGGGGGAATTTGTAATTAGAATCATCAAGTTTGGGCTAAAATATAAATGTAACTTCTAAAGTAATCCATGAGTTATTTTGTCTCTTAATAATTCTACAAGTACACAAAAAATTTAAGATGGATTTGTTTTTTTATGTTAGAAAGAGGAATCATATTGGTAATATAAAAAGTACTCCCTCCGTCCCAATACAAATTCATGTTTATCATTTTTGTTCGTATCAAAACAATAGTTTTATTTCCATAAATAATTATATCACTATAAAATTACCCATATTTTTTCATTATTATTACACAATTACCACTACTTTTTACCCTAATACACTCGCAAGGGCAAAATATCTTTTACTTGTACTCTTATCCACTACCAATATAATATCAATATTCTTTAAATCTCGTACCAAACACAACCCAAACTATAGTTCTGGGATTGTGGGAGTAATATTTGAATTGTCAACTTTTTGTGATGAATAAAGAAGATATATTATAAAGCGTTAATTTATGTATATATTGTATTTTTTAATAACATATATGGGAATAGTGTCTCTCATAAATTCCAAGTGAACAAACCTAGTGTTTAAGCTGGTGATAAATTTTGCTTGTTCTACACTCTGAGCTTCTTGCCTGTGCAGCATTTCGATGCAAAAATTGCACATATTTCTTTATAACTTCTGAAATTATTGTCCGATAAATTTCCAAATATTGTTGTCAACTGAATATTGGATATGAACTCTGTCGGCATCCATGTATTCTTCTCCAGTCCACAAGAGAGAGCCAGCGTGATGGAGCAACAGACTGTCACGAGACAGCTCGAGGCAATCTTAGCCATCAACAAACTAGCAAGATCCGGGAACCATCTGGATGCCCTGAGGGAGGTCGCAAAGCTTCCATTTCTTCCCCTCGACCCCAGAGGACCTGACTTGGTCACCGACACTTTCCAAAATCTATCGCCTCACGTCGAAGCCTGTGTGCCCGGGCTGCTCAAAGATGCCCTCAACTGTTTGGATAATGTGAAGGACACAGACGGCTCCCTTCGTGCCTTGAGAGCAAAGGTCTGATTAAGCTTCTTCTTGTTGTCCTGACCATTTCTGGAACTGTGTTTGTTATTCGAACTGTATATTTTTACTTATTTTGCAGATCGCCAACTTGCTCGCCAGCAACTTGAACAGAAACTGGCCGCGCGATTTGTACGACAAGGTTAGCCGGAGCCTGTGATTTAGGCAAGGTGCAGTTTATACAGAATCAATCTATGCAGGTAATTACTGATAACAAGTTTAGATCTTTATGGTTAAATTATATTTGAAATGATTTCATCAAATTCTTTAGTTTCAATTTTAAAATTTCAGAAGTTGGTTATGAATTTCAAAACTATCCTTTTTAATATTTCAAATGCTTGCTGCAAGCAAATATAGGATTTTAATTGTGATGTATTTCAAATTTATTTATTTAACGGGGCTTTCAGAGTTCTGTTCTATATTTGAAAAGGTACACAAAAGGCAATTGACAAACTTGGTTATGTTTTTTTGTTTTTTTTTTAGGTATCATTTGTGCTCTAAAGGATCCGAGGCTTATCACCAAATCGGGTAATTTGGTATATTATTTTATGTTTTCGGGTATTTTGAATCTGAAATTTTTTAAATGAAAAAGATGTTTTTTATGTGCTGTTTTGAATTTATGAAACCATTATAAATATGCAATTAATATGATCATTTAAATAATAAAAAAAACTAATCTTTATACATATTTTAAATTAAAGATAACTATATATCAATAGGTTTGAAAAAAGAAAAACAACTATCGTTAAAGCTCAATACTCCTTATTATATATTGATTTGTAGTTAAAAAAAGAAAAAAACAAAAACAAAAACAAAAACAAAAAGATTCTTATTAGTATTGTTTAATATAAAAATAATAATATTTGTGTAATATATTATAAATTATAAGTGTATTTATTACGTTACATAGATAAAATTAGTAATAAATTAGGAAATAGCAGATATGTAATTTTAGGCAGGTGAAGTAACGACACATTCTTGCTCACCGTCCCTGTATAAAGTATACAGGGTTAATTAAAGTTAATATTTCAGTAAAAATATACTTCATCCGTTTGGAAAATTTCGAATAATGGGATTGGTACAAAAATTAAAAAATAAATATTTTATTAAAGAAATGATAAAAACAAATAGAAATGTACTAGTTTGAAATATTTTTAAAAATTTAGTTAGAAATTAGAAAAAATAAAGAGATAAAAGGTGATAAGGTGGTGGTTTTGTTGTAAATAAATGTTAATAGAAGATAATAGTTAAAAGTTAAAATTTGTATTTTACTAAAATTAATAATGAGCTTAATTTAGCTGATATATTAAACTTTAAAAAAAATAATAAATAAAGTGAAAGTAAAGTAAGGGAGGAGGAGAATGTTATTTATTTTCTTGGCACACGTGGTATCATAGTACTATTTAAATTAAAAATAAAAAAAAATATATTCAAATTCAACAAATTATTATGTCCTAATCAAGAAGGGGCATATAATAACAAAAACCCTTCAATTAAATTTTATTCTAATTTACTCAAAATTAGTAAATTATTTTTAAAACTAATATAATATCTAATTTTCTCCATCCTTTCATGAACGTTGTTCTCTTCTTTATTTCATTGTCCTCTGCTATGTGTTGTTATCTCCTATTGCTGGCCTCCTTTGTCCTTTCTCCGGGTTCAATCACTTGTAATATTTAAAATATATTTTTCTTTAGTGTAAAATATTTTTCTTTATTCTATTTAGGTTTTCTAAATAATGTTATTTATTTCGACTGATTTTATTATTGACGCATAGAAAAATATGTATATGTATATATTTTGATGGTGTTTGTTGGTGGGTTTTAGTTTTTTTTTTGAATTTTTGAACAGTAAAAAGTTGAATTTGAATAGTTGTTTGATGTAATGTAATATAAATAGAGGTTGACTTGATATTTTGAATGCAAGATAAATTTATAGTATAATATAAAAAATAAAAAAATTGTTTGATTTGATATTTTTTTAAAGATAAAAGGAATTTGAATAGTATGTTTTCAATTTTTATAATTTAATACTAAAAATACATAATTTATTGGACACTATAAAATATTTTTTATTGGAATAGTAAAAGAAAAAAAGTAACAATTTTCAAATTACTCAGGTGTTTTTGCCAATTAGTTGATAACTTTTAGCTGTTGGTTGATTCAATTAGTTGTTAGCTTATTCAATTAGCTGGTTTGACTAACTGATTTAATTAGCAATATGTATTAAAGTGTTTGGTAAAACAACTGTTTGACATTAGCTATTTATATATAAAATGACTATCAAGGACATTGATATATTTTTTTAAAAAATATTTAATTTTGTTCATTTTGATTTGAAATTTATGAGAACTTTTATTATTAATTATTGAAATTTATAAAAATATTATACAATGTTTATTTTTAATTTTATTATTTAGATCTGAGAAAATTGTTTATACTAAAAGATAATACTCTCTCCGGCAGACACGGTATTTTAGAAGGGGTGTAATTAGTAGATAATTAAGAATGTATTAGTGAAAATAATTATCCTATAATATAAATAATTATAAATTAAGATTAAGATAACTAATTAGTTTAATTAAAATTTTAAAAAATATATATAAAATTAAAAAGTTTAAAATGAGATTAAAGTGTATAATCATTTTCCAAAAAAGGAAAGTGACATGGTATGTGGGACGGACAGAAACGGCAACGTGGACATGGTATGTGGGACGAATGGAGTACTTTTTTATTAAAATTATGTAAAATATAAAATAATAAATACTTCGTATATATATGTTTATTATGTTAATTATTATTTTAATATATATAAATAAATTAATAACCTTTGTTTTTTATAATTTATATGTAATAATTAATAATAGTAATTATTTTAAATTTACAAAAATAAATATATAATTTAATAAATAAATATATTAAAAATAATTAATAAATACTGCTATAAAAATATATTTATATATATAAAATAAATATTTAAGTTTTAAGAATATATAAGGAATAACGAAAAAATCTTTCAAAATACAAGATAGATAAACTTTTCAAAAATTAGTTTTTTCTTTTTTCAAAAAATTCTTTTAAAAAACTAATTTACCAAACACAATTTTTTTTTTTTTACGATCAAACAGTTAAAAACTGTTTCTCAAACACCATCTTAATAATAATAATAATAAATTTAATTCACATTAAATTATTTTATCTTGTAATATGAGCTATAAAGGAGTCGAGCTCGAGCCGCGAAGTGCCGCCGGGCTGGGTTGCCTTCCGCACTCGGGCCCCCAACTCTTCGGCCCGCTTTCTTATCTCCTTCCCTTCTTCCGACACCATCAATCTCCTCAGAACACTCGATATAATCGACGCTTCCACGACCCTCGTACTACAACTCCATTCTTTAACAACAATTCCCGTCTTCAGCACTTGTGACACGAGTCGCGCGTTCATCGGCTGGTCCGAATGCATCGGCCACGTCGCCATCGGCACGCCCATCGAAATACTTTCGACGCAGGAATTCCACCCGCAGTGACTCAGGAACCCGCCCGTCGACGGATGGGCCAAAATCTCCAATTGCGGCGCCCAATCCCGGACCACCATCCCGACACTTTTCGTCCTCTCTTCGAACCCGTCGGGTAGCTCCGGCCGCCTAACTTCCCTGTCATCATCGTGAACGTTCGCCTTATCGGCTTCTCTCAACACCCAAAGGAACTTCACTTTGCTATCCTCCAACCCTTTCGCCAACTCGATAATCTCGGCGTTTGTGAACGAAGTCATCGTCCCGAACGACACGTACGCGATCGATTTCGGGTCTTGCTCGTCAAGCCACTCTAAGCATTCGTGTCGCGTCCTCGGTGTCCCGACGACGTCCTTATTTGGCATCGGAAGAGTCGGCCCTACGGCCCAAAGCTTTCTTCTCCCGACGTACTCAGTTTTTTCTAACATCTCCAAAAACATCGCCTCCATCGCTCTACACGTGTTGAAGATGTCTCCCGACTTCGGCGCCATTCGTTCTAACGCCTCGATTTGTGCCGCCTGGAACTCCTTAACTTCTTCCTGCAATAATTCGTCGACGGAAGGTAAACCCTCCCAAAATTCCGCCACCGTCGACGCTTTTTTCTCGACGTCTTTCAAATAGACCATAGCCATGAAAGACGCCGAGACACAAGGGAGCACGTACGGCTCGGCGTTCGCAATCGAGATGACATCTTGGACCACGGCCGCCATGCAGAAGTCGTGGATCACGACGACTCTCTCGAACTTGGTCGACATTTCCCGAAGGTACGCGGCGACCGGCTCGCGCATGGATAACATGACCCTAAACATCGGAATGAAATGCGTCGGGAATTTTGTTGGCCCGTCGGGGTCGGGATTGGGCGACGGGATCGGCGGAAATTGGATGTCGTGGAAACGGATTCTAGCCATGTCTCGAGGGCTCATTTTGTCGGCGCAACGGAGTCGAGCTTGATGGTTGTGGGCGGCGAATGCGAGGTAGTGAATCGGGATGCCGTAGGAGGCGACGAGGCAAGAAAATTGCAACATTTGGTTGAGATGGCCTTGCGCCGGGAGGGGCACGGCGACGACGAGGGCTCGCTCCAGATCTCGATCGACGACATTGTCTTCTTTTTTCATTGTAAGATTTTCTCTCGAGAGTTACAAAGTTTTTTTTGGATGTCTTTATCTATAGATGCTATAGAAGTAGGAGTATATATTCCTAGTAAGGTGAGAGTATATATAGAGAGTTTTGATATATGTTTCTTCGACGGTTTGGATTTTGAATTGAGATTTGAATAGTAAAATTTTTGAATTTGAACAGAGTAATAATGTAATTTTAATAGTAAAAATTTTGAATTTGAATAAAGGTATAATGTGATATAAATGGATGTTGATGTAATATTTTGAATGTAAAATTAATTTTTAGTATAACATAACAAAAAATAAAAAATAAATTTTTAATTTGATATATTTTTATAGAAAAAATTAATAAACAGTGGAAACCTTTTAAAATCTATCAATCTAAAATATCTTTAGCCCTTTTCACATATGTGATGGAGAGTTATTGAAGAGTAAAATGAATTTCAAGCTTTGTGTTTTTTTGTTGTTTTTGGATTAAAGTGATTTTTATATTTTCTTCTTTTGTGTAAAAGGCATTCGTTTTGTTATTTCTGTATGTTCAAATCAAAGATATCCTTTTTTCTTTTCTTTTCTTTTCTTTTTTTTTTTTTTGTTTTTTTTTTTTAAAAAAAGGTACCTCCTAATTAAATATGAAAGTATCATTTATTTTATTCTTTTAATTCCACTTCAGTAGTAAAATAATTTTACTACACTATATATTTATAAAATATTAATATATTCAAATTTTTGTGCAAAAGTCAAATGAGTATATTTAATTAAAAAAAGTATATATTTATAATATAAAAAATAATATTTACTCCGTTTTAAAATTATAGTCTTAATTAGATTGGATATGATTTAAAAAATATTGATATTATATTGATAGTTGGTAGAAAATATGGATAAAAGATTTTTTTGTCCTTGTGAGTGTATTAGTGTAAAAAGTAATGGCAATTGTGTAATGAAAAAAAAAAAAAAAAAAAAGGTAGTTTTATGGTGATATAATTATTGGAAATATGACTATTGTTTTGGAATAGACAAAAATGGTAAACATGACTATTGTATTGGAACGGAGGATGGGAGTATAGATTGAATTGATGATTTTTTTAACGTGTAGAGTACATATTTATTTATATACATTGTTCATATATATATATATATATATTACATTTTTTTAATAATATTTATGGATAATTAAAAATACATGTCTGTTTGGTTCAAATGTGTCGGATGAGAGAGATTTTAATAGAACGGAAGGGAGGCGAAAAAGAATTATGGCGTGTTTGACAATTAGCTGATAGAGGTTAGCTGTTAGCTGATTCAATTAGCTGATAGTTGTTAGCTGATTCAATTAGCTGGTTTGACTAGCTGATTCGATTAGTTGTTTGTATTAAAATGTTTGGTAAAATAACTGTTTGATATTAGCTGTTTATACGTAAAATGACAATTGAGGACATTTCTATTTTGTTCTTGTTTCTAATATATTCAATTATGTTCTTTTGAGTTTAGAATGTTCAAAATTTTTTGTTATTAGTTATTGAAAATTTTAAAAGTGTTATAAAAATATTTATTTTTATTACAGTTAGATTTAGAAAATAATATATTTTTATTAAAATATATAAATAGTTTTTTTTATTGAAAATGATGTAAAATATAAAATAATAAATTTTTCGTATATATATTTATTATGTTAGTTATCGATTAGTTCATTATATTTATAATTTTCAATAAATTTAATTTATTTTTAGTATAAAATTTATATAATGTAATTTTAATAAAAAAATAAATTATTAATATTTATATATATTTATATTTTTTATTTTATGTTGATTTTAATAAATTTATATGTTTTACAATTAAAATAATTTTTATATAAAAATTAATTATTTTAAATTTATAAAAGTAAAACTATAATATAATAAAATATTCTAATATAATTAATAAATAATCAAAATATATTTATTTGTGTAAAATATATAATAAATTTTTAAGGGCATATAAGGAATAAAAAAAAAATCTACAGAAAAATCTATTTCAAAACGCTGGGTAAGTTAGCTTTTCATAAATTAGTTTTTTGGGTCCAAAAAGCTATTCCAAAAAGCTAATTTACCAAACACCTAAATTAACTTTTTGACTGGTCAAACAGCTAAAAGCTGTTCAATTAGCTAAAAGTTCTTCAAAAAGCTATTTGTCAAACACCCCCTTATTATTTTTTTTATTATTTAAATTATTGTTTTTTTTAATATTATTAACATAATTTTTCATATATAATATAAAAAATACATTCATCTGAAAATGCAAATAATGAGTTTGTTTTATTAGATAATTTTAAAGGTATTTTTTTATGTAAAGTATAAAATTTTGTGTAAAGAATATAAAAAAATGAATATATATATTAATATTTTTAAAAAAAACTTATGGGAGAAAAAGTTAAAATAACACACCCAATGTACAAAGCCTATTTTTACTTGTGAAATTTTACATCTCATTTTACTATTTTAATTTTATTTTTTCTCCAAAAATATTAAATGAAATACCTATTTTTTTATTTTATTACGCTAAAATATAATCTATCCATTCCACTTTATTTGTCCACTATTTCCATATTCCGTCCATCCCACATAAATTCACTCTTTCCTTTTTCCGGAAATATATATATATACATTTTAATCATATATATTAAATTTCATAATCTATAATTTATTATTTTAATTAAACTATTTAATTATTTTAATCTTAATATACAATTACTTTAATTATATCATAATTATTTTTACTAATATATTTATTAATTACATCATACCTAAAACTATGTGTCGTAGCTAAAGTAGACAAATTAATAGAAACATAAATAATAATTTATATTCAAAACATTACATCAATACATATTTATGGCCCTATTAAATAATTACTCCATTTGTCTCAAACACCCTACAATATTTCTTTTTTGGTATATCTCAAACATCATGCAACATTTTCAAAATAAGAAATAATTAATTATACTTAATTCCTACCCCACACTTTATCCCGTCGCATCATCCAAATAAAAAAAATAAAATATATATTTATCTCTCCATCACATCACCTAATTTCTAAATTATCTTACTTAGACCATCCGCAATGGAGATACTCGTTTTTTGGTATCTCAAATACTTTTTCCTATCTACGTCACTTTCTCTCTCTGCCACGTCATCGGAGATATTCTCTTCTATTTTATATTCACAACCAAGATACTCATCCTAATATTTTAATAAATTTTTATTTCATATTATATATATGTATATATTATTTTTTAATTATAATTTTAATTTGTAGTATTAACTATTCATTTAATTAAATTTAGTTTTAATTGCTTTAAAATTTATAATTATATTTTATTTAATAAATTAAATTAAATTTACTAATATTGATTTGTTCAATAGAATTATATAATACTTGTATTTATATATTTTAAATTTTAAATTGATAAAATATATTCAATATTGATATCATTTTGTAGAATACAAAATATTATAAATTATAAAAATACTAAAAAATTTAAATATAACTTATTCAATATTATGAATTGTAAAAATACTACAAAATTTAAAAATAAACATGACTCTAGAATCTCATCTTCTCAGCATCTCTGCAAGCACGGTTCTCTTATTTTTTTTTTTATCTTTTTCTTAAATAATTATGCGCCCATTGCGGATGCTCTTATACTACCCACCTAAAAATTTATGCCAAAAATAAATATTACACCTTGTTTTGGACGGATTTAGTACAAGACACACATCCCTACATTTGTATTAAAAAAATCTGAATTGTATGAATTGAAAAAAAACACGTGCCTGTGCAGTTGGGAGGAAACAAACAAAAATAAAAAAGAAAGGCAATGAGGTGATCCACGTCTCTTTAACTTATGGTCACACACACGATGGTTCATCGTTATTTTGTTATTATTAGATTTTTATAAAAATAAAAAATGTAAGGGTGTGTTTGTTTGGTGATTGGATTTTAAATATACTATTTATCTCTTTTTTTTTTCTCAAAAATATCAAATCAAATACTTATTTTTTTATTTTTTATATTATACTAAAAATTAATTTTACATCTAAAATATCACATCAACACTTATTTATATCACATCATACAACTATTCAAATTCAAAATTTTTATTATTCAAATTTCAATTCAAAATTCAAAACCTCAATCAAACACACCCTAAATTTATTTTCAGTATAAGATTTAAATAATGTTTTTAAGGTCATGAATCAGTTGTTCATTCGGTCAAATCATATATACTCGATATATTTATAATATATATTGTACTATGTATAAATATATATTGGTCATTCATATGATATATGTTGATTAGAATAAATTAGCACACGCTTATTTGACCGAATTCGCAACCTATATTTAAAGAGTAATTTACGAATATAGGATTTATTTTATTTTAATTTTAAATAAAAATTATTATTATTTAACTTGTACAACTCTAAAAAAATACTATATACTACTTCCAGTGATAAGAATTATATTTAATTTTGAATATTAATTACTATATTAAAATATATTGCAAACCAAAGAGTAAAAATATAATAACACTTTTATTAGTATTTTATAATATAAATAAGTAAAATTTGCATAATAAATTATACAAATATAAGAATATTTCATTATTACTTACAATGACGCAAGATGATGTAAATGAACTTTGTTTACCAACAAAGATAGCATTAATTTTTCTTGTCACATATCATACTAAAATATTATTTAAACCAAATTTTAAATAAAAAAATTTAATTTCAAGCATGTATTTATAAATTTTAAGTATTTCTTGTTGCGATATATCAAAATTTGTAAATATATTACTCCCTCTGTCCCAAGTGTTATGTCAGTGTTACCGTAGATATGAGAATTTATAAAAGATATGATTAATAAATAATTATGAATGTATTAGTAAAATTAATTACAATACAATACAAATAATTACAGATTAATGTTAAAAGATAATTAATTAGTCTAATAAAAATTTAAAGGGTAAACAGTTTTTTTAGTCCGTTACTGACCCTTATCATTTTAGTCCTCTAAGTGAAGTCTGTCGCAAATTAGTCTCATAAGTGAAAATTTTTTGCTATTTTAGTCCTCTGGCGCCGGAGACGCCCACGTGGCTCACCGGAGGTGACGTGTCCGCCAGGTGTCCCGCCAGGTCAGCGATACTTAGCGGACACGTGGATTTATTTTATTTTTTTCATTTTTTTATAATTTTTATAATTTTTTTTAATTGTACCAAATAAAAAAATAAAAAAATACAAATAAAATTTAAAATAAATTAAAAATAAGTTTTAAAAAAATTTTAAAAAATGAAAAAAAAAAAAAAAAATCCACGTGTTCGCCAGGTCAGCGACACCTGGCGGATACGTCACCTCCGGCGAGCCACGCGGGCATCTCCGGCGCCGGAAGACTAAAATAGCGAAAATTTTTCACTTATGGGATTAGTTTTCGACGTGCTCCACTTACGGGACTAAAATGATAAATGAGTCCACTTACGGGACTAAAAAACAGTTTATCCAAATTTAAAATATGGAGTATGAATTATAAAATTTAAAATATAATTAAAATGTATAATATTTTTCAAAAAAAAAATAATATAATATGTGAGACGAACGAAAATAAAAAGTATGACATTATATGTGGAACGAATTGAGTATGACATTATATGTGCGCGATCAAAAGATGCTTGAATTGTTGAGGCTATTGTCTGAGACAACCATCACCACGGTTGTTGACAACAAAGATAATCTTTGCATTCATTTGCAGCTACGGTTGAAGGTAGAGCTGACAAAAATCGACACGGCATAACAATCCGATACAAATTCGATATGAAATAATTTGGTTTAGGTCAAATATTTCAACACGATTATGTATACGGATTGACACGAACTCGATACAATAATAAACGTGTTTGGTTAGTGTTGAGACTCTCAACTCAAACTGATCCGACAATCCGATTATAATATATTAATATTTAATTAATATATTTATTATATACTTAAAATAATTATAATTTAATAATTAGTCCACGTATTAATTTAAACTAAGTTCAATTTTAAATAATTCAACATAATTCATTGTACATGTTACAAATCAACAAAAACTAACATAATACGACAACATGACAAAAAATAATTGAATTTCAATTAACAATTTCGACTTAATTATATATACGGGTCAACACGAACCCGATACGATAATGAAAGAGTTGAGTTAGAATTGAGTTATTTAACCCGTTTAAAGTATTCAACTTGACACGAATGAATCAATTGTCAGCTCTAATTGAAGGGATCTCACTATTACGTAATTCGAGTTGCATCGTTTCAAACTTTGAAAAAAAAAATGATGAAATTTAAAATAATTATTGGCAAAATTGCCCATAACTCCCTTGTGGTTTCGAAACTCAGCGTAAATTTCCTTTCTATTTTAAAAATTGCATGACGCCCCTTTATACTTTAAAAAATGTTGCATGAAACCACTTTGTGGTTTCGAAACTCAGCATAAATCCCCATTTTACTTTAAAAAATTGCATGACGCTCACTTATACTTTCAAAAATATTGCATAAAACCCCCTGCCATGCAAAATATATAGATAGGAAATCATTTTCTTATCACACGAGGAAAGTTTCGTGGTGGTGGGCAACGTTTTTTAAAGTATAACTGTATAAGGGGGTACCATGCAATTTTTAAAGTAAAGAGAGATTTTACGTTGAATTTCAAAACTACGTGGGAGTTATAAACAATTTTACCATAATTATTTAACAAATTTTGAGACATTGTTATTTACTAATTTTACCTTTCGTATTTATTTTGTTGGATATACCTGTACCTGTATTTCTTTTGATTGGTTTAGAAAAAAAATTAATTTGAATTTGATATTAAAGTAACGTCTGATGAGATATTTTATAAGAAAAAAATATATTTTTTTAGAAAAATATAAAGTTAAAATAGTACTATAAAAAACTGGTGGTACCCTTTTACTTTCCAATTTTGTCTTTACATATTTGTTTGGTATCTTTTTATACTTTAGTATGTTGAGAGGATAATGTAATTGAAATAAAAAAAAAAAAAAAAAGAAAAAATAAATAAATAAATATTTTTTTTGAAATAAATTTAAAAATAAATTTAATTATAATATTAAATAAAAGTTACTATATAGTTTGATTTTTTATTATTTTTTTGAAGAAAGTAAATTATTGTAAATTACTGGGGTTTGTTTATTTTGTATTTTAGTTTGATTTTTTTTTTTTTTTATATGAGATATAGGAAATTATATAAATGATACTCTGTATAAAAATAATAAGAATATGTAATATATTAATTTTTTGAGAAATATGTATAGGAATTTTCACAAAGCAAACAAAACCGTGATTCCTTATGAATATATTATAATCTCATTCCGTTCCATTTAACATGTCCATATTTTCGTTTCTGTTCGTCCCACATCTCATGTCAAATTTTTTTTTTGAAATAATTACAGAATCTTAATTTATAATTATTTATATTATAGGATAATTATTTTTCATTAATACATTCTTAATTATCACCCGAACATGCAATGTGAGACGGTGAGAGTATATTCTTTTGGTCTCATTTTGTTTGTCCTTTTTTTAGGCAAAATTGTTTATAATACATTATTTGAAAAATCAACACTATATTTTCCTTGGTTTATAAATTACATAGTATTCCCTTCGGCTTTAAGGATCTCATTTACATTTTGCGTCAATGTACTTAATATTAAAAAATATTTTTATATTTGAATAATTTTTTGCAAAAATATCATTATAATAGTATTATAAGACACTAAGTGTTTTTATCATTTTTCTTAATTTGTACTACGTTTATATATAATAATTAATATTAAAAAATTAACATGAAAAAAAAAGTAAATGAGATCTTTAAAACCGAACGGATGTAGTATTATTTTTAATATTTTTTAAAAATATTATATAACATCTCTTAGAAATTGAGATTATTAATTTCTAAGATATTATACAGAATCCCTTAAAAAAAATTTATACAATATTTCAAAAATCTATACAAATTTTAAATTACAATAAAAAATAGTACAAACTTTTTAAACAACATATTACAAGTAATTTTGCCTTTTTCTTTCTTTACATGTATTTTTGGTTTGTATGATACTATAATTTTAACAATTTTTTAATAATTTATGTGAGAAGCAATTGGGCTTGTCGTTAAGCCCAGCCCAATTTCAGATAATTAGAAGCGCTTATTTTATTTATTTATTTTTATTATTATTAATTTTATTTTCTCCTGACTCCCACCGCCCCCCAGTTTCCCGCCGGCTCCGCCTCCGCCGCCGCGTGCTCACTCGCTCTCCGGTCTGCCTGCTTCAATCAAACCCAATCGAATAGGTATTGTACTTGCAAAGTAAAATCGTGTCGTTGCTATTGTTGTTTTAGAAATATTTGGCTGAAGTGTCACTAATTTTGTAGTGGAAGATCTTTTTGGGGCTTAAGCTTGGTTCATGGCGTTAGAGTTAATATTCTTCATTGTAGCCACAAATTAATCTGTTGTAATTATTGAATTTCTCGTTCGTTCTTGCCATTTCAATTGTGAGTTGGATCAGTTCTAGTGTTCACTGAAATCATCCACATTATTTTGAAATTATTATTTTAATGGAGAACATGGCTCGTGCAAAACTTGACTGAAATTTATTTTATTTTATATGTTTCTTCATGATTCCTGAAGCGAACGCAGTAGGAGTCATGACTTTAGTTTTGGATTTGAAGCTGGTTTTTGTGAAATCGTATCAAGATTTTAGTGATACGGTTGTGATTTGTTACTATTGTACACTTGTCAGTAAAATTTATGCATTTTTCTAGTTGAAAAGAATCTAAGCTTAATTATACTTCTAATACATTTGATTTGATCAATATAATCTTAAGCAGTGTAATGTACTTTTTGAATGAAATACAGTTTATATTCTGAGGTTGAATTGTAGCAGGTGGAGAGCTAGGGACTACCAAATCGATAAAAAGTAGACGATGAGCTGCAACAACAATTTAGAATTATAAACTTTTGGGATGAATTGTGTAAGAAGTAAAGAGATTTAGGTTGAAGAGGTAGAAGAGGTGCCAAAGGGTGAAGAAGAAGTGACTGAAGAGGGGAAGTTTGTGCAAGGAAGGGGTAAGGGATTTTTTTGGCTAGACTCGTAAGAGAAGTTTGTGTTTATATAGGGGTTTGAATTTTGGGTTTGGGTTTAAGATTTTGCGTATGAATAGTTTTTTTGATATGATATACATATGTATTACCTTTTGATGTGATATTTTATAATTGATTTTTAGTGTAATATAAAAAATTAAAAAATAGATATTTGATTTAATATTTTTGGGAGAAAAACATAGTGGATAGTAGAGAATCTTAAGAAAATCCCAACAAACACACCCTTAAGAATTCAATCTTATTGGAAAAAACTTGAAGGGGCTTTGAGAAGCTGACAACTCTTATTTGTTTAATTATGTTTTCTTGTCGTGTTTTGTTTTGGGTTTCGAATTTTTTTAGGAGAATATGGGTGTCAAATGTGATGTTTTGAATGAAAATAAGGGTTGGATGTAGTGTTTTTTGAAGAGAAAATGGAATACACCATAGATTGAATCGTTCGAAAATAGAAACTAACTACAAAATGCCTTATAAAAGTCTTTGTTGATGTAGGAAATTTATTTTAAAAAAATCCCCTACAATCTCCCCACTTTAGTTTGGATTTCGCGAGCTTCAAATAGTAGAAATGGTGGCGATGAAGCGGATGTTGAAGAAAGCATCGTTGCTAGGTGAATTGGGGTTCATCAAGGGAGGCGGCAACATAAACTGGTTCCCTGGTCACATGGCAGCTGCTACTCGTGCAATCCGAGACCGCCTAAAGCTCTCTGACCTTGTAATTGAAGTTCGCGACGCTCGTGTAAGTTGTTTGGGATATTAATTAGTTGTTTTTATGTATCTTTTGTCATGATTTTTGATCTGATTACATTAAGGAATTTCTGATAGTGATTGTGTGTGTTTGTTATTGGTTATTTTGTTTGAATTGTATAGATACCATTGTCCTCTGCAAATGATGAGTTGCAGCCTATGCTGGCGGGAAAGCGACGAGTTATTGCTCTTAATAAGAAAGATTTGGCAAACCAAAACATCATGAATGTAATGCTTTACCTTTGTTTTGGGGTCATTTATATACCTGTTTTTGTTTTGTTTCTTTGAAACTGATGTTAGTAACTTTTCTTTTCGTTTCTGTTCAAGTTTTTCTTTTCTGTGGAGTTTTCAAAATTTACGAATTTGATTGTTCTGAATACAATGTTTATTATGTAAATGATCTTCCTCATATTCTAATTTTCGGACATCACCAGGTGCTACTAGATTTCAGTTAACATATACTCATTCTGTCCCACCTGTATTTTCTTAAATTAATGAAAAATAGTATTATATTGGTAATGAGTTTGTATAAGATGGAAAAAATCTAAAATATCCTTTGGTTTATAGAGTCGTAAAGTTTTTTTTGGGATGATATTTTGTTAAATAGAGGTAAAAGTGAGGGTAAATTGGTAGTTACATGGGGACGATATAGACTATAAATAGAAATGAGCTATTCAGGTGGAACAACTCTAAAATGTAAGTGGTAAGTGGAACAACACTGGTGGGACGGATGAATTGTATATATATATATTTAAATTTGTGGTAGCTCCGGAAGATCAGTACTTTTAATGACCTACTTCTCCATGCTGTTCTTGAACTGAGAATGACATGTATTTTCATTCAATGTCGCACAGAAATGGGTCCACTATTTTGATTCTTCCAAACAAGACTGTCTTCTGATTAATGCACACCACAAAAGCTCTGTTCAAAAGGTTTGTTAGTGTTTCATGCTTGTGAAAATTGGTGTTGTTGGCACATTTTATTTCCGATCTTTTTATATATTGGATAGCAACATTGGTACAATGAGACCGTAGTTTCAATGGTCATTACTATGAAGTGAATCATCTCCAATGGTCATTACTATGAAGTGAATCATCTCCTTCTGTAAAATCAAACCATCTGTGGTGCAATGTTTCTCTGTCTACAATTTCTGATCACATTGCTTTACTAAGAGCTCGGAATTTTAAATTTTTCTTTTTAAAACTAAAATTTGACTTGTGAGTATTGATGTCAAAGCTTCTCGATCTTGTGGAATACAAGTTGAAGGAGGTCATATCTAGGGAGCCAACACTCCTTGTCATGATTGTCGGTGTTCCCAACGTGGGCAAGTCTGCTTTAATCAATTCCATCCATCAAGTAGCATCGTTGCGCTTTCCAGGTATTTTGTGCTTTTTACTAACATTTCCTTGGAATTGAATTTATCGACAGTTGCCTCTAAGCTGTAAATGATAATCTCAGTTCCATCTTAGTGCAGGAGCAGAAGAAGAAGCGAGCCACAGTTGGGCCTCTACCTGGAGTTACTCAAGATATCGCCGGATTCAAGGTAGAGCTTTTACGTTATTATTGATATTCAGGATCGTTGTTACAACAAGACATATGCATTTCTTGAAGTTTTGAACAATCTAAATGTATACCACTTCCTTTTTTTTAACGCGCTTTCAACATTTCTTCATTGATCTGATATTAACCTTCCGACATTATTGTTCCATTAGCCCTCAATCTAAAAATGAAAATGCATCTTGCCTCTAACTATTTTTTCATTAATCTGATATCTTTATTGTTAATTTTTGGAAATTTCTGTTCCCTTTATATTGCAGATTGCACATCGACCTAGCATATACGTACTGGATACGCCAGGGGTGTTGGTTCCGAGTATTCCAGACATAGAAACGGGTTTAAAGCTAGCTGCCGCAGGTTCTAAAGCAATTTATCCCTGCTTACTTCAATTTCTGAAAGTATTTTCGACCAATAATTTTATACAAAGATGCAATTACTTAAAGCACGGTTCTTAATGTCTTATCTTCAATTAATTACTGACTTAATCTATATATACATATTTTTAATCTACATTGAATTTACAGTATGTGTGGATGCATTTCTCGATTTTGTCCATTTCTGCTTTGGTCGTCCGATGAAGTTTTAGGGGATTTTATGCAGGCTCGGTAAAGGATTCTGTAGTTGGCGAGGAACGGATTGTCCAGTACTTGCTAGCTGTTCTGAATGTCCGAGGCACTCCTCTCCGTTGGAAGCCGCACAACAATAAGGAAGCTGAAGGTGGTAGTCTCAATCTTGATGACAACCGACCCAGCTATGATCTTAAAGATTTATTGCCGAAGAGGAAGAAACCTTCTCTCAATAAGTCCGACGTTTACTACATTGAGGTAACTGCAGCAATATTATAGATGTTTTCGGAATTTTTCTTTCATATGGTAAATTTTTAAAATCTATAGCTGTTTTTACCGAGTAAATGACTTTTTTCAGCTCTTTTACTCTTAAATTAAAAATAGAAGTATCTTGATAGTTCTTGTCGTCGTCTATGTGATACATAATATGGTTTGATTGGTCTTTTCTAGTTTTTTTTGGCAATTGATAACATTTCCGATGTATAGTTTTCATGCATAACTAAATCATGCGGCATGTATTTGTGCACTCAAATGTTAGACTCTGTTTAGATAGAAGTTTTGGAAATCTGGTAGTCTTGAAAAATTCTGACAATATTAAAAGAGTTGTTATTTAATATAATGTTTTGTGAAAAAAAAAATAATTATTTTTTTCCATTTTAGAGACCAAAATGATTTTTAATGGAAAGCTTCTATAGGTCGTGTTTACTTGTATTCTGGATTTGAATTTATTGTAAATGAAAAAAATAAGTATTTGATATTAAGTTTTCTATTAACTATAAATTGCATAGGGCACAAAAAATGGGCATATATTTGTTGTTGTTTTATTATTATTTTTTATATACTCTTCCATCCTATTCGAATGCATTCTCTAGGTTTCGTAGTAGAATAAAAAATAGTAATCTTTTATTTATTAGTGAAAATTTGTAAAAAGTTTTGACATTTTTGTCATTTTACTTTATGTATTAAATAATTGTATATGTGCATATATATTTACAATTTAAATAAAAGTTATGATATTTTAGTATTAGTGTATTTACTTTTACTAAAATAGAAAATTGATACTTTTGAATAAGACAAACAAAAATAATAAAAAATGTACTTTGAGTTGGGACAAGGAAAGTATTGTTTTGCACTATTGTGCCCAATGGGGATCAAACCCTAACTCTTAAGGATGTAAAGGAAAAAAATGGTCATATTTCAATTTTGCAAAATTTATTCATTTGTCAACGATGTGTTTGTTTATGGGTTTTGGGGTTAGGTTTAGAGTTTTTTGAATAGTAAAATTTTAAATTCATATAGTTATTTGACGGAATGTAAAATTGATTTTTAGTATAATATTAAAAAGAAATAAAAGATAGAAGTTTGATTCAATATATTTTAATTGAAAATACACAAACAGCCTTTGTGAAGTATACATATGTCTATGATCTCGATGAACTCCAAATTTGTAGGATATTGTGAGTAACGTTCGAGGGGCCATTCACAGCCCCCTTGCCAAATTCGAGGGGAGCTTGGAGGACGAGGGAGAGTTGGGGAACCTAATCGAGCAGCAGTTCGAAGCCCTGCAGAAGGCGATGAAGATACCCCACAAAGAATCCGAGGCTCGGACAATGGTGTCGAAGAAATTCTTGACATTGTTTCGAACAGGTAAGCTTGGCCCTTTCACTCTTGATGATGTCCCTGAACCTGCAGATGCTCTATGAATTCGTTTCTTTGTTTCGTAGATTTCGGTTTTTTATTGTTTTTTAGGAGAAATAGTTGTTGAATATGATATTTTATGTAGAAAATGAATACGTTTTTATCGGAAATAATCGACTTAACATACAAAATTAATATATATACCAAAATTGGACAAAGCCTGCTAGAAATTTTTGGTATCCTCTCTTGGGTTTTCATTTCGATGGGATTTTCCAATTAATATCCCTTCTCGGTTCATTTCTGTCTCTCTCTAATGTCGGAAAATATGATTTATCAAAATGACAATCTGCAAATCTTGCAGTGAATAAATCACCCGTAATTGGTTCAAGATATTTTATAATTGACGGCGATTCATATCCGACATAAATGTCCAATCTACGTTGAGAACCCATTTTTGCATGTTTGGGGGTGGAACAGGAGCATAAACAGCACATCAAAAAAATACGTAGATGAGATATATTTGGTTCATGACTAAATACTAATTGCATAGGGGAATAGCTATGATAGTTTGTCAGCCTCATTCTTATAAGTGTTCCTGCACGTAAGATTGCATGCTCCCAAGCTGAAACGGGCAACATAGACCTTATTAGTAATGGTCTTGCAATCTTTTAACAAGTAATTGGGTGTTCTACATTAATTCTAATCGACATGCAATAATCATCAAATGCATTCAATGTATATTCACCAGCATTATCAATACATATAGTCTTAATTGAATTATCGGGGAATTGTGCCCGCAATTTAATAATTTGGGCAAGCAATCTCGCAAATGTCATATTACGAGTAGATAATATACAGACATGAGACCATCTCGTAGATGCATCAATAAGCACCATAAAATATTTAAATGGCCCACACAGTGGGTCTATTGGTCCACATATATCCCCGTGTATTCTTTTAAAAAATGTAGGTGATTCAATACCTATTTTAGTTGGCGATGGCCTGGTTATTAATTTTTCCTGAGTGCAGGCAACACAAGTTAACTCATTTGAGTTTAATACGTTTTGACCTTTTTAATGAATGGTCATGCGAATTCTGCCCAAAGCTATTATGTCATATTTGAAAATCAGTAGTCTTTTGATCTACCGTGAGGTGTATTTCAACAACACCTAATCTGGGATAATATAAACCAGTAGAGAGTGAGGGTAATCTCTCAATTATTATTATCTTTTTTTATCAATGATATTGGTGATTAATAAAAATTCACCATCAGTTTCAATGTGATAACCATTTTTCCGAATGTCATGAAAGCTCAGTAAATTTCTTCGAGCTTTAGTGGCCAACAGTGCATACTGTATCACAATTTTTGACATTCATCTTTTCCCTTTTTAAATGAGATAAATATTTTTCATGTTTCAATATAGCACATATTTGCATCATTTTGTTTGACTTCCATTTAACCAAAAATATAATAAGTAAGAACCAAAGTTATATAAATGATAATATATATTAAAGGTAGGCGTGAGTGTGTACGGGCGTGTGTATATATATATGCATACAAATATATATATACATATGTATGTGTGTTATTATATTATATAATACATATTATGTATGTATTGTATGTATAAGTAATAAATGCAGAGGGAGAGGAAAGTAGAAATTGGGAAATGATTTGTGAATTTTTTGGTGTGTTTCATTTCTACGATTCCATTGGTATATATAGATTTTTCATACAAATCAAAAACATCCACGTCTCGGTCTACACTATATCTATGAATCAATGTGTGTACCTACGTGTACGTATGTATATAACATTAAGATTATCTTAAAATTATATTTTTATTTTATTTATTTTATTTTTAATTTTTTTAATAATCAATATTAATTTTTTTATTTTATTTATTATATTTAATCAAATAATATTATATATTTTTTATTTATATTTTGAATAAACATAATTTTTATTTATTGAATTTAAAAAATACTTATTATTATTTTTTTATAATCAAATAATAAAAAAATAATTTAATTTAATTTAATTTATTAGCATAATATTTAAAATATTTTTAAATTAAATATATAAAAATAATACAATATTTGATGTTATTTATAAATTTTAAAAATTATAAAAATATATATATAAAAAAATATCGAAATAATAAATAGATAGTATGACTTGAAGATAAGTTACTGGAGCGTGAAAAAATAAATTGTATATATAAAGATGATTTACTGTATCACATCCTGTAACGATAGAAAATTTTGTGATAGTTGGAGATGGTTTTAGTATAATTTTGTTCATTGTTGCTCTAAGATATTTTCTCTCGTTATAAATCAAAGTTCATCATCCTTATTCATCATAGTTCATCCTCATCCCCAAAAGTTTAAAATAAGTTTATTGTTCACTTCTTATATATTCATTTGATTTTTTATTTTTTATTTAGGCAAAATTGCTCATAATTCTATTGTGGTTTCGAAACTCAGTATAAATTTTTTCTTTACTTTAAAAATTGTGGGGCGCTTCCTTATGCTTAAAAATATAAATATATGAAATATTTTTCTCATCATTTCATGACGGTGAAGTTTTATACAATATTTTTTTAAAGTGTAAAAAAATGCTGTGCAATTTTTAAAGTACAACAAAATTTCACGTTAAATTTCGAAATCAGGACTTGGAAGCAATTTTACATTTTATTATTGTTACTATTATTATTGGGTTGGCATTGCCGCGTAACTTCTCCATCTTCTATCTAATTTCTGAGTCGGCTCGGCAGCCTAGTTATATTAGTTAACTTCGGGGGCCATGCTTAATCCTTTCAATTAATTTCAAGGGCCGCCTAATCTTATAACTTAACTTTCACTACATCTAAATCGGTTCCACCCCTTAGTTTTAATTTCTTTTCAATTAATTATTCTACTGTCTGAATCAAGTATTTTTATTATTTCAATTATAATTATAATAATAATAATAATAATAATAATATTAATTATATTATTATTTATCATTTACCACTCATTCATCTAAATTATATGTAGTATTATGGGTTTGTTTATTTATTTATTTTTTGTTTTTAGTTGTCATAATTTTCATAAATATTAAGTACTTTATTTGTCATGCAACATATGATTTCAGCATGAAAATTTAGATGAATTGTAGTAAGTAGAATAATTTAAAATAATTTAGAGATCATGTGATATGATGGTAGAGAAAAATGCATATTTATTTATTTTTTATTTAACTGATGAAGACAATGTGATAAATGAAAATATATATTTATAATATAAATATAATTAATTATTTTTAAATTTAAAAATATTGTAATGAATTTGAGACACATAAAAAAAATATTGTAAGGTATTTGAGACAAGAAGATAAATAAATATAAAATATATACATATATTAATACAATATACATAATATATTTTATTTATTTATAAAAAAAATCAATAAAATATTATCTTTTATATTTAACATAAAAATTATATCAAATCGTTACTTGATTTTGTTTTTTGATTTTGGTTTTGAATAGTAAAATTTGAATTGAAATAGTTATTTGATGTGATATAAATATGTATTGATGTGATATTTTGAATATAAAATTTAATTTTAATGTAATATAATAAATAAAAAAATAGGTATTTAATTTGATTTTGTGGAGAAAAAAAAATTAGAATAGTAAAATAGAAAAACAAATCAAACAGGTAAATACATACGTAAATATTAACACACTCTATGTCAATTTTCTATTTTAAATATTTTACAGAATTAATTATTACTATAACTCTAATTTCAATTATTTCCATATATTTTCAAATAAATCACAATAGAATAAAATACAAAAGTTAAAACCCTAAAACTAAAGCACCGTGGCGCCGCCGCCGTCTACTCCTCCTCCGCTCGCCGTAGTAACTTCTCCAGACCAAAAGGGTTAAGTCCTAACCTCTACCCTGCCCCTCCACCATACAACAATTGTTGTTTATTTCGCAGAAATCGGTAAGATTTTCGGAAACGGAATGTTGAATGACAATTGAAGTTTGTTAGACTGTTTTGTGAACGTAATTTCTATTTAACATTTCGTTTTGCAATCCTACTACCCTTTTCAATTTATTTCGATTAAACATTACGTTTTGCACTCTTACCTCCATTTTCTGTTTGTATGAGTCTTGATGTTCGTTTTATTATTGTTTTTGGGAGTAAAATGTTTATTCTTTGTACTGAAATTAATATTTAGGCTGGAACTAATCAAGTGATGAATGCCTTACTTCTGTTTGATGAAAGAATGTTATAGTCAGATTGTATTATAAATGCATAGAGTGAGTTAGATACAACATAAAGAGCAAATGTGTGTTCTTGCGAGCAAATCAGCCAATAATATACTGATAAGCTATATTTATCTGTTTCTATGTGTATGATACACGAAACTGTGCTATGTTATTTTTTTAAAAAATCATTAATTAAAAAGAAAAGAAAAAGGCATAGAGTGTTTTTGGATTGGAAGTTTTTAGGAGTGTGTTTGTTTGAAAGTTTGGATTTTGGTTTGGGATTTGAATAATTATACGATGTTATATAAACAGGTGTTGATGCGGTGTTTAGAATGTAAATTTGGTTTTTAGTATAATATAAAAAATAAAAATAAGTATTTGATTTGATGTTTTTGGTGAAATTTTTTTATGAATAGTAGAAATTTGGTAAATTTTGATAAAACAACACACTGATATTAGATTTTAGAAGTGATGTTTGAATAAAAGTTATGTGTTAGATGTGTTGGTTTTATTTATGAATGGAAATCGTTATTGAGTATGATGTTTATTTAGTATCGAAATCTATTTTTCCATAGACTGCATAGTGTAAGAATAAGATCGGAAATACAACAAGCACACCTGTAGGTTTTTTAAGGCATAAAACGGGAAGGAGTAAATCATTCCATGAACAGAGTCTATATATTCCAGCTTTTTGAAAAGTTTTACGATTCGTGCAACAGAATAAGTTGCTAAGAAATGGCGGTGAAAAGTGAAACCAACGATTTGTCTTCGGAGATGGAGCTAGATGCCTATAGACGCCTTTTTCCTCTGCGCTTCCATGAGCGTCATCTTTCTGAATCAATAAGGCCTGATGGCCGGCCGCTCGGGAAAGCTAGGGACACAACAATCGTGCTTGGTTGGCAAAATCAATTTCCATATACTTTAAACACATTCCTTCTTCTCTATGTCTTACTATACAATAATGCCATTGCTTAAAGTACGAAGCTTTGAAATTTAGGGGCTGTTGCATCTGCTAATGGATCAGCTCTCGTAAAGATTGGTTGCACTGTAAGTGTTCCTTTTTCTAATGATTGAGAATTCGTTCTATTCGAGCTTTTCGCTTATTGAAAGTTGTCTCTGCTTAGACCATGTTGGCTGCCATTAAAATGGAAGTCATGACTCCAACTGCTGAAGCACCTGACGAAGGATGTGTAGGTTGAGATTTTTTATTTAATAGTTCCTGAGGTTTTTGTTCGTTGTTTCTTCTAATGTTAGATTATTTTAGAGTCTGGTACTTTCTTTTCAGCACTCGAGTTCCACATGCCTCCAATTTGTTCTCCGCTGGTTCGTCCTGGCAGGCCAGCTGATGTAGCTCCAGTAATATCAAAGCAATTGTCGGACACCATTTCAAGGTAAGGTTCATTCTACTTTGTTAGCGAATCACTCAATTGTTGGTGTTGGTGTTGATGTTGATCGGTTTTATTTATTTAAAGAATATACTGAATCGGTATATTGGATATTTGTTGTCGTGGCTGGTATTATAATATTTTGTTGCTCCTATTAGAATTTAGAATCATAGCAGGTTTAGACGTTGATTCGATATAGTTTTAAGTGTTTGTTTAGTGAATATACTTTTAAGTGTGTGTTTAGTGAATATAGTTTTAAGTGTTTTTGTTGGGAGGTACAGTGAATTGTGAAAGTATTGAAGGGAATAAAGTTTTGTATTTTTTTTATTGACTTTTATTGTTATGTGTATATATTGTATTTCTTTGTGAACACACTCTATGAATACTCTCTTTTTTAATCATTTCTAATGCATGTAATTTAGTTTCCGAAAATTGAAGAATTCAGAGTTGTCAATTTGGATTTGTTTGGTTGTGGTTTTAATTAATTTGAAATATGGTGTTGATTTGAGTTTTTGTTTAAATAGTATTTTGATATGATATTTTGTGAGGAAAAATCAAAATTATGCAGAGGTAATTGTATTGATTTCAGTTTGAAATCACAAAAGAAAAATTTCTTATTTCATTGAAAAAGGATCAATTCTTCTTCAATCCCGTCTTTTTTTATATACCATTTCAACTCTTATGTTTTCACCTTCAGCACTTAGTTTTGTTCTCTCATTTACTGTTTCTGAACCTAGCAGTTCCGGCATGATAGATCTGAAAGAACTATGTTTGGTTAGCGGCAAAGCTGCTTGGATGGCTTACCTGGTAATAAGGTTTTTTCCACTCTTTCCATCGTGTAAGAAACTACTCTGCATGCCTTTACGGCACAAACTGGCTATCGCATGTATCAAAGGAATAATTTTTGCAGGATATATACTGTTTGGATGCGGACGGTGCCCTGTTTGATGCTGCATTGCTTTCTGCAGCAGCAGCTTTTTCGCACTGTGAGTTTTTAACACTTCTCGTTGCTGTTTGAATTCGCGTCGATAATGAACTATCATCTTAATTTAGGTTGTGTTTGGATATGTTTCGGAAGTAGTAAAAAATTGAATAAATATTATTGTTGATGAATAGTGCACAAACTGACTTGAAAACATTTGTAAACGGAGCCTTAGGGTGTGTTCTTTTAACTTTTTTCTCCTACATATTTTCTCAAAAATATTAATATATCACACACATTCGTTATTTTTATCTTTCATACACAATTCCCCACACTTCACATTTAAAAAAAAAAGAAGAAAAAAACATCTTCAAATTATCTCACAAACGCATCCTTAATCTTTTTAAGTAGTTGTGATTTGAAGTTAAATGAGAGCTAGTTAATTTGATTCCCATTGGTTTGATATTAATGTCAGAGAAGCTCGATAATTTGCAGTGCAGATTCCCGTAGTGTCTCTTAATGATGACGGGAGGATTGTTCTTGTACCTGAGGACAACGCAGGATCGATGAAAGAGAAGGAGCCCGTCAATAAAGAGAAAATAAAACTCAAGATGAAGAATGTGCCGTTCGCCTTAACATGCATACTTCACAAAAACTACATTCTAGCAGATCCCACATCCGAGGAGGAGTCGATCATGGAAACATTTCTGACAGTTGTGCTGGATTCATCTTCTCGCCTCGTGTCTCTTAATAAGCCCGGTGGACCTGGCCTGGCACAAACATCTATGATCCAGGTTAATTTTAGTTATCTATTTTCTCAATTTCATTTATTTTGGAGCAATTATAAGTCTCTTCTAATATTTCTTGCTGGAGAAATAACTAAAATATAAAAATATACAAGTGATACATTTGAGTCAGGTTATAAGCCTTTAGGTAACGTAGAAATTCTCTGGAACAGGAGTTATTATAAAGATGCGACTTGTAGAAGTATACACATTTCTTTTAGCTTAAACTTTTTAGTAAGATAGTTATTTAAAATTTCTTGTCTTGAAGAGGTATACAAATTAAAGGAGTGTGTGAACTTGAGAATATTAGCTTTACTACTGTTTTATATCAAATGTTGTACTTACGGATTGCTGTTTATTTTACATGTGACTTGTTTCGATTTCACTTTTCATTTCCCCCCGAGGTTTATCAGTCCATCAATCCTAGCACAAAAATGATGTATTTACGGCATTTCTGAAATGTATACAAGAACTACTACCCGTACATTAGCTTATGTATATATATATATATATATATATAAAGAATGTGTGCTGTATCTGCAGGATTGCATTAAATTAACCGAGCAACGAGCAAAAGAACTTGAAAGGATTCTGAACGAGTCAATTTCTGATATGGAAGTCGAGTGATGGATTCGTTTACCGGTAATCCCGTCTTTGTTGTAGCTTTTTATACACTTGGTCATATTGGCTCTTTTGCATAGCCCCGACATTTTTGTTGTAGCAGAAAAGATGAAATACCCCATGAAGCTTCGAGTTTTATGTTCGCTGCACAGGTAACTTTTTTGCCTGTTTATTTTACATCTCCTTCGGTCCTAATGCTCCTTAGGTTAATTACATGAACATATACAGATTGGTATAGTTGATTTAGTCTAATTTGAACATGTTGATGCTTAAACGATTTTGAGTAGAGTTGTTAACGAGTCAAATTCAGTTCGAATCTTTGTTGCTTAACTTTGTTTGCTAATTACGTTCTGTTTATATATAGAGAGGTATTTTGAATTTTGGAAAAATTTTGAAAATAGTAAAATGTCGATATTTGTTGTGATATTTTGTGAGAAGAAAGATATATGTAGAGCTGTCAAAAATTGACCCGACACGACAACCCAACACTACCGGACACGAAATAATTGGGTTTGGGTCAAAGTTTTCAACCCGATTATGTATACGGATTGACACGAATTCGACACGATAGTAAACAGGTCGGGTTAGGGTTGAGGCTCTCAACTCGAACCTGACACGACAACCTGATTATAGTATATTAATATTGATTAATATATTTATTATACATGTAAAATAATCATAATTTAATAATTTTCTTATAAATTAATTTAAATTAAGTTCAATTTTAAATAATTCAACCAGCTCTAGTTATTTGATGGGATGTTTTTTTTGAAACAAAAGATAGATTGTCTTTTATATTTATATAAATCTTTTTTAACTTTGCAATTGATATTAGTAAATGATTAAATGTATTTATGTATAGAATTAGGGAGTAAGATTATGTGCTCAAATTTAGGTAGAAATTGTGTTATTTTACTGTATAAAACCTATGTTAAGTTATTAGGGAAATTGTTAAATTATTGAATTATAGTATGGATTTATTGATTATATTATAAGGATGTGTTTTTTAGAGTGATGATATTGAGTAATAGTATTATTTTATTTAGCATAATTATTTTACTTTAGTTTGTTATAGTTAGATTAATGAAAAATTGAGTGTACTTATACTATAATCAAGGTTGGTTATGTGGAAGATTAATATATGTTGTATTTTTTTTTATTTATTTTTTTAATTTTTAAATTCAATATCATGATATTGATGTGAATGAGTGTAAGATTAATATTATTTATGTCGTATATTATGAGCAAACTTATTAAAAAAAATATTTTTTTTTTCTATTTTGAAACTATATATTTATTTTTGGGATTAAGTTTAAAAAATAATATTATTTTTATTATAGTATGAAATTAAAAATAGTGTAAAGATAATTTATTTTTATTAAGTTTATAATTATTAAAAAATAATAATTAATTACATGTAATTAGAGAATCCAAAATATGAATAGGCGTAGAGAGTAAAATGTATAGCTTTCGGTAGATGTAAGTAGTATTTTTATATTTACTCAAATAAAATAAATAATTGATTTTCGAAATCAACATAAACCATGTGCAAAATTTCCTTAATTATATTGTATTTTTATATTAATTTTAATATTAATGATATATTGTTTGTAATAATATCATTTATTGTCTAAATTTTAGATTAGCACGTAACTGCTGCCACTAAACCATGTGCAAAATTTCCTTAATTACAATTAAATAATGTTAAATTTGAAAGTATATATCTGAATAAAGCCCAAAATATGCAAAAGTATCATTAAATGATGCGATTCAACTTCAAAACAAATTTAAAAAAAAAAATTGCACATAATAAAAAAACAAACATATGAATACATCTTCTTCCTACATGGAACTCTGTCTGTCTCTATTGTTATTTATTTATTTATTTCAATTAGGTAATAAAGAATGAATTTATTTTTTTTATGGTGACTGTAACTTGAACGTGGAACAACGGAAAGAATGTTCTTTACATTAAAAAAACAATCATTCTCAAGAAAAGGCCAACAGAAATATCAAGTCCCTTTTCAGTGTGAGTCACAAACCAAAGTAACAAAATTCAATTCAATAGTATATATATATATATATTATATAAAAATGGTTACGGTCCTAATTTTGCCACAGTTTAAATCAGCAATTATAATATATATAAACAATACATATTTTTATTATATGGATAATAAATAGATGTGTTATTTATTCATAATTATATATATACTCTTTTCTATTCGTTCCATATTCAATGTTACTATTTTTTATTTGAAAAATGATTACACACTTTAATTTTATTTTTAATTTTTTAATTTTAATTTAAACTAATTAGTTATCTTAATCTTAATTTATAATTATTTATATTATAGGATAATTATTTGTAGTAATACATTTTTAATTATCTACTAATTACACATCTACAGTGTAGCGAGCACGATATATGTGCCGAGAAAGTATTATAAAGAGTACTAAAATCAACTGAATAAGTTAAATACTTATATATTTAGTACTGCCGTGACACTATTAAAATAAATTAAATAAATCATCAATCATATGTTACTAATATGATCCACAATTCCTAATTCCCTGAAATCCAAATCAACCAATCAGAACCCACCCCATCTCCCCAAACCAGATAGAACTCCCCTCTCTCTCTCTAAAATTTCCCCTCGCCACGTGTCACTCTCTCACACCACTAACACCCCCACCCACCCCACCCCACCCCCCACTTCCAAAACTTAAAACCTCAAGAAAACAAACATCCAAACTAACACCGATCTCCAAAATCAAACCCCCAAATCCCACCAAAACTTCACTCCTTTCCTTCCCCCACTACACTCACTCTGTGTTTTTCAAGAAATTCTCCAAACCCCATCAATGGCGTCCTCCTTGATTTCCTCACCATTCACAATTCCCAACTCCAAACCCTACTTCCTCCACTCCTTCCTCCCCAAAAAACCCCCCCACCCCTACCCACCCTACCCCACCCCCCTCAAATGCACCGCCGTCGCCGGCGGCCCCGGCAACGGCCTCTTCACCCAAACCTCCCCGGAACTCCGGCGAATCATACCTCAAAAATCACAAAACCTCCCCACCATCAAAATCGTCTACGTCGTCCTCGAAGCTCAGTACCAATCCTCCCTCACAGCCGCTGTCCAAACCCTAAACCTAAACCAAAATCAAAACCAAATCCCAGCCAATTTCGAAGTTGTCGGCTACCTAGTCGAAGAACTCCGCGACGAAAACACCTACAAAACCTTCTGTCAGGACATCCGCGACGCCAACATCTTCATCGGATCCCTAATTTTCGTCGAGGAATTAGCCGTTAAGGTCAAAAACGCCGTCGAGAAAGAACGGGACCGGCTCGACGCCGTTCTCGTCTTCCCCTCCATGCCCGAAGTCATGCGCCTCAACAAATTAGGATCCTTCAGTATGTCCCAGTTAGGTCAATCCAAAAGCCCCTTCTTCCAATTATTCAAAAAAAAAAACAACTCCGGATTCGCCGACAGTATGCTCAAACTTGTCCGTACATTACCAAAAGTCCTCAAATATCTGCCCAGCGACAAGGCTCAGGACGCGCGGCTCTACATTCTCAGCCTCCAATTCTGGCTCGGCGGCTCGCCGGAAAATCTTATCAATTTCGTTAAAATGATCGCCGGAACATACGTTCCGGCGCTCAAGGCGGCGAGGATCGAATATTCCGAGCCGGTGCTGTTTTTGGACAGCGGCATTTGGCATCCGATGGCTCCGAATATGTACGACGATGTTAAGGAGTATCTGAATTGGTACGCCACTCGCCGTGACGTCGCCGACCGGAGTAAGTCGCCGGCCGGAGCTCCGGTGATCGGATTGGTCCTTCAGAGGAGCCACATTGTCACCGGCGACGACGGCCACTACGTCGCCGTGATTATGGAGCTCGAGGCCAGGGGCGCTAAGGTCATTCCGATTTTCGCCGGCGGATTGGATTTTTCCGGGCCGGTCGAACGGTATCGAAATGTTTTCTGTATTTAATTGCGAATTACTCCCTCCGTCCCATATCTATCTATCCAATTTTTTTAAATATAGTAGAAATAAAACTAAAAAGACTAATGGCCTAGCGGATAATACAATACTTTGTTATGGACGGACGTGATGGCGGAGGGAGTATTATTGTTGTTTATTTGGTTATTGTATTGATTGGATTGAATATGGAGAATATATCGATACAGGTACTTTATTGATCCGATTAGTAAGAAGCCAATGGTGAACTCGGTAATTTCGTTGACGGGTTTCGCGCTCGTTGGGGGGCCGGCGCGGCAGGACCATCCGAGGGCGGTCGAGGCGTTGATGAAGCTCGACGTGCCGTATATTGTGGCGTTGCCATTGGTGTTTCAGACGACGGAGGAGTGGCTGAATAGTACACTCGGGTTGCACCCGATTCAGGTGGCGTTGCAGGTTGCGCTCCCGGAGCTCGACGGCGGGATGGAGCCAATTGTTTTTGCGGGACGGGATCCGAAAACAGGCTAGTCGAAGACGACGACGATTTTTCTTCGATTTTGTGATAGTCGATGTTTGTTTGTGCTGATGGATGTTTTTGTGATGACAGGAAAATCGCATGCTCTTCATAAAAGAGTCGAGCAGCTCTGCACGCGAGCGATCAAATGGGCCGAGCTGAAGAGGAAATCGAAGGTATACAATAGCCTCGTTTTTTTTTGTCGTTGTCGGGGTTTGATTCGACGATTTAAGTGTTATGAGTTCGTAGCATTTCTTGAATCGTTATCTATCGTTTTGGATTAGATCGTACCCTGTTTTTTCTTCGTTTGTTTACTAACACTACGTATGAACATTGTATGTTCTTACGTGGTTTTATCGTATTTTGATAGGAAAGTAGATCAATTTTGTGTTTAGTTTGGATGACATCGATGAATGTTCTTTCATTGTTTGATCGTATTTTGATAGGAAAGTAGATCATGATCGTTTTTGTGTTTTAGTTCGGACAACATTGGCGTATCTATGTTCTTACATTGTTTCTTCGTAAGCCAAAAGGAGAATCATCGATCGATCATTTTCGGGTTTAGATCAAACAACATTGGCGTATATATGTTCTTACATGGTTTGATCGAATGTCAATAGGAGAAACAATCGATTGTTTTTGTGTTTAGTTCGGACAACTTTGGCGTATCTATGTTCTTACGTGGTTTGATCGTATGTCGATAGGAGAATCGATCAATCGTTTTGTGTTTAGTCCGAACAACATCGACGCATGTATGTATGTTCTTACACGGTTTGTTTTATCGTCTGCAGACCGAGAAGAGGCTAGCGATCACCGTCTTCAGCTTCCCTCCCGACAAAGGCAACGTCGGGACAGCCGCGTACCTAAACGTCTTCTCATCGATCTATTCTGTCCTTAAAGATCTCAAAAACGATGGGTACAATGTCGAGGGCCTTCCCGAGTCCGCCGACGCCCTAATCGAAGACATAATTCACGACAAGGAGGCCCAGTTCAACAGCCCGAATCTCAACGTCGCCTACAAAATGAATGTCCGCGAGTACCAGAACTTGACTCCGTACGCCGCCGCCCTCGAGGACAACTGGGGGAAGCCGCCCGGGAATCTCAATTCCGACGGCGAAAACCTCCTCGTCTACGGGAAACGGTACGGGAACGTCTTCATCGGCGTCCAGCCGACGTTCGGGTACGAAGGAGACCCGATGCGACTCCTATTTTCGAAATCCGCCAGCCCCCACCACGGATTCGCCGCCTTCTACTCGTTCGTCGAAAAGATCTTCGAAGCCGACGCCGTCCTCCATTTCGGGACCCATGGATCGCTCGAGTTCATGCCGGGTAAGCAGGTCGGGATGAGCGACGTTTGCTATCCTGACAGCCTTATCGGGAACATCCCGAACGTCTATTACTACGCGGCGAACAACCCGTCGGAGGCGACGATCGCAAAACGTCGGAGCTACGCCAACACTATCAGCTACCTTACGCCTCCGGCCGAGAACGCCGGGCTGTACAAAGGGCTGAAACAGCTCAGCGAGCTAATCTCGTCGTACCAATCGTTGAAAGACACGGGCCGCGGGGCTCAGATCGTAAGCTCGATTGTCAGCACCGCCCGGCAATGCAATCTTGATAAGGACGTCGATCTCCCGGAGGAAGGCGTCGAGATCTCGATGAAAGAGCGGGATCAAGTCGTCGGTAAGGTTTACGCCAAGATCATGGAGATCGAGTCGCGGCTGCTCCCGTGCGGGCTTCATGTCATTGGGGAGCCTCCGTCGGCGATGGAGGCCGTTGCCACGCTCGTTAATATTGCTGCGTTGGATCGTCCAGAGGACGGGATTTCGTCGCTTCCGGGTATTTTGGCCGCGTCGGTGGGTCGGGCGATCGAAGAGGTCTACCGGGGCAATGACGCGGGTGTGCTCCGTGACGTTGAGCTCCTTAGGCAAATAACCGACGCCTCGCGGGGGGCGATCACCGCATTCGTGGCGCGGACGACGAATAAGAAAGGGCAGGTTGTCGACGTTGCCGATAAGCTGACGTCGATTCTCGGGTTCGGTATCAACGAGCCGTGGATGCAACACCTGTCGGAGACGAAGTTCTACCGCGCGGACCGGGAGAAGCTCCGGGTTCTCTTCCAGTTCTTAGGCGAATGCTTGAAGCTCGTCGTCGCCGATAATGAGCTCGGAAGTTTGAAGCAGGCGTTGGAGGGGAAGTACGTCGAGCCGGGGCCGGGCGGAGACCCGATCAGGAACCCGAAGGTTCTGCCGACGGGAAAAAATATCCACGCGTTGGACCCTCAGGCGATCCCGACGACCGCCGCGATGCAGAGCGCGAAGGTCGTCGTGGATCGGTTGCTTGAGCGACAAAAGGTCGACAACGGTGGGAAGTATCCGGAGACGGTCGCGCTCGTTTTGTGGGGGACGGATAATATCAAGACGTACGGCGAGTCGTTGGCGCAGGTGCTTTGGATGATCGGTGTGATGCCGGTGGCGGATACGCTCGGACGGGTGAATCGGGTAGAGGTGGTGTCGCTCGAGGAGCTCGGGAGGCCCCGAATCGACGTCGTTGTCAACTGTTCCGGTGTTTTCCGCGACCTCTTCATCAATCAGGTAGCGATTCGCCCACTCGATTTTGTCGAATCGGGAAATTTCTCGACTTGACGTCGATCATCGTCGCATTCTATTTTGCAGATGAACCTCTTGGATCGGGCGGTGAAGATGGTGGCGGAGCTCGATGAGCCCGAAGACCAAAACTACGTAAAAAAACACGCGTTAGAGCAGGCGAAAACGCTCGGCGTCGAGGTTCGGGAAGCCGCATCCCGAATTTACTCGAACGCGTCGGGTTCGTACTCCTCAAACGTGAACCTCGCCGTCGAGAATTCATCGTGGAACGACGAGAAGCAGCTGCAGGACATGTATTTGAGCCGGAAGTCGTTCGCGTTTGACTCCGACGCTCCGGGCGCTGGGATGACGGAGAAACGGAAGATCTTCGAGATGGCGCTAAGCACAGCCGACGCGACGTTCCAAAACCTCGACTCGTCGGAGATTTCGCTCACTGACGTCAGCCATTACTTCGACTCGGACCCGACGAACCTCGTCCAGAACCTCCGGAAAGACGGGAAGAAGCCGAGCGCGTACATCGCCGACACGACGACCGCTAACGCTCAGGTAGACTTAAAAAAACGTCGACTTTTTTCTCGATCATTACGATGCTAAATTTGGGAAACGTATGTCGCAGGTTCGGACGTTATCGGAGACGGTGCGTCTCGACGCGCGGACGAAGCTGCTGAACCCGAAGTGGTACGAGGGGATGCTGTCGAGCGGGTACGAGGGGGTTCGGGAAATCGAGAAGCGGCTGACGAATACAGTCGGGTGGAGCGCGACGTCGGGGCAGGTCGACAATTGGGTGTACGAGGAGGCGAACACCACGTTTATTGAAGATGAGCAGATGCTGAACCGGCTGATGAGCACGAATCCGAACTCGTTCCGGAAGCTCGTGCAGACGTTCTTGGAGGCGAACGGCCGCGGCTACTGGGAGACGTCGCCGGAAAACGTCGAGCGCCTCCGGCAGCTCTACTCGGAGGTGGAGGACAAGATCGAAGGAGTCGACCGTTAGAGGGTCGGAAGATTCGAGATCCTCGTACGGTGTCGAATACTATTGAGTGTTGTAGTAAGTAATAAATGCTCTTCCTTTTGTATCGTTGTGTTTAAATTTTTTTGGAGGGGTTGGGAATTGATTGAATGAATGGATTGGGTGTCGTTTGTGCATATTTGGAGAATCATTGTGATTGTTAATGTATTTTGTTAAGTAATAATAACCTAATGATAGTGCCTATTTGACAATAAAAATATTTTTATATTTATATTTTTATATTATTTTTTTTTTCATAAATTTCTATAAAATATTAAAGAACAATTTTTTTTAAAAAAATTTATATTTTATATTTTAATTAACAAACATTTAATACTCCTTTCATATTTTAGATAGAAAAAATAACAACAAATTAATTATTTTTTATATTTTATTTTAATGTGTATATTTTTTTATTTTTATTTGTCATTATTTATGTATATAATTTTTTTATTTTCATTCGCAGGCGTCTTAAACGTGTATATATATATATATATTTTAATAATTATGAATTCTATTTTATTATACAAATATTCATATTTTACCTTCACATAGTTACTTTGAACAAAATTATCTTTGTACTTATTTCTAACTATATATTTTAATTAAAATACTACTTATTTTTTAAATTTTGTTTGAATTTTATGTAAACTATTTGTACGATGATATTAATTAAATTAATTTATATTTATTAAATATATTTTAAACTAATAAATTACATCAAACATAAAAATTTACTGAAACATATTAAAAAAATAAAAAAAAAAAAATTTATGTTAGGACGTAGTATATATTTTATAATATTAATTACTAATTATATTAGCAAAAAAATTATTCTGCGAATAAATCCTAATTTTTCAACAACAATTCCAAGTTCCAACCAACAAATACACCCTCCTTATCTATAATGTACCTAATTTGAAACGACATAATAATTGGGGTCCGGGACCCAGATCCAAATAGGCCAAAATCATGGGGCCTACCTAATGAGTGGTGTAAAATAGACCAGGACCTTTAGATCCCGGATTCCACTTCAATAAACAGCACAAAACTATATTTATATTAGAATTATCATAACCCTGATTGATTAAAGCTAAAAAAACCCCAAAAATCCAATTATGAGAGAAGTACCTCAGGCGGAGATCCTTAGCCACTCATCGCCGCCGTACGCAACTCCGGAGACGCCGCCGGCCGGAAGATGCGACGCTCAGAAGTGTCCGTGGTGGCCGTACACAAGCTCGAGAGACTTCAAAATCAACACGACCTTAGTCCTCGTCTTCCTCTTCTGTACGGTAATTTTTGCCCTAATTATAAACCTCGCGATTCGATACATCATAGCGCTGCGGTGCGTGCGGCGGAGGCGGAGAAGGATTCCGATTCCGATTCCGATTGCGGCGAATCGGAGAGTGGAGATGCCGTGGGCGATTTACTCGGAGGGGATGAAATTGGCGGGAACGGAGGCGGTGTGCGCGATATGCCTGTCGGAGATTGCGGTGGGGGAGAGGATCAGCGTGGTGGAGAAGTGCGGCCATGGATTCCACGTCGAGTGCATCCAACGGTGGTTAGCTTCCCATTCATCTTGCCCTACTTGCAGAGCCAATTGCTAGCTTAATTGGTAAGTGTTAATTAATTAATTATTGTACATTTTTATATGTATATTTATAATTAAATTAATTTTTGTATTTTGGGGTGCTTGTTTTACATTTCAGAAAGTATAACTCCATTGGTCCGGTAGAAATAGCCTCGTTGGAGGTATTTATGTTTGAAATATTTTTAAAAATTTTGATTTATAATTAAAAATAAGAATAAAGAGAGATTACTATTATAGTAAACAAATATTAAATAAAAAATGTTTATTAAATATTAAAGTTTTTATTTTATCAAATTTAATAATGAGATAAATTTAATAAATAGTACAAAAAAATTTACAGATGAAAATATTATTTTGTTCACACCCAAAGCAAATTTTCAATTGTAAAGTAATTTTTAATAATAATAATAATAATAATAATAAACAATAAAAAAATACTCACTCCATCCCATAAAAAAGTATCTATTTTTTCATTTTAGTCCGTCCCATAACAAAGTATCAATTTCTTTTTTCAGTAACTGTACTATCTACCTAACATTACAAATACCCTTACAATTTACAATATATTACACAAATGTCATTACTTTTATATCAAGCATACTAATAAGGTTATTTTAGTCGTTTCTACTTTATTTTTACTATATCCCAATATAATACTAATATTTCTAAAACTACGTCCAAAAAGCAAATGAATACTTAGTTTTGGGATGGAGGCAGTATCTTTTATAAAAGTAAAAAAGTAAACAAAATATTTATTTTAAAATAAATATATTTCTTCCGTCCCGTTTATCATGTTTTAAAGGGGTATAATTAGTAAATAATTAAAAATGTATTAATAAAAATATTTATAGTATAATAAAATATATTAAAATTAAAATAATCAATTAGTTTAATTAAATTTTTTAAAATTATAAATTAAAAAATTTAAATATAATTAAAGTGTATAATTTTCATCTTTTTTTTTTTTCAAAAAAAAAGTGATAGAATAAGTTAGACAAACATAAATAGAAATTTGGACACGGTAAATGAGACGAAGAAAGTATTTTATATTTTTGATGTAATTCTCTAAGCCACAAATTAAAAATCAATTCATCTACTAACCAAAAAACAATTTATTTAAAAACACGACCAAAAATATATTTTTTTTCTATCATACTATTTTTTTATTATTATAAATAGATTATATATAAATTTTAAAAATGGTCAAACAAATTTAAAAATTGGTATAGTTATCCAAACGAAAAAAATTAGTAGCATCTTTTTTTTCTTTACAAACTTTCATTCAAAATACTATTTAATAAATTTCCTTCGTCATCTAAAGATGTGTTCAAATATTTGGATATAAAATTTTAACAAAAATAATAACAATTGTTATTTTCTTTAAATATTTTATAGTAAAAAATATCAATTTGCTATAAAACAATATTTTTTAATAAAAAAATTATAAATTAAGATGAATAATAATAATAATAATAATAATAATAATAATAATTTCTCTCCATGTAAAATTGTTGTTTATTTTGTATAAGTAGATTTTTTAATATTAGTATTATAATGGATTATAGTGAAAAATATCTCTATTAATATTATATAATATAAAAGTAATAACATTTGTGTAATATAATATAAATTGAAAGAATATTTATTATGTTAAATAGGTAGTACAATTACTAAATTAGGAAATGATAAAACTAGTTTTAAAAATAACTATCTTTCAATCGTGACTGAAGGGGTAAAAAAAAAAAAAAAAAAAACCAAGCAAACCTGAAGATCCATAAATTAGATTGTTAATTAATTAATTAATTAATTAATCGATGATAAGTCTTGGAAGCATCTCGATCTGACGGACCGTACTCAACAGAAAGAAAACAGCAACTTGTAATTATTAGACGTTAATCTTCATTTTAGAGCAAATTATTAACAAATACTTAGAATAATTTATAAACATATGATGATTTTTTAAAGAATTATGTTTTTGTTCAAATCAAAATAATAATCTCCCTATCACCCCTAAGTAGGTATTTATATATTTATTTTTGTGAGCTTGATTCAAGCGGCTCAAGATTGGCTCGACTTAAATAAAAAATTATTTAAACAAAATTAAATCACAAATTTATTATAATTTTTTCGGATCATTCGAAAAATCCAAAAGGGCAACAAAAGCGAGAACAATAAAGGCACATAAAAATTCCGAAACCTTAAGCAAATCGGATAACCTTAACATCATCCAAAACCGGTCCACATACGGACCAAAAATCGTGCAACCTCGTATGATAGAAGGGGCTATAAAACACGATCCTCGTACTCTCCTTAACGGCTCTAAACCTAAGACTAGCCATTTTGAACGATCCCTTCCCACGGGAAGTGAATTTAACCGTCACATTGCTCTTACCCGCGAATGCTTGCACGGACATTGTCCCGTTGCAACCATTTTTTGCGTCGCCAATGGTAAAGCTAAGGTTGTACCATTTTCCAATAGTTGTCCTAATATATTGTGCAATGGCTGTCTCCCGGCCCCCCACGAGCTCGACCGCCCCTACCCCTGAGGGCACGTTGAAGTGCTTCGAGTCGATGTATTTTACGGGCTTGATGGACTCGATTATCCATCCCGGGATCGGGGAGTACATGTCTTTACGTTTGGGGAGTACGAGGATGCCCGTCGAGTAATTTTTGAAGACATGAGGACCGATCTCGAAACCTCCGTTTTTCACGAGATTTCCTGTCGATAGTGTTAGAATAAAATGTTAGTAATCGTGAAATTATTAACTTATTAAAAATTGAATACCATACTAAATTATGAATCTATTTGAACTGAAAATATTTTGGGATTTCTTTTTGGTGTATTTTTCACTATTCATCAATTTCTCTTGACCGTATCAAATCAAACATTTATTTTTTATTTTTTATATTATACTAAAAATTAATTTTACATTCAAAATATCACATCAAACACCTATTTATATTACTATCATACCATTATTCAAATTAAAAAATTTTATTAAAAAATCTCAACTCAAAATCCAAAGCCTCAAACGAACACAATGGTGACATCTAAATTTGAAACAAAAAATAATTCGGCTAACCTTATAACTTAAAATATTAAAATCCGAATAATCCAAAACTCAAGCTAGATCTAAATTATGACCTGATTTTGCAACTTGAATTAATAAAATTTCTAATTAATATATATACTTCTAAAATAAAAGGTATTAAATAATATTTAAGTTTTTTTTTGTTGGTTGTTTAATTTTTAAATAATCTATTTATAGTAAAAAAAAATTAACCACACATTTTGATTGCATCTATATTAACAAATAGTATCAAATTATTATTACTTTAATTTTCTTTTATTATTTTTAATAAATTTATCATATCACTTTTACTTTACCTTATGCATATATTTTTATATTAAAATATTACTTTTATTCTTTATGAGTCTTTATGCCCATAAAAAAGTGACATAAACATAGAGAGAATAATTAATTAGTATTTTTATTGTTATTATGATTATACACATAATAATAAAAGAAAAAAAAATAAAATACACAATATCAATATCTACAATACCTTCTTAATAATAATAATAATAATAATAATAATAATAATAAAACACCTAAAATTAAACAAATAGACTCTACATCTATCTATGCAAGTCATACATTTCTTCCATCTACAAGTCTATACGCCTACGCGTCTCTCACGTCCACTATTTATTTTACTCTTATAATTCATTTTTTTGTTATTTTATTTTATTTTATTGTTTAGAGCATTAAATTAGTATTATTTTTTGTTACTTCAAAACTTTCTCTATATAATTGTTTTATTTATATTAGTAAAAAAATTTAAGTTTTTAGATTGATATGTTGTGTGTTGAGTTACTCAAATTTATTGGGATTATTGGATAATTTGAAACAAAATCAAATTCATTTAAATTTACTTAAAATTTGAAAAAAAAGTAAAAAAACAAATATTACTCTCTCCGTCCGCATTCAAAGATCACATTTACTCATTGTACTTAATATTAAAAATATTTTTATATTTTTATAATTTTTTTTGTACAAATATTTTTCTACTAGTATTATAAAACATTAATTAAAGTATTTTTGTAATTTTTCTTAATTTATACTACATTTTGATATAATAATTAATATTCAAAGATCAGCACACAAAAAAGTAAATGAAATATTTAATACTCTTTCCGTTCCAATACAATAGTCTTGTTTACCATTTTTGCCCGTCCCAAAACAATAGTCTCATTTTCATAAATAATCATATCATCGTAAAACTATCTCTACCTTTTCATTAATATTATACAATTGCCTACTTTTTACACTAATATACTCAAAGGGCAAAAAAGTCATTTATCTTTACTTTTTACCGACTATCAATATAATATTAATATTTTTTAAATCTCGTATGCAAGACTATAATTTTGAAACAGATGAAGAAAAATATTTCTTTAAAAAAACTAGATAATATCAAAATCTTCAAAAGTGTTATATGAAGATATATAGCCAAAATCGATGGAATAAGAAGGCAACAAAATTGGATACCTCTGGTGTAAGAAGCCGGCAACATTTCCTTAATAGCAACGGCGTCTATGAGCGGTCCGCAAGCGGGATCTTCTTGCATCCCGGGATTATGAAAAGTAACCTTAACAATCGCGCCGCTTGCTCGAAAACTCCAAGCGTACGTATCGCCGCCGTCGCTACTGTACAACGTTTGTATCGGCAAATCGCTCGACATGCCCGGAACAGACACCCTTAAAACCTCGTTTTGGGCGCAAGTCCTCGTCGCCCCGAACGTGAGGCTATAGATGGTCCCGGCCTTAAGGTCCCGCACATATTGGGAGACGGATGCATCGTTGCCGAGGCGCACAGCATGGACCCCCCTTGGGACCGCGAAATAGAACCCGCCGGGCTGGGGCCCGCCGGAGACGTACTCGACGATGCCGGAGATTTCCCATTTCGGGAGGGAATGCCTCCCGACTATCACCGTCTTCTTTAGGTTTGACGGGTTCGGGCCCTCTTCGAAGCTCCCGTTGTCGAGCAATGCTGCGGATAATGCAAAATCGTTGGTTATTTCGTTCGGTTGATATTAATATATGTAAAAATAGTAATTGAATTAATGTGATAATTTGCATCAAAGAATAAATACGGATTATATTTTTATTGAAAATAGTATAAGTACTGTATATTAAAAAAAAAAAAAAAAAAGAAATTACCATCTAATGGAGGGGATGCTCTTACAAAAGGTATAGTAGTGAAGAGTAGGAAGATGTAAGAGAGACTAATGGGACAATAAGAAACCATTACTAATTGATTTTCGATTGGTTTGATCTCTTCTTAATATATATATATATATATATTGAATGGATCTAGTTTAATCGAGGTTGTACGGATTATATTAATATTTTATATTTATAAATACTCTTTTCGTCAATATCTAAAGATCAAATTTACTTTTTATTTGTACTTAATATTAAAAATATTTTTATATTTGTATAATTTTTTTTTTTTTATACAAATGTCACTCTATTAGTATTATAAGACACTAAGGGAAGTTTTTTGCAATTTTGTCTTAATTTGTATTATATTTTGATATAATAATTAATATTCAAATATCAATATGCAAAAAGTAAATGAAACTCTTAGAGTCGGATGGAGATAGTATAACATTTTGTAAAAATGAATAATGTCTCTTTATAGAATAGGGAAAGGGTAACGGTGATAATTTGAGAAAATCAACATCGTGTTGATTTTTCAACACGGTATATGTAAAATACACAAACAGAAATAGTGCATGTGTTTATTATACACAATATGTGTTGCGTGCTATCTAGTCTATATGAGTTGTTAGTTCATGTGTTATATTTATATTATATTAATATAAATTATATGTTGTTGATAATAATGTCGTTTGTTTTTCGTGAATTTATTGAGTGATTTTCGACACAATATTTGATTTTAAATTTTTTTTTAAAAAAAACTATATGTTTGGTACCATAGCGAAAGTACATAAATATACGTTAGCATATAATGAATACAATTTATGTTTTTATATTTTATTCGTACCTATAGTTTAATTATAATATATATTTGTATAAATTATTATTATTATTAATTTATATGTTATATAATACTCTTTTCGTCTTTCAGGAAAATGTTTATTTATTTTTTTATATTTATATAATATTTCATACAAATATTATTTTATTTATATTATATAATACATTAATACTAATAAATGTATTTTTATTTATTTTTTTTTTCTTTTAAATTTTACTACGTATGAATAATATTAATATTCAAGGTTTTACGTATAAAAAATAAATGAATATATAACTTCGAAACAAAAGTACTATACTAAAATATATCATATACTATTTATTTATATTTTACATATACTCAACATCATACTTATTAATATCCTTTCTACATAACATCAATAACCATGTTAAAAGATATTTTTAATTAATAATATTTTATTATATAATTCTTCTATCCACTAAATTTATATTTTATTTTTTTCAAAAAAAAATGACAAAGATTAAAATGTTTACTACACAGTTTTATCCTGTACTAATTTTGGCGGACCGAAGGACTATTGTATATCTAATAGTTTAGCTTTTATAGTAGGAATTTAATAATATTACATGCATTCATAATTATATAATGTTAAATAAGCATTAATTATCTACTCCTTTCGTTCTATTGTCCACATTATCGTTTCTGTTTGTCTCATATTTCATATTAAAAAAAAGATTACATATTTTAATCTCATTTTAAATTTTTTATTTTATAAAAATTCTCGTGTCTATAATTCTCCGGGTACGCTACATGGGACGGAGAGAGTAATATTTATATTTATAAATTTTACTTATATATGTATATATATATATATTTGGTTAAACGAACTAAAAAGACAATGATTATATTTACTTGTAAAATTTTGATTTTGAGTTTTAGTTTTAAATAATAAAATTTTGAATTAAAATACTTATATTTTAAATTTAAAATTAATTTTAATATAAAATAAAAATTAATATTTGAGGGACATGAAGAATATAAAACATAAATAGTAGTAGACACATCACGTGACTAAAACATTAATAATTTCAGGTGACACGTGACGAGATGCCCTATTTTCACACAGTATTGATTGGTCGGCGGCGTTGTTTAATTTTAAACTTCATTTATTCCGAATTCAATTTTTAAATAATATTTTGGAATCTCACTAAATGAGTCAACCAATCAATTGAATCATTGTTAATCACAATATTTATTTATCTAATTGAATGTACTCATTTATTTTATTTTAATGTTATGATATAAAGATAAAAAGATTATTTATACTTTCGTAATAAATTATAATACTCCATCCGTCCCATAACAAAGTATTCATTTTTATTTTATTTTAGTTCGTTTCATAACAAAATATCTATTTTTTTTAGTAACTGTACTATCTACATGTAACATTACAAATACCCTTCCAACTTATAATATATTACACGAATATCATTACCTTTATATCACACATATTAATAAGGTTATTTTAGTCATTTCCACTTTATTTCTACTATATCTCAATATAATATTAATATTTCTAAAATTACGTGCAAAAAATAAATGGATATTTACTTATGGGACGGAAGGAGTAATTAATTTTGGTATCATAAAATTTTGTGATTAATTTTGATTTTATTCAAGTTAACATTAATTAATTTTTATTTAATAATAACTTACACATATGGAACACAAACATGTTGACTTAAACACGGACGTATTAAAAAATTAAAAAAATAATAATAACTATGCGTTATTGGATCTAATATACATTCAAAATTGAATAAAACATGACTCTATTCAATGTCATGTTCAATGCTCTTTTCTAACTCATGTTCCATGTTCTACTCAATTTTTTTTTAGTATTTATATTTTAATTAAAATATTATTTACAATTATTTTAAAATATAAAAATTATAAAATGAAGGATTAATCAATCATTTATTTATTTATTGTATTCAAAAAAATATTTAAATTATTTTATGTTTTTTAATAAAACTTGCGTTATTTAAAACTAAACATCTGTTTTTAGATAAGGAGGGTATTTCATGCTAACTTTACATTAACACAAAAGGGAGTTTTATGCAATAAAAAATATATATAATATTTTGTGTATTTTTACTAAAACACAATGAGGTATTATATAATTTATCCTAAAAATAATAGCAACAAATTTTTATATCTCACACACACACACGAATCAACGGGATTGAACTCCAACTTCAAATTGTTACAACCCATTAACGATTCCAAATTTGTTTGACTTTGAATTTAATAATATTTGAATATGATTTTTTTTTTCAAAAAAAATGATATATTCAAATATTTTTTATGACATGAAAAATTGTCAATAGGCAAACCCTCTTATTGTAGACATGATCTAACAGCGTTAAGAAGTTTTGAACTCATTGTTTCACGATGATTGCTTGTTTTGGCATGGTCATTGGTGACACGAAAACCCCCTTTCGACTTTGATCTTATTTTCCGTGCTCCTTTTATCTTTGTTTCTACAAATCATTCAATTTGGAAGTCATCTTCTTTTGGTAATTTCTATACTTCCACTATTTAGAACCTTATATGTATACCTTTTCACCGAGCCTTCTTTTCAAAGGAATTCGATCCGATCTTCTCACCCCGATGATGTTGGTTTTCTAATGCGGGCTCTTTCATAGACGTATCCCCCTAGACTATGTCCTCCAAAAATATGGCATTACTTTAGCTTCTAAATGTCATTTCCGTCGGGTAATCAGGGCATGTTTCTTTTGATTGGTTTGAAAAAAAATTGGTTTAAGTTTGGTATTAAAATAATATATAATTGAATATTTTATAAGATTTTTTTTTTTTTTTCGAAAAACGCAGAGTCCAAATAAGCAAAAACATAAGATTTGAAGACAAAAGAAACAAACCTAGAGATGTTTGAAAAAACCTGTTCGGGCCGGAGAACAATTGCATGAAGTTTGGACGTAGTTCACACAACTCTTTCATATCACCATCCCGCGTAGCTTTTACACAATTTTGTTATTCATTGGATTTGTTGGTTCAATCTTAATGCGAATGAAACTTTGAAACCATACTTATATAATCTTTTTGTTTTTAATCTCAATTATTCACAATTTTTTTTAAGTATGACTTACTTGTAATTTTCTATTTTTATATCCTTTAAATAAACAAACAAATACTTATATATAAATGTAAATTTTCATATCTTTAAATTAATTTATATTAATCACATATATAAATATAGATTATTTATTTATTCTTTATAAAATATTATTCTATAAATATAATTATTAATTTATATTATAGTATTAAATTTTATTTTTTAATAAATAACATTAAGATATTTAGCTTGGATAATTATGTCAATTTTTATTTTTTTTTTTACATATAAATCATTCATAATTGTTGTTACACATTCAAGATCGACAAGCCATATATTCACAAGAAACACACGAATTTAACCAAAGAACTTAAATAATCTTTTATAAGAAAGCTACTGCTCGGACTCAGGTTATCCAATGGAAAAACAATCCTAACACCTACTGTAATGCACAACGCCAACCCAAACACAATAGACATCCACAGAAACGCAACAATCATGCGAACTAAAACACGATCTAAGGAAAATATCAACGATTTAAGCCTCTCCCAAACAAACAATATACACAATACACTGTAAGAAATGCTCAAAATCGTAAATCAAACCGAGGAACAGCCTCAGCACAAGCTGTATTTCAAAGAACTCAGACGAAACCTTCACTTCGCCGGATAGATCACCGGAGAAAACTCAAGGGAAGATCGCTGGAGTCGCCGTCGCGGGTCGGGGTGCATCACCGGTCTCACAAGTCATTGGCCAAAAATAACTCCACAATAATATATAATTTTATTAGTTTTAATTTTAATACATAATAATTAATTTGTTATTATTTTGTTACATATCTCATTATTTTTTCTTTATCAATTTCTCAATAAAATCTTTATAATACTCCTATTTTATTTTTGTTAAGTACTTTATTTTTATATTAAAATATTGTTATTTTCAATTTTTAAATCCGAACAAAATGACATAATTATCCAAAATATATACTACATATATTTTATTTAAATATTTTTTCAAACCCTCGGTGGTGAAAATAACTTTTGCTATGAAAATTCAAACGCAGCCCATTCTTTCCCCTTAATTGCCAAACTCAGATATGTGTTCCTTTTAGAGATTTATTTTGTTGTTACATCTACCTTTTGTTTTGAACGCTAATTTGAATGTAAAATTTTATAATATATATATATATATATATATATTTCATAGAATTGCAATAATTGCATAACCAAAAAAATTGAAATCAAACTCCAAATAATATAATCATATTTTGTGTAATAAAGAATGTAGTAACAAAAATACACATTTCCTTAAAAGGGAGAGGACAATAATGAGTGAAACTTTTGTGCCATAGATAGAAAGAAAGAAAGAAAGAAAGAAAGAGAGATCGATCTAAAACACTACAAGAAGACTCTCATCTCAATCTAGTTCAATTCATCAAATCTTTTCACACATCCAGCCTCAAGGGGAAGAAGAAGAAGAAGAAGAAGAAACACCAAGTAAAATCACCCAAAAAAGAGATTAAAGAAGTTCGATTTCTCTCTCAGATGAGTCCTCTTTGGTCGGGATTATTCACTTATTACCGGACAAAGTATCTTCTTCTCAACATCCGGCAGCTTTCAGGAAGTTGTCGTAGGGACTCGATGCCGGAAGCCTGAATGAGAATGAATGCTGCTGATGTCCGGCTTTGCTGACGCCTTCCGCATCCAAGAATGGATTTATCGCCTGCACGAATTTTCATTTTTCAGTTAATGTAACGGAAATAAATAGTAAATATTCATAACGGCTTTGTTCTCTTTGAATTTTATTTTTTCTTTTATCATCGAGATTTTATTGTTCCAGAGAGAAAATACTTATTTTTTATACAAAATATTATATTCAACAATTATTTTCCATAAAAAGCAACATATTATATTGATATTTGCTCGACAAAATGGAGGGTGTAATTACCTTGTTTAGATCGTTGAATGGAGCTGCGGGTGCATCTCCTTCGCCACAGGTGGTTTGTGTAGTAATCGTGAGCGTAGAGCCTTGTTTAGGATTAGTGTTGATCATGTACCACATCTTCTGCTGCTTTCCCATCATCAGTGTTTCGCATTGATTCGCCATTTCAGTGTACGACGACGCAGGCGCAGCACTCACAGACATTCTGCCAACATGGTGTGCTGTCTCGAGAACCTGTTTTTGTAAGAGTAATCCCAAAAATCATGTCTTAACCGAGGAATGTATCTATCGTAGGGGGGACCTGTTAAAGTTATTCAACACCATACTGGCAATTCGTCGCAAATGTACAAATGGCACGTAACAAATAGACAAACAATGCATAGTTTATATTAATATAATATAAATACAGCACATATCCCGACAAGAACACAATATATATTAATATAATATAATTCAACATATGAACTGACAATAAATGATAATAATTCATGTAGCACACGTTACCACTGATCTTAGTGCATATCACATATTAACATAACAAAATACAGTAACAGTGTTGATTAACCTCAATCGGCACCTTAACCAGTTCGATCATGGGGAATAATGATGTCATCACAAACAAACTTACGGATTGTAGAAGTTGATCGACATATATAATATAAATGCAGCACATAAACTGATAGCAACACAATTTATATTAATATAATATCATATGAACTGATAATACACGACAATAATTCAAGTAGCACATATTAGCATTGATCTCAGTACATATCATATATCTCAATCGGCACCATAACCGGGTCGATCGTGGAGAATAATGATATCATCACAAGCAAACTTACGGATTGCAAAAGCTGATCGACGCTCAGGACGCTTGGGAACTCAATGGTCAGAGTCGAGTTTTGTGGGAGAGTGCCGTCTACTACTTCGTGGTAAGATTCATCATCCACAAACAATGAGACCGCCTGTGTCCCATGAAAACAAAAAATAACAGAACATGAAAAAAAAAATGTCCATGGCATTGAAAGGAAAGCAGCAGAATTCGGTGGAAATGTAGTACAAGTTTTACCTTCTCGAAATTTTTCTTGTGGTGAGAATTCGCCTGATGTCCGAATTCCGCGCTGTCCGCGTAAAACATGCTGTCAGGCACAAAGTCCCTCAGCAACTGCTCCTTTAAGATAGTCTGCTCGGCCTGGAGACGAAAACACTTGTTTTCAACATCAGAAACTGATTTTTTTATGTGTAGTATAGTTTAGATTTTCGACCGAAAAGTGAGGAACTTACCTCTAATATGTTATCCAAGTTTTTGACGACAACCGAAACGAGGGCTTCCTTGGTTTCATCCTCACTTAATTCTATCTCTGAAAGACACTTCAGCGCAGAGCTGTCGTCTTCTGTTGAACCATACACCATTTTCGGGTTGCCTGATTTTGTTTCGCTAATCTGCAGCTTCGAGTCCCCGACCAGACACAAGAATGGATCAATCTGGCCCAAATGCATTGATTCGAGGATGACATAAAGAGAATCCATGGAAACACGGAAAAAAAAAAAAAACAATGTTACTGTATTTACCACTCTACTAGTGATTCTAGGCCGGACGATGTGGACAAGGGGAAGAATGTTGTAAGCCTTGGATGAAAAGATGATCATACATGTTGACAACACAAAAAGGGATCGTCGCCGAGAAGGTGATAATTTCTCTGTAAATAACATGAAATAAACAACAATGCATCACTAATCTATCCAACATAATTTATCTTCTGAAAATTACAAAAAATCTGCTGTAAGTTTGATCATTTGAATGTCGAAAATTTCCATCAGGTTACTCTACCTGTGTTCGAAAGAGAAATGTTCCTCAACAAGAAAGCCAGTTGGAAGCCTCGAATTAGAGCATCGCGATAGGAGTTCTGTGTCAAAGGGAGAATCATATTACAAACACATTAGATGGCAAGCAATTTGATCAGTTGATGGTATTGTCTCGAAAGTTACTTCAGGCAATCAAGATGTTTATGTGATACACTATGACAACACATGTTCTAGAAGTTGAATTGCTGACAAATAGTTTACCTTGGCGCAAGAAAACAACAAAATCAAGCTGTATGTGTTGGAGATAGCTTCGTAATTCTCTGGCATATTGGAAGGAGACATACATTGTGCCCAAATGGAAGAAAGCAGGAGTGTTATTTGGTGGCTGCTCATTCTGAGAGGACCGGCTTCCTGTAATTCGAAGAACTTATAAGGTAATTTGATAATCCATATTAACTACATTTAACGGTCATGCCACAGTCGAAAGAGAACTTACCACTTCTTTACTTCTATGGGCAGAAATGTCAGTGTCTGTCGATGATGGTTTGAAGCTATGCACCCGACTGTAAGATGATTTAAGTCTGTTAAGCACTCCCGAACCCTTTTCTCCGTTGATCTCTAGGTGATTTTCCTTAGACGGATCCTTTGGGCGTTTCATCTTCTCAAACAGAGCAGCTGATGAGGAAAACACGGAAACAGTTCTTGAGAGGGTTCTTGGAACGTGTGTGTTCTTCTTTGGGTCATGAACGGCTGAATCTGCATGAGGGCAGACTGAAGATGGCACAAGAACGACAGCGAAGATCCGATGAGCTCCTACTCGTGTCTCGTGGTCAGGATGCATCATGGCTGGGAGTAGCTGATGGAACAAAGCCTCCGGAAACGCCTGATAGCATAAAATGGTATAAACCATCAACGAATAGCCGAGAGAAGGACAAGGAAATGCAGTTTTCGACATATGAGAAATCAAACCTTGTTCTTGTATGATAAAATTGACAACGAAGCAATGATTTGAGCAGTTCGGAAGACAGCAGAGATAGTTGTTCTAGCAATAACAGTAATGGTAGAGAGATTCTCTAACATGGTAGCCATTACATCGAGGATTAGTCCGGCTTCCCCAACCTGCGTGTATCAGTGAAAAGATCAATATACTACAAGAAAAAAAAAAAAACAATTTGTGGAGGAAGATTAGAGGTAGCATGGACCTTTGCGGAGAGCTCTGTGAGACATTCATCGACTAATTGATGGAATTTTCTATTCCACTTGATGACTTCATGTCCAAGATTTGCATCATCGAGTGAGGAATGTATGCTTCTACGCAAATGCCTCATGACATCGCTTACAGCGCTGACTATAGCCACGGATGGGTGAACTTTTGTGAGGCGAACAAGGGCAGTCACAACCTGAATAATGTCGAGCTGCATTTCAGGTTGCTTGAGGACAGTTTTATGGTCAAGATGCTTGATTAATGTTGACAGCAAAAAGTGCGTATTTTGCCCTGCACGAGCAAAGTAGAATTAAAATTCGATGACCAGAGAAACACCGGATTTAATTGGACAATATTTCAAGCATAGATTAATTGAAACTAACCACATTCGTCCATCACACGCTGCATATCTTTGAGGATGGGGAAAGCAATTCCATTATTCATTGGCCATAGATTACCGTTGTTGAAATATCTAAACAAGGACTCCAAAACACGACGCATTGTTGTAGCCTCCTTTCCTAGATTGGCCATGTTTTGCAGGCACACCTTTGACCAAAAGCAAGGGCTCTTGGCATCTTCTCTGTGTAATTAATGAAGACATTCTTAATAAATGGCATCACAACAAAAGAAAGCGATAATCGAGACAATGCAGAAGATCAAGTGTATGACAGGAAAGTACTCGGAAACAGTTAGTTGTCCACCGTCACTTATAAGGGCACTCCAGGAAGGAACCTCCTTTGTTGAACCTGCAGCAGGAAAGGTGTGTCTGTCATTTTTATCGACATGCTGCACCCAATAGTGGTTAGGCAGGATCGAGAGATTCCTTACCTTCGGTGCTGTAATTTTCCAAAACCACATGAACAATCTGATGAATCAGACAGATATAATAGTTAATAATGCTATATTGATGGCCATCAATACAAATCATGCTATAATGGTAAAGTGTACAGGAAAGGAAACATTTGTGAAGATTGAAGAACATAGATTTCGGTGTATATGCATGATATTATACGGAGAAAGCTAAAATTCTTATTGATTGAATATATGTGCTTACATTATCGAATTCAGACGAAATATGGGAGTTTTCACCCATAAACCAAACCTGCACACAACACATACACAAAATGAGGCCTAAACAAAACTACGTGAAAGGAGAAGAAAAATAACCAAGTACCTAAATAAAATGGTCGATTGTAAACAAAAAGAGAAAATTAAAGTAAACAATAATTTAGGGAATGGAAAATAAATATTCATTATAATATGAGAATTTGTCATAACTTTTAACAAAGAACAAGAAAAGTATGGAAAAAGGTAAAGAACATGATATACCAAGAAACTAGCTCTCAAGGGTCTAGGAAAATTGTAACTTGGACTATCCTTTATTGACAACTTGCTATAGCCTCAGTTCAATAGAATAGATTACGCGAATTATAAGGTTTTTTTTTTTTTTTCAATTTTTTTTTACTATACAATTTAACCATTTCTAATAATAATTTATCAATTTTCCATAAAAACTATCACATCTAACAATTATTTCACCTTAAAATACAAAAACTAAAGCACTTGGAACACAAAAGAGCACACATAAGAATGTACCACGTGCACGCTTGGTTGTTTCTTTATCATTAAAGATTATCCAATGCATATTTTAATATGCTCCACAAAAATAATATGGGTTTCATAATGTTTTTGGGTCGTTAAGAATTTTCAACTATATCAAACTTTCATATTTTTCTAAAACAATACATCTTCTTATTCTCTAAAAAAATATCCATTTAAATTACCTACATGCAATAGAGTTTATATGTTAGGACCGGGTCAACTCATCACTAATATGATATTATCCTCTTTGGCCTGAGTCTATACGAATTTGTTTTAGAACTTCCTCCAAAAAGTTTTGTACTAGTAGAGTTATACGTCGGACTTATAAAGTGTGGGTTCTTTTACTTTCCAATACGAGATTTGAGTTTGCATTCCAACAATATCCCACTTGCTGGTTCGCTAATGTTTAGCCCGTAAGTTATTTTTCAACAGTTCAATATTCTAACTCAAATGTTCTGATCTAAAAATGGCTTAAAATATTCACTACACAAACCATAGCAGATAGAGCTTGCAGCCCAGCTGCACGTCGATGATCTTGCATCTCTTCCTCACTGACTTCTTGAGCCAACTGACAAAGCTTTGGAATTAGTCCCTCGAGGTTAAACATGTAAGTTGAATCACTCTGCAAAGCATGATGAGTTGAATCAGCCAAAAGTTTCCATTAAAGGAAAAGAATACAGTATGTAGTGAAACTCCCTCTGTCATCCAAATTTATGCTCATATTCCCTTTTTGATTGTCATAAAAAGTATTTTTTTTATTTTTGTTTTTATAGTGCATTTCTACCTTTTTGTCATTTTTTTATTTTTTTACTATAGAAGACTTAAAATATCAATTATTACCTACAAACATTAAAACTCGTACATAAAATTATGGACATATTTTTACATGACAGGGGGGGGGGGGGTAACTGACAAAAAGAATATAACCAAGTGCTGACCTGATTGTTCACAAAATCAAAGAGAGTTTGACATCCAATAATTACAATTTCATCTTGGCTTGACTGATCCAGCAAGGTGTGCAGAATAGTCAGCAGACTATTTGCAAACAAAGGCCTGATGTGAAGATGGCATTAGAAAATTCAATAGAAAAAATATTCCGAGAAAGATATAAATGCCATTCAGGAAAATTGTAACTTTAGCTAAAGGTTTAATCATCAATATACTGTCAAATTCAAATAAACGATATAAAAAGTTCTTCATTCTGTTCAAATACAACTCAAGAATGAACTATATTAGAGCTCCCATGAAATGTGGAATTTAAAATTTGTGGAGAAATAGCAACCAAGAAAATGATGAACAACAAAAAAGAATACGACATAAATAAAAGATCTCTTGTGTATAACTAGAATTCAGAATCATATAGACAAAATAAAAGTCAGTCGTAGCAGACGTACATTTGCTTCTTGCAAGATGACAGCAATTTTCTGTAAATAGAGACAACAATTTTTACCGATCGGAAGTTTCCATTTCTCAATTCCCTGTAGCATCTCCTTTCAAGGGAATCTGCTATCTGCAATTCAAAAGAAAACAAAAAGAATCAGAAAAGTTAGCCATTGAAGAAGAAGAACAGAAGCAGCAGAAAATTTTAAGAAGATACTGTGACATGCTAAGACGAAATAGTGGGATTTATCAGAAACTCCAGATGCACATATTGTATCCTAAATCTTCTTATGAATCACACTGTTTCACTTAGTTCCCCCTATGGCTTCGGCAGTCGTAGGAATTGCAATGATTCTATGTAAGGGATACAAATTGGATGGGATATTGTGATGAATCTAAAGAAGGGAAGCCTTAATTTTAGAGAGAGAGAGAGAGGTAGAGAAAGAGAGAGCATCAAACAAAGCCAGAATAACCTACTTCCATCAGAAGAACAATACCTTTGGGATGCGCAAAGGATTTTTCGAAGCATATTCACACAACTTCCCAATCTTCCTGTCATTTGGCTCTTCTTCCTAAAATAAAAAGAAATTAGTGTTATAAGTCGATAGTTCTTGATAAAGTAGCACAAGTACCATTGTTAGTGCATAATCATTCAGCCATGGGCAGAAAGTATAAGTTGCAAAACATACATTATTACATAAAACCAAAACATATACGTATTAATCATACATGTGACACCAATTACTATCAATTAATGATGGGTATAATCTCAATCATTTTAATTTAAATTTTTTCTTGTCTTTTAATAATTTTGCAAGCTAAGAATGATGTTGAACTACACCATATGAATCATGAAACTCACCGGGGATCGAGGGAAGATATCCGAAATCAACTTCTTGTACCTCCTAACAGGCTGCCTAGATCTCTCACGCAGTCCCGGACAGAAAAAACAAAGGGCACCACAAGCCGGCACAATTTGCCTTGAGATTACACCCGAAACGGTTGTCATGTTTACATAGAAAGCTCACTTAACAACTCTATTATCCCAAAGTCCACCTACTAAATTTGCTGCTTTCTTTCCCTTCTTATCAATCTCGAAAATATAATATATCCTCGAAACCTTCCAAAGCTATGCGAAGGGAAAGAGAAGCTAATATAATCAAGCCGGCACCGACAATTTACTTCCAAAATTCAGGTACCAGCCTGCACAAATCCAAACATAAACCCTAAGAACAATTAACACCAATCCATTTCAACATAAACAATGAAAATGCACAAAATCCTAATTCAATAACCAAACAGGGAATCCAAATTATTATCTTCCAATCAATCTAAACCCGAATCCAATTCATAGATTGTTCAATTCTAATAGATTCCCAATTAATCAACCAACATACAACATACATTGCATACCCCAATTACAATTGTTCGATAAGAACCCAATTGGGGGTGGGGAGATTTTGATCGATTCGATTCGATCGATCGAAGTAGGCATACCTTCGGGGAGACGCCTGTATAGAACAGACCCAGAAGGCTGGCAACCCATCAAAGAATTTCCACGAATATACCGATTCTCAAGCCTTTTCCCGAAACTTATGACTCTGGCTGTCTCTCCCCCGTCGTTCTACGCAACCAATTTTTCTTACTATAGATAGCAGGAAGCATTGGAATTCGAATTTCAGCCGCAGCGGCATCAATGATTGGAGCATCTCCATTCGCGACATACGGTTAATTTGGGGGAAAATTCGTACCTTGAAATTAACTGGCATTTGGCTGGTGACCGTTATATGTGCTCGGAATTTCAAAGTGTATATATATCTATCCCGGCCCGGTCTAATTATGGTATCAAAACAACAACTAAGAAATAACAGTTACTAAAATAATAATAATATTTTAATATAAAAATAAGATAAATTAAAAGTAAATTAAAAATATTAAATAGAATTTTATAAAAAAATTAATAATATAATAATGAGATAAGTAAAAAAAATTAAAAGAATTAATTATTATTTATTAAAATCAAAATAATGAGATTATGAATTTAAAAAAATTATTAAATTATTTATAACTTTTTAAAACAATCAAAAAATAATTAGGATAAATTAATTTAGTATTAAAGATATTAATAAAATTATTATTAAAATAAAAGAATAAATTATTATTAAGGAGAGAGTATTAGCTTAGTACATCCGGAAGTCTCATAGACATGGTTGCTTGTTCAACAAAATTAAAAAATAATCTTTGATTGGATATGAAGAAAAAAAAAATGTATTTTAAGATAAAAGTAAAATAGATTATAAAATTATTATAAAAAAGTATTAAATAAATAATAAAAATATTTTATAAAGTAAATACATAACGATAAATTAATTATTATTTGTTAAACTAAAAATAATAAGATTATAAATAATATTTTTTTAGGATTACATTATTACATATAAATTTATACGTAAAAAAAATAAAATTATTAACATAATTTGACGAATAAATAAAGTATAATTACATGTTACAAAACAAAACAGTGTTTATATATATGTAACAAAATAAAATATATTACTATAAATAATATGTTAGATATTCAGCATTGATAACACTATATAAATTATACTCCCTCCGTTCACTTATAAGGTAGTTAAAAATTGTGTAATGATATTTTTGCCCTGAGTATTTAATGAAATATTAATTTTGTAATTGAACTTTCCAACATTGCAAGAGTGGACGGAGGGAGTATTAGATAGGTTTGTAATTTACACAAAAATGAATATTATTTTTTATTATTTATTATTATATTTTTTTTTTGTTAAAATAGATATTTTCGAAAAAAAAAAATAATTTTAGTTAACAATGAAGGAGTATTCCTCGTACAGAAGAATGGTGTAATCTTACAAGTAGACAACATTGAAGAAAATATGGCGACACAAGACAAGAAACACTCGATTTAAACACAAACAACATCTTATCTTGTGTTAGATAATCAAATCCCAAACGTACCTTGTGTTCTTTTTAAGCTTTCGAAAAGCCTCCATGTTCTCGCTCGACGTGATCGACGAGAGTCACCGGATCGCGAAACCCTTTGCTGCATTTGGGGCAGATGTCGAGCGTAGCCTTCATAACGCCATTCCTTTCATGAACCTTCTCGACGTGATCCACCAACGCGCCGACCGTCGAGAATCTCAGACTGCATTGCGGACACGCTTCGACTCCGCCTCCTCCATTATTGATGCCGCTGTTTTTTTCCGTCATTTTGTCCCTAGACATTGCTTGATTGAATTCAGTGCTCAATTTGGCGATCCAGGCTTCTGCAGAAGCCCGAACAGAAGAAGCTGCATTGAAGAAACTCGTCGCCCATTTCGACGACGATGCGACAGGAGGGGGTTTCTTCGGGTCGTCTTTTCTTGATCGATTTAAGAACCCCATTAGTTGAAAAGATGAGTCGGGTTTCTTTGGTCCGGGGCACTTGTGGTCGGGTCCAAACCTGTGTTTTAAGCAGTGGTCGGAGTTGCAATCCCGGCATTTTATTGTGTTTGAGTAGCTTAGAATCTCTCGGCACCCGGGAACTGGACATTTTCTTCTTTTCGTAGCTTTTTCATAATTTGAGGGATCGCATTCGACGTTTACGTGCGATTCCCATGTGATGTTTGGATCTTCCTCGGGAATTAGTCGAACTCCTTTAGCGCAGAGTGGGCAGACTACGACAGTCACGTCATTTTTGTTCGCCTTTGGGCAATTGTGCCTGCTGTAGCTTCGATGCTCAAGACAAAATATCTGCGCGCAAAAACATTAAATAAATGACCTGTGGTAGATTAAAAAGGTAAAATCCAGCAGACGACATGCAATTTATTGAAATCAAGCACTCAGGTACTCCTTCCGTCTCACATAAATTGTCCAATTTCGATATATACTAATACAGTTCTTAGTTACTTACTAATTATACTTTACCTAAATTCTCGTATCTACCGTAACGTGAATAATTTATCCGGGGCGGAAGGAGTATATAATTAAGAACACTCTATATTGATACTCTTTAAGGTTAGAACAGCATCTACGCTGCATCGTGTCAATGTTGTTTACAATTTAGTTATATCCTTATATGTTGCACTTCCGAACAAATTTTTAATGTGCTTATTTACACTCTTTGTTCTCAAAACTACTTTCAGACTAAATGTATACTTCTCTAAGAATATGTTTCGGCTTCTGCGCCGAACAATCGCAAATCATCAATATATTACCATTACACAACAGTGTATGTTGTAATTTATATTCAACCTTTGGACATACATAATTTTGTACTTAAGGCCAATTCTAATTGACTAGCACTAAAGTCTTTTACATGAGACAGGATTTGAACCCGTGACCTCGTTGATTTAGGTGCTTCTTCAATATGGGACTTGGTGTTGCATTTGTATTACATTCTCATCCAAGAAAAAAATATGCATTTGGCATCAATTTTGATGTATTTTTAATTTTTATTTAGAGTAAACTACTTGTGCTAATTTACATTAATTTAGTAGAAAAAAAAAAGATAAAATAAAATACTACATGAACACAATTTTTTAAAACTAGTTGCGTATTAAGGGTTTGTTCACCCAATAATTGTTTTTCCTAACACGATTTTCAATAGATATAATATTTATATTTTACTTCCACAAAAGTCAACAATTTACCACGAAATGCTATTTTTTATATTACCGACACGATTTTTCATGCCTCACATAAAAAAAACATTTCAAACTAAAATACTAAACAAGCTATAATAAAATAAAACTAATAAATGAAACTAGAGCTTAAAAAGTGAGATAAAAATTGAAAGGCAGTCCCCAGCCATTTTGGCACCGGAAGTGAATAAAAATGACGAGGGATTCCACAAAATTTCTCTCAATCATAGTGTGGGTTAAGAGACACGTACATCATCAATCCACCGAACAATATCATATAGATTGAATTTGTGCTATTCAAAAATGTTTTTAACTTTGAACACATGCTATTTTCGGTAAAGCACACAAAATTAATCTTTTTTTATTGAAAGGGGAGATCTAAACACATACTATAGAAAGAGGAACTTGATCTAGGCAACTAAATGGTTACTATTGTACTACATATATTTCCAGCAAAAACTGTCGGGATTAAGATTAAGACGAGCTACGCTACAACAGGGAAGAGAAACAAAGAAAATGCAAATATGCATCACAGTGTATCTCTGTCCAACAATAGCCTAATCAATGTTAACGACATATCCATTAGTGAATCCAAAACTTTCTTTCAAGTTCGAGTCTAATTCCAGAAGTTAATTTGCATATCTTCTCTGTTCTTGAATTCATTATAATTAGCATAAGTTCTTCACCCTTCCTACCCTCCCCGTCTAGTCGACATTGTCTCATTTAAGCAATTCTACTCATAGTTGTCAATTTCGGATCAACTTTTAAAACGCTATATCGCGATAGCAGACATAAAAATGACTGCTATTTAAAAATTTAAAAATATACATATAAAAATTATTATTATACAAAATTACAATAAAAAGGCATGAGAAAAATGTAATCAATCTCATTATTATCATTAAAATCAATAAAATTGCAAAAAATATATAATCATAGTTCATAAATAGTTATATAAGCAAAAACGATTAGATTACAACTAATTTGATAAATACATAATCAAAGTCAAACAGATTCAAAATCTGATAAATAGTTTTTTCTCATTTTCCCTAACAAATATTCTTATTCCTTTTACGTCTTCTTCTTCATTTTCATTCATTTCTTTCTTTGTATGCTCGTCACATTGCACATGTTCTTTTCCTCTCTAGAGCTATAAATAGTTACATCATACTATAATATAATAGTGTAAGATTTATATTTACCAAATAACAAACTATTCACATCCCAAACTAAGATATCACACACACTTAATGCAGAAAAATAAACAACACATATATATATCTAATATATATACATACACAAATTTCCAGAAACCATGGATTCAACCGTACGCAAGTAAAATTTTGTCTCGCAATTGTAGAGCATGATCAGAAGATATTGCTTAGGCCGTGCTGCCGTGAACTCAATTAAATCAGGGTCCAATCGAAGCACAACCTCAACAAAATCCAAATCCAGAAGCACATATGCATCCAAATCAATACCAATTTCCGACAAAAACATGATCTATAACACTAAACCCTCCCCCCAAATCAAGCAGTGAGAAAATCCAGAAAGTTCCATAATCCAACGACTTCAACATAATTCCAAAACAGATACACTAAATCAACGCAATTCACGAGCCTATACGAAACAACTGAAGTACCTGCTGGCAGCAATCGCAGGTAAAGGGCAAAAAATCAATCAGGCGGCAATCCTCAACCCTGCAGTGCTTTCCGAGATTCGGGAATGCAGGAGTCCCCATTTTTTTACCAGATGGAATTGCAGTTGAGCTCTGAATCGAAATTCTCCGCCTGGAATCGGTTCTGCTGAAATCGAGCAATGAATCAAGCTTAGATTTTTCTTCGTCTCCCCGGAAATCCGCGTTGCGTTTTTGGAGCTTACACCACGCTTTGGCTTTGAATCTGGGAGAATTTTATATTTATAAATTTTTATTGTTAAAATAAAATAATTAATTTGCGAGAGTTGGCTTAAAAGCGCTATACGTATTTTAGAAATCGCTGTTCTTTATTTGACTGAATCGCGCTTCTCGTCAAGTACGCTTTTGAAATGGTAAAATGAAAGACTAGTAATAATAACTCTTGTTTGTTCTGTAAAATATTTTGAAATAATATTTTTTTGTTATCTAAATTATAGAATATTGTGTAAATAATATAAAAAATATATATAATATATTAATTTTTTAAAAAAATTGTGTGAAAAAAAAAAATTCATCCGTTTTACTTAATTTGTTCACCTTTTCTATATCATTAGTCTCACGTAAATTGTCTCTTTTCATTTTTAGAATATAACTATATACTTTAATCATATTTTAAAATTCATAATTTTTTTTTAATTTAAACTATTTTTAATATATAATTAAATTTATTATATCATAAATATTTTACTAATAAATTTTTAATTACTTACTAATTATTATATCATATCTAAAATTTTATGTTACAATTAAAATGGACAAAATAGTTGAGACGAAAAAAGTATAAAAAAAACACGCTAATGGTGTTTTTATTTTTAAATTTTACTATTCAAAAACACTTCGGTCATTTTATAAAATAATAATAAAAGAATTAGGAAGAGAGATTTTTTTTACAAAAATAATATTTTAATATTATTTATGTTAAGGCTAACCATGCCACTTTATATGGTCAAAAATTAAATAACAATAATATTTTAATATAGGTAAAAAGTAAAATAAGTTATCATAAGAAAATTATTCAAGAATTCAAGGAAAAAAATTATGACTTGGCAAATAAAAAAAAATAGTAACAAATTAATTATTATTTGTTAAAATATGAATAATAAAATTATAAGTATTTATTATAAATAAATGGACATAAATTTAATAAATAAGTAAAAAATAAAATGACATAATTATAGCAGACTAAAAGAGTATTTTTCGTTTTAAGGATAGGGTTAATATTTTATAGAATTGGTAATATAATGTTTGGATTAGAATAGAATTGGTTATTGATTTGTCATATCAATATGATTCATCGATTAACACATATTACCAATATAAAAATTACTAATAATCAAAATTGTATATATAAATATAGCCAAGATATTTAAGCGTGTGTTTCTTTACATCCAAAACCACAAATTTTTACTATTTGAACTTTGTATTTCCCAAAAATTTTTAATATCATTCTACATTATTTTAATATCAAACTCAAATCAAATTTTTTTCAAACTTATAAAAAAAACAAACCCTAATAACAACTCTAGTCATGTTCAACTCTTGCTTGACATCTCTCGTAAAATATAGTTTGATAGCATAAAAATAGACTCGTAATCGTAAATAAGTTCAAACTTCTGACGTTTTCTGATTTGTCTACCACATATAATTCGTGTAAATAGCTATTACAAATTTCCATATCACTCCATCCGTCCCATTGAAGAATGTCATTTGCTTTTTGCATGTAAATTTTTTAATATTAATATTATATTGAATTGTAGTAAAAAGACAAAAATAGATACTCCCTCCATCCCAGAAAATATAAGACTATTACTTTAGATACAGAAATTTAGGTAAAATATAATTAGTACATAATTAAAAAGTGTATTAGTAAAAATAATGATTATTTAGTAAAAATAATTATAAATTAAGATTAAAATAAGTAAATAGTTTAATTAAAATTAAGAAAATTATAAAATTTAAAATGCGATTAAAGTGCATAATTATATTTTCAAAAATAAAAAGGACAAGTTATGTGGAATGGTCGAAAATAGAAAATAGGAACAAATTATGTGAGACGGAAGAAGTATAATATAAAAATAATAGCATTTGTGTAATATATTGTAAATTGAAAGTGTATTTATTATGTTAGATAGGTAGTACGCTTACTAAATTAAAAAATGATAACCTTGTTCTGAGACGGACGAAAATAGAAAATGGTAACCTTTCAACAGGAGGAGAGAGTATTACTCTTTATTCAACACTTATTTACAACAAATACCACTAATTTTATTATATACTCTCTTCATTTACTTTACTTTTTAACTAAATTTTCAAAAATACCCTCAACTACCTGTCACTTTTTCAATAATTTTTTTTTTTTTTTAAATTCTCGTGTCGAGCTCAAATGGACTAATTTTAATAGACTGAAGGAGTACATAACTATTTAAAATGCTGATTAAAGGGAACCAAAACAACATAAATTATAGTAGAAGATATATTCCACGTTCCATGGAGTAAAAATAAAAATAAAAACAAAAAATCAATAGGCAGAGAAGCCAAATCAAGAAAATCTCTGCCCTCAACAACTACAGTATTTATTTATTCCTTCTTTATCAAATTGTAAAAAAGGAAGGGAATGAATGGCACACCTGTTTCTTTCTTTGTCTGTAAGTGAATGGAACAAAATTCATTATTTGCAGCAGCAGCAGCAGCAGGCTTGAGATCGATCGATCGATCTTTGATATGCAAGCAAAACATAGACAGACTAATTGATGGGGTCGATGACCAGCTTCCGGGACTTAAGAACCGACCACTTGAGGCGCCGGTAGTATCCGGCTTGAAGGAGAGCCAATGACAGCAGAAGGATCCACTTGAATCCCATCTGCAGTACCCAAGCAAAACGTCAGCATATCTCGTTCCGACTAAATATTAGAGTTGGCAAAAACTGACCCGATACGAAATAATTGGATTTGAATAAAAGATTTCAACACGATTATATATACGGGATGATACGAACCCGATAGGATAATAAACGGGTCGGGTCAGAGTTGAGACTCTCAACTCGAATCCGACACGACAACTCGATTATAATATATTAATATATTTATTATATATATAAAATAATTATGATTATATGATTAGCCCACATATTAATTTAATCCAAATTTAATTTTAAATAATTCAATCTAATTCATTGTGCATATTACACTAGAAACAACAAAACTAATATAACACCACAACATGACTTAATTATGTATACGGGTCAACATAAACCCGATATGATAATAAATGAGTCGGGTTAAGATTGAGTTATTTAACCCATTTAAAGTAGTCAACTCGACACGAACCCGACACGAATCGACTCATTGTCAGCTCTACTAAATATGAATATCCTCAACTTTGATTCGGGAAGCTTACCAGTTTTCTCTCTTCCATTTCAGGTTCTGCAGCCCATGACAGGAAGGATACCACATCCTTCCCCATCTAAAGAAACAAGAAAGAAAAAAGAGATTAGATTTTAAAATAACGACCGACAGGCATTGGTCGAACAAGAGGGAGCAGAAAGGTGAGCTTGCCTGAGCCTCGGTGGCAGGGGTACCATCTTCATACTCAACAGCTCCGTCGTTGAGCATTTTAGGCATGGCTATAGCACCTCCCGGGAAGTAGGGATTATAATGCAACCCTTCACGGATCTAAAGTAGATTAAAAACAAACTGGCTAGTTAGTGTATCAAATCAGATTACATGGATACATTAATTCTACAAGTACAAAAAAAAAAAAAAAAAAAAAAGAAAAAAAAAAGGAGAATTTCTATGAGCAATTAATCACTAGTCGTAAAAAATAAATATCGTAAACAAGAATGGTACATTCATCCACCAGCAAGATTGGTATATTTGGACAGTATCTATATATATAGCATTGGGCTAAAGGAGAACTCAGAAAGGGGCTGCTAAGTAAATGGCATGGCCAATTAGAGAGTCTGCCTTTAGTGTAGAACCGTTAAAAACTGACACGACATGACAACCCAATACGAAATAGTTTGATTGAGTCAAGGATTTTAACCCAAGCATGTATATGGATTGACATGAACCCGACACGACAATTTGATTATAATATATTAATATTAATTAATACTTTTATTATATCTGTAAAATAATTCTAATTTGATAATTCACATATAATTTAAACTAAGTTTAATCTAAAATAATTCAACCTAATTCACTACACATGTTACATTAGAATCGAAAAAACTAACATAACACGACAACTAGACAATAAACAATTGGATTTGGATCAAAGATTTCGACCCAATTATATATATGGGTCAGCACAAACCCGATACAATAATAAACGAGTCAACATGAACCCAATACGATAATAAACATATCGGTTTAGGGTTGAGCGATTTAATCTTGGTAAAGTATTCAACTCTGACACGAATCAGACTCATTGCCAGGTTTAATTTAGTGCATACTCTGAATAAAGGAAAACTATACAATCAGCAGGCATTAAGATAAAACCAGGATTATATTCCAAATCAAACACTTAATAACGTAGAACATCGTAATGAGATCTTAACCAACCAAAGCATTTACAGAAGAATTAGACAACTGAAATGGATTAGAGTTACTATTCATACATAAAATAAATGAGAGATCCATCAAAACTTACTGAAACGCCAGCTGGAGGATCACGGTACCCGGTTAAAAGGCCGAATACATAATTTTGGCCATTGTGACGAGCCTAAGAACAAAACAAACTGTAACTTAGCCAAGAAGGAAAAAAAGAACTACCAAGTAAACTATCTATAACTTAGTGGAAAAGTGGTACATACTTTTGTGATGAGACTTAGATCTGGAGGATAAGCCCCACCATTTGCAAATCTAGCTGCTTGTTCATTTGAATATGGCTCAGGAAAACGATCGCTCAGTTTCCCAGGACGAGTAAACATTTCCCCTTCATCATTTGGGCCATCAACGACCTCAATCTCAGCAGCCATAGCCTTAGTCTCTGCCTCTGTGTAGGCGACGCCCACCAAATCACGATATGAAACCAAAGACATGGAATGGCAGGAAGCACACACTTGTTGATAAACTTGATGACCACGCCGAATCCTATTTAAAACAGTCATTGGTTTATCAATGTGATGAAAGTGGTAATTAAGTTTTATCTGAACTTCCAAAATACTCAAAATTATGAAAATATTGTCCATGACTGCCTGTACAACTCATTAACCTTGGAACAAACGTAGAACATAGTTGATAATACTTTTGATATCAAGGGATGTTACAAGTGGTAAAATGCACGGATGTAAGAAAGAACCTAATAACCATTCTTGCTGATGGTGTATAAACAACATGACTCGCTACCACCAAGCTTCAAGATTTTATTATGCTCAAACTTTAAAATCACAGTTAAATGAAGACTCATGTCTCTTTCGAAGGGAATGCATCTTCACGCCATTAAAAAACAAAAGACACAAAAGCAACATGCTTATAATATAGAGTCTACAAGTTTTCTCCAGTGTTCTTTTGTATAATATTTTTACTATTCAGCCTATTATGTTCCCTCCCAAAACTTCGCATCTACTCAAAAACATCAAAATAAAAAATACAAAACAAAAGCAAAAACACAAAAGAGCGCGCCTTCATCTTTTCTTTTGTATTTTAGAATATCAGCAGTATTTACTCAATTGCAAACAACCAAAGTCTTCTCAGAAAAAATATATTAATCTGAAGTGTAGACACCATAAAAGGGGGTAAAGGAAATATGGCATATAGTTTTTGTTTAAATTTTGTCTAACAAAGTTAATGGTACGGTAGCTTTGACACAGGAATTATTCAAGTGGAGCACAGAGGTTGATAACAGTTGACACTAAACATATATCGACATAAGCATATTTCAGGTTCGAAACATCATACCCACCAAAAACAAAGTGTTGTCAAATGGTAAATATTGATTTCTGAACCAATCTTGACAAATGAAATGACTGACCGGAAATAAAAGATGTAAGGCTTGTCATAAGTTGATTTAATTTTAACCGACTATTCATGGAGCTTAAATTAAAAGAAGATTTGAAAACTCACGAAGCATGGTCATAGGATCCTAGAATGCCGTTATGAGGCCAAGGATAGCTTGGGACTTCCAGACCATGTTCAGCCTCATCACAGGATGAGATTGTAGCAAAGCTCAACAGCCCTGATACACCAGCTCCAACTATGGCCAATGACCTCAAGGAATTTGAAGTGCCAGATCCAAGACCTTCATGCCCTTTCTTGGAAATAAGAGATGACAAAAACGACGATGACTGAAGCAGAAATATATTGGAGTTACTTCTTTTATCAACAAAATGTGCATGTGTATACATAATTCTAAAAACTTGCAAACTGAGACAGATGTTTCGGTCCATAACACACAATGTGTATTGAAATCCTGTTTTAACTGTAAATGAAAATCTAAAAGTGTTACTCCTAGACAAGATCCAGGAATTTTGCACAGCATGAATTGGGGCTTTGCTATTCAGCGATGTAAACACTATACAAAAGAAAAATAAAATCAGGATTACAAAAATCAGAAGTATGATAACTTACACTGCTTTGTGACTGAAGTTTCTCTCTAAGTAACCGGTGGAAGGCTCTACCTCCAAACATCTTAGCTTGTAAATCGTATCTAATTATCAGAAGGAGGAAAAAGGAAATATATGATAAGAAAAGCGAACAAAGTAGAGCAGGTTGTGTAGTATTTTCATTCGTAAAATTCAGAAAAGCAAATGAGAAGTACCATAGTACAGAATGCTTAACAAAGGAAACAACCAGCAACATTTCATGTGTGCTGACGGTATGTTGAATCAAGACACTGATGAAAAAATATTTTTAAAATTTGGAAAGAATTGGGCACTGAAAACCTGCTATTAAAGCTGTTGAATGTCTGAATTTTTATACAGCCACCGCCAAATAAAATACATTCAGGGTGCGTTCGTTTGAAGGATTTTCCCCGATTTTTTCTATTCACCAAATTTTACCTCCAAAAACATTAAATCAAATACTTATTTTCCATTTTTTATATTATTCTAAAAATTAATTTTACATTCAAAACATCAAATCAACACCTATTTATACACTATCGTATAATTATTCTAATTCAATTTTTTTACTATTCGAAACTCAATTCAAAATCCAAACCCTCAAACAAACACACCCTGAATGTGATTATTTACCAAAAGAAAGTGAATCTTTAGATCCAATCAACTTATAGATGATAAAATGCTTGAGAAATATATTTCCAGTGATTCAGTGATTCACATATTAGGCATGAAATAAACGACCAACAGATTATTCCCTTCCATCACATCCCCACACTTTCATTCTTTTCAAAAAACCTTAACCCACCTAATAAAAAATCAAATGCGATGCAAACAAATTATCATTTCGCATGAGAAATCCATTGAAATTCCTCAACCAGGAGAAATGAATTCAAAATGGAAATCCCTGGAACCAAACACTGATGTCCAAAATGAAAATCTAGCAAGAATTAATGACGCAAGCAAAAACATTTCCACATGTAATGTAAATCTACTCGAAAATATTCGCTTTCTCACAATCAGAAACACGAAACTCACACCCTTTCATCATTTTCAGCTCGGATTGATTCAAGATCAGAGACAAAAATGCAAATACAGCACTAAAGCTGAAAATAAAAATCATAGAGAGAATCTACGGCAGCAATTTGTACGATACCTAGAACGTCCACAACTCCAACGGCGAACAAAATTCAGATCATCAGGGGGGGAACGGCGAAAAAAATTCAGAACTACGCGAAAATATTGAATCTATACCTTGAAAGGAGGAAAGACAAACTCCGATGGGCGGCGAGCGTGGGTACGATCCGAAAGGGAAGAGCAGGATCGGTCTTCGCTGCTTTACAGTCGAGTTTCTCTAAGTTGCGAGTTCGGTGGGCCAACAATGGACCTTAATATGGGCTTACATAGTCCCATATTACAAACTAGGAAAAGACAAAAAAAAAAAAAAAAAAAAAAAAAACTAGGAAAAGACAAATAATTTGTAATAATTACTCGCTTAATATGGGCTTGTTTGGTCTATACGACGTTTAAAAAAGATGAATATTTTACTAAAACATGACAGATAATTAAGAGTATTTTAAAAAAATTAGTTAAAAATAAAAAATAAATGTAATAAAAATAATGATATTTTTTAAAATAATGAATTAACAATAATAATTAAATATTGATGTATTGATTTTGTCAAAATTAATAATGAGATAAATTTAACTAATAGACTAAAAAAAATAGAAATAAATTTGATGGAGGGAAGAGTATCATTTTAATTAATGTTTAATATTTTATTTTTCTTTCAAATATAAATCCAAATATAAATGTAATTATGTTTAGAGATGAAAATGTCTTTGACAATATAAATATACTTCCCTCGTTAGTCAAATTAATTTTTATTTTATTTTAGTTTGTGCGTTAAACTTATCTCGTTACTAACTATTATTATAAAAAAATCAATTATTCATCATTTAATATTTATTTACAATAAATATAACTAATTTTATTATATTATTTCACAGGGTATTTTAATTTTTATTAAAATTCCAAAAATACTTTTAATTACTATCATCACTTTACAATAATATATTCATGTTTCTTAATTAAAAATAAAAAAACAAAAAATAAAAAACAAAAACAAAAACAAAAGGTTTACTATTACCTCCGTCCCTGCAAAAAGAGCAATATTTATTTTTTGCAAGTAAAATTTTTTAATATTAATATTATATTGGTTTATAATTAAAAAGATAAAATTGCCTTTAATATATTATGCGATAAAAAAATAATGATATTTGTGTATATTGAAAGTTATTAGGGTGTGTTTGTTTGGGGCTTGGATTTTAGATTAGGATTTGAATAGTAAAAAATTTGAATTTGAATGTTGTTGATGCAATTTTTCAACAATAAAAAGTAAACTCCGAAAATAGGAAATTATCTTCGAATTTGATATAATTAGTACATGAGATTAGGAATATCTAAACACTGTAGGATACATAAATAAAATAAGAAAATAAAACTACATACTAGAAACAGACCCGAATCCTTAAATAACTCCTAAAGAAACGGTTTGAACCGCCGTCTGATCGATTACAGCAACCGCTGTCAAACCGCCCACCAGGTTCTCTTCTGTTGCACGTGTGTTAACCGACTCACCAACCGTTCTCACCAATTACAACACTCAACTGACTTGTTTGACCTCCCGACTTGCCTGACTTCGCTTCGCTCAACCTTATCACATCCGACCTTCGTACCTGACCTAATCACATCTGACATCAGTTCCCGACCTTATCATGTCCGATCTCCTTGCTCGACCTTACCACGCCCGACTTCTGAGCCCGACTTACTCACGTCTGACCTCAGTGTCCGACCTTATCACGTCCGACCTTTGTGCCCGATCTTACCGCGTCCGATCTTAACACACGACCTGATCACGTCCGACCTCCGTGTCCGACCTGATCACGCCCGACCTCAGTGCCCGACCTTATCACGTTCGACCTTTATGCACGACCTTACAGCGTCCGATTTTAACACCCGACCTAATCATGTCCGACTTTCGTGCCCGACCTGATCACGTCCGACCTCCATGCCCGACCTGATCACGCCCGACCTCATGAGCTCCGTGTCCGACCTTATTCACCTGGTCTCTGCCTTCTCCCGAGGAAGTCTTTTCCTTTAACAGCGTCCGAACTTATATTCGGGCTTTCTTTTTGAAATCCTACTACCATTAACAAGCCCATTAAACTTTACACCACTCCTTAACCTAGGCTCATTCTCGAAAACCTATCAATCGTTTTTTTTGCTCAACAAATATAAAATTGATTTTTAGTATAATATAAAAAAAATGAAAAATAGGTGTTTGATTTGACGTTTTTGAGATGAAAAAATTGGATGAATAGTTGGATTTAAATCCAATCCTCCAAACAAACACACCCTAAATTAAAAAATGATACTCACTCTGTCCTTTGAATGGTAACATTTGTTTTTTGCACTTAAATTTTTAAATATTAGTATTATATTATATTATAATAAAAAAAAGACAAAAATACGATATTTATTATGTTAAATAAATAATATAATTATTAAATTAAAAAATAGCAAGGGAATGACAAAGAAAAACAGTAACTTTCAAAGGGAAAGACGGAATATTTTTTTTTAGACCGATAAATATAGAAGATGATATCCGGGATGGAGGAATATTTAAAATTCTCTTTTTTAAAAAACCATATATAATTTAAATTAAAATATAAATATAAAAAATTTGCAAAATAAACCCTAATCGTGTTTCATCGTCGTCTCCGGCTTCATCGCCGTCGTCTTCCTCGTTGCCTCCGCCTTCTTCGCCGTCGTGTTTGGCTTCCCCGATCGACAGCGCCGCTGTCTTGGTCTGCTTATTCACCTGTGTCTTCTTTCGTTTTTGTCTTCCTTTTCCCTTTGCTTTTCTCGACCGTAGTTGTCTTCCTCTTCCCTCACTTTTTCTGTCGCCTGCGTCTTCGTCATCCCGTTCCTCGCCGACGCTGTTCTGTTTCTTCCCATTGGATCGGATTGACTTACTTGCCGGAGCTCAAAATATTTCTTCAATCGAAACGTCAGAAGAGAAGATGAAGAAAAATAGTAGCAGCGCCAATTTTCCCGATAGGGTTGGTCCCCCAATCCTGCCGCCCGACCCTAATCTACCGCGCTTCCTCTGCCAGAATTGTCACCAAACCGTCTCTGTTGCCGGATTTGATTCTCACGCTGATAAATTTCTCGCCTCAGGTCAAGGTTAGATTATAGAATCAATTGAAAATTTCTTCCTGTTCCATGAATCAAGAAGATGAATTTTATACTGCCCTAAGAGAGCACTCTTATCTTTTCCATTTATTCTTCTTTTGTGCTATATTAGGAATTTTGATCGATACATATTCAAGATTTTGCATAAGTTTGAATTAGAGAGCAAACACTCTTCTACTTCAATCCATTACATGCAAATATACCAATTTGTTTGCTATTAGGTTTTGCTAATTGCCTTAAAGATGTAGAACATGAGAATGTGGAAGCTTCAGCACCCTAGAACCATTGTTTTGTTTGCATAAATCTTAGGAATGATACTTATGCAGGGATGCAAGGTTCTTCAATCATTGGAACTGGTAGCGTCGTAGGATCAACACGGATGGACCATTCATTCGTTGTACTACCTAAACAAAGGAACAATACTCCGGGAGCTTCTCCACGACCTCGAGGTGGTGTAGCTATGCAATCCGAGACTTCTCAAACTGGAAAGGCAATAGACGAGTCTTTTGTTGTATTACCTCCACCAGCTGCTTCGGTATACAAAAGTGAACCTGGAGCTGCTGCCAGTGGCAGCAATCATCCGTCACCGGAAAGCGAGCCTAGCAAAGTTCCCACTCAGCCACACAACTCAGGCTTTCACTCTGCTATAACAGTCCTAAGTCGTGCGTTCAATATTGCTACCACTCAAACTGAGGTACTTCATTTACGCCTATGGAATTTTCGATTCAACACTGATACATACACTGCAAATTTTACAATTTCTTTTCCGATATGATATTTTCTGCAGGTGGAGCATCCTTTGTGTCTTGAGTGCATGCGAGTTTTGTCGGATAAACTTGATAAGGAGGTTGAAGATGTGAATAGGGACATAGAAGCGTATGAAGCTTGTCTTAAACGCTTAGAAGGGGAAACAAAAGTTGTACTAAGTGAAGCAGAGTTTCTTAAGGAAAAATTGAAGGTGCTTATTTTACAATTTCATACAAACATTTATTTGTCGGGTGCTTTTGCTGAGGGCTTAGGACTTAACATGTCAAAGATGTATGTGTATGTGTTTATACATGTATAATCACATTGCAGTTTTCCTCTTTGATTTTACTGTGAACACTAATTGTCCTGAAATCCAAATATTGCTAACTGTATTTGGTTGCCCTGGAAGATAGAAGAAGAAGAACGGAAACTTGAAGCATCAATTGCAGAAACAGAGAAACAATTTGCAGAAGTTACTGCTGAAATGAAGGAGCTGGAGTTAAAATCTAGTCGATTTAAAGAGTTAGAAGAACGGTAAGTTTCTTCATATAAGTTTTGAATGGTGTATTTTAGTGTTCCCGATTGGAAATATGTAAGTTTTAGTTGTTCCTTAACTTATGGTTCAGTTCAAAAATCATTCTTGTCGTTGATCTAATTCCTAGTATTGTCTTCCTCAGTTACTGGCAGGAGTTCAATAATTTCCAGTTTCAGTTGAGCTCGCATCAGGTTTTTTATGGCTAAACTTCTTTTTACATCTTGATTATTCTAAGCCAGGGCCCACAAGCTCTTTTAGAGATATTATATCACTCGATTGTAGTTGATCTTGGCGATAATTACTAACATTATTAAACTACAAATATGTGGTCAATAGGAAGAGCGGGATGCAATTCTAGCCAAAGTTGAAGTCTCACAAGCTCATTTAGAGTTGTTGAAGCGAACTAATGTGCTGAATGATGCTTTTCCTATTTGGTACGATGGAGAGTTTGGAACTATCAATAGCTTTCGTCTTGGAAGACTGCCTAAAGTTCAGGTATATATATTTACAGCTGTGGCATTCTTATTTTCGGGGATTTTTTTCCCCCATTGCTCTCTATTTGATTTTGCAGGTTGAGTGGGATGAAATAAATGCAGCCTGGGGGCAGGCTTGCCTTCTCCTCCATACAATGGCTCAATACTTCCGGCCGAAGTTCCTGTATCCTTTCGTTAATTAAAAGTTCTCTAAGCTATCTTTAAACTCACTTTGTAGGCCCTCTTTCCGGAAAAATTATGTGGGTTTGTTTGAGCATGAAGGCTAAAAAAAATAATATTTTAATATAAAAGTAGGGTAAGTAAAAAATAAAATTGAAGTATCATGGGAAATTTGTTAAGAAGTTTGATATAAAAAATAATGAGACAACTAGAAAAAATATATCAAAATGATTGTCATTGGTTAAAGTAAGAGAGATAAAATTATGAGTGGATAAACTTTTGTGCTATGAATAGACTATGTATAAGTTTAGTTGACAATCAAAAAAAAAGAAAACTGACATAATTTTGGCGAACAGAGGGAGCATTATTACCATTTGTATGATACTCTTCCATGGTGTGGTTGGGTGTATCTTTACTCTATTTGTTTTGGTGCTTTCCTCTTTTGGGCTACTAATCTTCTTTTCGTCAGTTGATTTTCGACTTGGTGTGTGTCACATTATGGAATTTGTTAGAGCATGTGTATCGTTTAACATTATTCAGAAGTCCAGATCTGAATAAAATTGAATTTACAATGTTTCCCTATCCTTTTAAGCTTCTACGCCTTAATTTTAGCTCCAGATATCGAATTAAAATTCTTCCCATGGGGAGCTACCCTCGAATAATGGATGGCAACAACAATACCTATGAACTGTAAGTTTTAATACATACTGCTGCTCATCCGGATTTGGCATTAAATGGCAATGCTACATAAATGGGCGGGTTACTTGAGCGACGATAGGATGAAAATTAAATGTTTGCGTACTTTCAAAATTCGATGGAAAGATATTCGATGGCCTTTAAACCTCTTGATTTTGAATGAATGAATTGGCATTATTAGATCATTTTGTGTTACTTTTAAATGCCGAAGATTTAGTTTCATTTTCTACGTGTATCACTCTAACAAGATCGTGTGCATCTTTTTATTGACCTAGTTTTGATCCATCTCCCCTTGGTCGTACATTCGATGGCCTATAAACCTCTTTTGATTTTGAATTAATGAATTGGCATTATTAAATCATTTTGTGTTATTTTTATATGCCAAAAATTAAGGTTTCATTTTCTACGGGTATCAGTCTACCAACATCGCGTGTTCCTTTTTACTGTCCTATTTCGATCCATTTCCCATTAGTCATACAAATTAATTAGTTCACTGCTTGCACATTAACATGCCTTGTGTTCTTATCAGCTTCGGCCCTGTCAATGTATTTTGGAGCACTCGTTACGATAAAGCTATGACATTATTCTTGACCTGCCTCAAGGAGTTTGCAGAGTTTGCAAACTCGAAGGACAAAGAAAACAACATTCCTCCCGAGAAATGCTTCAAACTTCCATACAAGTAGGTGGAAATACTTGCATGATTAGTTATTTGTCATTCAAATTTATGCTCATTTTTCATGTTTAAGTTATAAAAAATATTTTTATTTCTCACTCTAGTAAAAAATCAATTAGGTTTTAGTTTTTGGGTTTGGATTTCTGAATAGTAAAAAGTTGAATTTGAATAGTTGTTTGATGTGATATAAATAAAAGTTAGATGTGATATTTTGAATGTAAAATAAATTTGTAGTATAATATGAAAAAAGAAAAGTAATTGTTTGATGTGATATTTTTTAAAAGAGAAAAGAATATGAATAGTAAAAACATTTAGTAAAATCCACAAAAGAATACAACTTATATTTTTGCTATAAAATGCAAAAAGTAACCATTATTATCCATTGTCATTAAAATGTGTATCCACGTATTTGAACACAAAACCTTACGACGGAGGGAGTATTTAATCGTGTTATCATTCTTCAAATTGCTACTTCACCAATTACATTTCGACTCAATTTCATAAAACGCAAGAAAGAACCATCTCCAGGTAACATCGATAATGTGTTATCCATCTGAAGACAATTGTGTGGTTCTATATTTGTATTATGTGGATACATTTCTTTTTAGGGTGTGTTTGGTTGGGGGGTTTGGATTTTGAATTCGAATTTGAATAGTAAAAAGTTTGAATTGAAATAATTGTCTGATGTGATATAAATAGACGATGTGATATTTTGAATGTAAAAGTTTTTTTTTTTAGTATAATATAAAAAAAATAGAAAATAAGTATTTGATTTGATATTTTTATGATAGAAAAATGTGATAAATAGTGAAAATTTGGGAAAATCCTCCAAATAAACACACCCTTTTGATCGACATTTGCAGGATAGAGAATGACAAAGTAGAAAGTTACTCGATCACACAGAGCTTCAATAAACCGGAGAATTGGACGAAAGCTCTAAAGTACACTCTGTGTAATCTGAAATGGGCACTCTACTGGTTCGTCGGGAACACAAACTTCCAGCCTCTCACTGCCACTGCTGCCGCCTCTTCCCATTCCGAAGCCCCCGGCTCAGCCTTGCTCTATAACGGCAAACGCCCGACTGATCCTAAGGTACTACGGTCTTGAATTGTTTAATTTTAATTATATATATTTGAATTTCTGGTAGGATACAAAAGGTGTTTATATATAAGTTGTGTGGGATTAGGCATCTAATTCAAGGGAATGTTTTATGTAATAAAAATTGGAGAGTTAATGAAGAAAGACTTGTGTTGTCGTCAATGTGCTACTGCTTGCTTACAATAGTTATTTAGTTAGTACTGAAATTGTTGTCTTCCAATGCCATATTTTACTCATTCGTGATACTCCTTTGTTTTACAAAGAATCCATTTATTTTTTTTTGTGTTTTTTTTTTTTTTTAATATTATTTATTATATCAAGAATATTTTTAATATTTTCTTTCCCTTAACTATGTATCTATTTATTTTTTGCACAAGAGTTTTAGAAATATTATATTATATTGTGATGTGGTATGAATAAAGTAGAAAAAACTAAAATAACCTTATTGTATGATATAAAGGCAATAATATTTATGTAATATGTTGTAAGTTGTAATAATATTTTTAATGTTGTAAAAAGTACGGTTATGGGAGCCTGGGACATAGACAATATTCATATTACATATACTCATATAGTAATTTTTAAAATGTTTAAATATTAAATTTATTAATTATATAAAAAAATAATAAAATAATATCGTAACTTACTATTATTAATTAATTAAATATTATTTTCTTAAATAGTATGTCACTAAAATAAATGTCAATTATCTTGGCATATTTTTCATTTAAATAATTTTTCATAAATATTATTAAAATAACTGATATAAATATACATTAATATAATATATATATATATATATAAGTATATATTTGTTCATTCACAAAGAATTAATAATTCAATAAAAAAATATTATTTTTTTATATTACAAACTAATTACTTGGCTTAAAAACACATCATCCAAACCCTATATACATTCAATTCCAAATATAATTTATAATTCATCATATTTAATAATTTCTCAGTCAAAGTGAAAGAGTAAATATATTAATTTAATTGCTTTTATAAATATATAATGTACTAGGGTTGTGTAAAATTTGTTTTATCTTTGACATTAGAGCGATTAAAAATCAAGGACAATAAAGCAAAATATATTTTGGTATTTAATTAAAAATTTCACTAAAAAAATTACTTGTCGATCTTATTTAATTTTTGCATTCTTTCTACTTTTGTTCGGCTAATATAATTTGTCATTTTTTTAAAATATAATTATACACTTTAATCATATTTTAAATTTCATAATTTATAATTTTTTTTATTTTAATCAAACTATTTAAACTTTTAAAATTTTAATCTATAATTATTTTTATTATATTACAATTATTTTTACTAATATATTTTTTAATTATTTGCTAGCTACTTACGCAATATCTAAAACTTCGTAAACTAAAGTAAACAAATTAAGTTAAAATTTCGTATATATAAGCTAAAGTAGACAAATTAAATGGAAATGAAAAAAATACTTTAAGTTAGACAAATGAAAACAACAACGATGGAAGAAGCATAAAATACTTTTTCGGTCCATTTACAATGTACACATTTACTTCTGGCACAAGATTTAATAAATAATAAATTTTAAATTATAGTGAGATAGTTAAAAGTAATGTATTAACATTTTTGTCCTTGTTTTCTTGTGTAAAAGTAACAATGTAATATAAAGTAAAAGTATTTGTTAAAAAAATAAAGTATTTAATAAAATATTTACTTTGTAATTAGACCTAACTGAGACGGAAAGAGTATTAGTTTTGTAAAATTGTTGAATTTTTTTTTTTTACGTAAAATATAGAAAATTACATTGATAATATAAAAATAATGAATATCAATAATGTATTAATATTTTTTTTGAAAAACGAGTAAAAAAAAAAGTAGAAAAAGAGCAAAGCTATGAACTAATCAAAATTACAAACCCTACCTAAAAAATGTTAAAATAAAATAATTTATGAGTGAAAGGATAACCCTATTGGGATTTGGGAGTCTGAATTGTGCCGCTAAGCCCACGTGATCCAACTGTGCAACTTCAATTATTCTGGCCATGGCCGCCATTTGTAAAAATGGCAACATAAATAAATATCCACGTTATTCTCATTGCATATGAGAGAGGAAGACAGAGAGTGTGTCGGTGATTCTGTGATTGCAATCCACTGACCATTTTCTCGTGGACGAATGTCGAATCTAAGAAAAAGATGCGCTCTGTTTTCAGGTTGGATTGATTTGCGTATTCACAGTTGTTTTCGTTTCAAAAGTTTGGAATTTTTTGACTGGTAGGTAATGCTTGAGGATTTTGTTCTCGAATTTGATTAGTTTATAAGAACGCGCAGTTTGCCTCGATTTCTCCATTCGGATTTTCGGATTAATGCCTGAATCTGGAATGAGATTCGTGAGCTATTTGTCTTTTCAGTTTGTGATTTTATTTTTTTTAAAATTTAATTTTTCGCATAATTCTGGCATTCAAACCCTAAAATTGCCCTGAAATTGGGGAAGATGCTTTGTTTTGACTGATGTTTTGTCTGTTTGATTGGTTGTTCTTTGCACACTCGAAGAATTCTGTTATTTAATTCATCGTCTTTCTTGAAGATTCTGAGGTCTTGTTTGGTAGTTGAGTAATTTCCATCTCCAGGAGACCGTGCAAAAGCCACTAAGTTAGAATCTGCTCTGCAACTTACTACGAACAAACATCGTAGATCTATCTATTTGCATACATACATAAAATGAAAATTAGGGTTATTCTGGTGCGTCAGTATAGAATAATTTGTGTTCTTAAGTTCGTTGATTTTTCAGGTTTTATACATTAGGTTTCTGGTCATTTTTTGCTGATATTTGTTAAACATTTGAGTAAAAATTGGAACTTTTTCTTACTAATTATTAAGCATTTACAAGAGATTGTTATTCGAACTCAGGGTTGCTGAAATTTCAAAATATGATGATACTTTTGGTTAGCCTCGTTGAAAATTAAACTTGAATTTATATTAAATTAATACACGGACGGGGAATGTGTTTGGTGAATAATTGATATAAAATTGAAACAAACACATAAAAGAAGGGGAGACCAAATGCATACACACAAAGAATCAAGTTTTAGTTATGTTTCTTAGATCCAAAACATTATTTTATTTTTCTTATTTTTGTGTTCTTTAGTTTTGTTTTTCGGAAAATTGAAATTGCAGTTTATCCTTTCAGAATTTCATGTCTTTCTTCAACGTGTTCTGTTACTTAACCAATTGTCGTTTAGTTGCAGTTGATCATTGCATCTGAGCTCCGCACATTCTAATTTACGGACAAAACCTAGCTAGATTCTTTCGACAGCATTAAACTCGATCGTAAGGATGAGCCAACTACCACATTCTGCAGGAAGTTCAGAATCGCCATCGAAGACAGAGTTATTGGATGCTCCTCTTCACACAATTGGCTTTAAAGTCGACAAACTTTCGCCTGAGAAAGTTTCTGGACACCTACTGATCACTACCGAGTGCTGTCAGGTGTGCCGTGGTGTCTGTCTGTTAATTTTCGATTTGCATAATTGGGGATTGACTATTTCAATTCTTGGCGATTGTCAGCCGTTCAATAAGCTCCATGGAGGTGTGTCGGCACTGATAGCTGAGGCTTTAGCGAGCATGGGAGCTTACGTTGCTTCTGGGTATAAAAGGATAGCCGGTATACACCTCAGCATTCATCATCTGAAAAGCGCACAGGCCGGCGACTACATTTACGCCGAGGCTACACCAGCCACTCGTAGCAAGTCCGTACAGGTAATTCCTTTTATAGCATGTTTGTCGAAGTTAAGATGAAGCTCCAAGATGAAGTTTTTACAGTACCTATTCCTCTAATAGTATGTTTTTTCGATGCTTGGTAAGTGACTTGTTGTGAGGATACAATGCAGGGGCGAAAAACCTGTGCTTCACTTTGTTTATGTAGAAGTTTTGAAAATTTTTTAAAATGGTACTCCCTCCGTCAACTAAATGCATGCTCATTTGGATTAGATATGAACTTTAATGAGTATAAAAACTCACAAAATATAAATATTTCTATTTTAGATTGTTCAATTATAAAGTAATTATTATTATTTTTTTATAGTAACTATGGACTCTACTTTTTTTTTTCTAGAAATGTCCTTACTTCACCATCATATCATTTCTTTTCAACAAGAGCAAAATTATCTTTACATTACAATTAAGATACTATTATTTCTAAATTTCGCATCAAAAGTAAATGTATATTTTTAAAATGGACGGAGTGAATATTATATTGATTGATTGTGACATAAAATAAAGGTATTTTGAGAAATATATGAATGAGTTAATAAAGTGAGAATTTTTTTTTATAAATTGACGGTGTAAGTAGTTGTGACATTTTTGTAAATAATGTAATATGATAGGGTATAAATTAAGGAGTATAAAAATTATTTGTTATATGGAAAACCTATATTTTTTTTAGACAAACAAAAAAGGACAACATGCATAGATTTGGTGGGCGGAGGGAGTAAAAGGTTTCTTATATGATATTCTGTAAGAGAAAATAGTTATTCGATAGATGTATTTAAAAACAATTATCATTGATAAATAATATCACAATTTTCAAAATAGTAAGTTTGTCGATTACATTTATGCCGAGGCTATACCAGCCAATCATAGCAAGTCCGTACAGCCAATTCCTTTTATAGTATCTTTGTCGAAAAATGAAGCTCCATGATGAAGTTTTTACACTACCTATTCCTTTAATAGTATGTTTTTTCGATGCTCGATGAGCGAACTTGTTGTGGTTATACAATAGCAGGGGTTCGTCTGGGCTCCATCTACATAGAGGTTTCTAAAGTTTTCGAATTTTTTTTATTACAATAGTTACTTGATGTGATGTTTTTGCGAAAGAACATAGTTATTTGATAATATTTTTCCAAAAAAGTTAATATTGATGAAGTGTCAAAGTTTTAAAAAATGTCTACGTAAACACATCCTTGCTCGCTTGGATAAAAAACCCGGGGTCCATTTATGTAAACGCTTTTAACTTTCGGAAAATTTTGAAAATAGTAAAAATTTAGAATATTTGATATGACGTTTTGTGAGGAAAAATATATTTGGAAAGTGTTTGTTTGGGGGTTAAGATTTTGATTTGGGATTTGAATAGTAAAAATTTTGAATTTGAATAGTTGTATGATGTGATATAAATAGAGAGTGAATCAAAAATTGATTTTTAGTATAATTTAAAAAATAAAAAATAGGTGTTTGATTTGATGTTTTTGAAGGTGTTAGATGATATAAATAACCGACGCATCATTAATTTATCTATCTACAAACAGGAGTCAACCAATAGAAGGGAAAAAATTTGATGAATAGTAAAAGTTTTGTGAAGTTTGATATAAGAACACACCCATGTAACTTTTTTGAAAATGTTGTTGTTAATGAAGTGTTAAAAGTTCTAAAAGTATCTCGGTATATAGATCTCCGCTCGCTTGAATTAAGAATTTTCAAATTATGATTATGTGTAGGTGTGGGATGTCCGGATCTGGAAGCTCGACCCATCCACGTCTGAGAAGCAAGAAATGATCTCGTCGGGAAGACTCACTGCCGTCTCTAACTTGCCCACCCCCGAATCCGCCAAGGGCGTCGCTCAAATCTACCAAAAGTATTCCAAATTATAGCATGTTTCGACTCTCCTATACTCTCGAATATACAGTTTATTGTTAGTACCGTTATAAATGGATCGAACTACTTGTTTTCAACTTCGCCAAAATAATATTTTATCTCTATGTTGTTTTATTCTATTTGCTTTAACATATGGATTATTACATCATCGTTGCTGTTCTAAGCGTTCTAAGCGACAGATGGATCAAACTCCTCGACGCAGCCTGGAGGTAACATTTTTCTCTACATTTTATTCATGAAGTGCAATATTTTACATAAACTTTTACTGCCTAGTATGTACATTAGTATTTGCTGCACTTTATTTACGCCTATTGACACATTCGAGTATTTACACAGTAAGTTTTGATTTTGAGTTTTTTTTTTTCAAGGACAATTAGGGGTAACATTTCCTATCGTCTTCAAGTTTACGTTGTTGCAGAGAGCTTCTGGTTTTGTGTTATTTACGACGGGCAAATTCACATTTTGCAGGAGAATTCCATGGCATGGATAGCTCTTGCTGCAGTCGAATTTTATCGACGGATTCGCCGCACTCATCCCCTCGATGTTTTTGTACACGATGTTCTTCACTTGGACTGCCGAACTCTGTGAGAGACATCTCGGTGGTAAGTTAAATCTGGTTTTTAGTTACTGATTTTATATTTACTGTCCATGAAGTCTGTGTTCGTTATATTGATTGATTGTGATATAAAGTAAAAATATTTTGAAAAATATAAGAGTGAGTCAACGATGTGAGTGAAAAATTAATATTTAAAGATCAACTAGTAAAAAATAAATAGGTGCGTAGTATTAAGAATTGTGTAAGAGATATTTGGTATAAATGGAAATAGGACTTAGGCCTTTTTAGATTTGAGTTTAAAATTTATGAATAATAAAAATGTAAATTAAAATAATATTTGATTCGATACTAATTTAATAGGTTTTGTACGAAAGATTGTGCGATAGATTACATGAAAAATATATACTTCATTCTTCCGCCTCTAATGATCCTATTTAACATTAAAAATATATTTTTGCAATTTTTTTTTAATTTGTATTATGTTTTGATATAATAATTAATATTCAAATTATAACGGACGAAAGTATTTAATTGAATGGTTTTGGGAAAAAATTTAATGAATCATTGAAGATAGAACTAGACTTAAAAAAAAAAAAAACACTTATTTTATAAAAGTATATTATTATTATTATTATTATTATTTTATTATTATTATTATTATTAAAAATATCATATTTAAATAAGAAAAGTGAGATTAACCTCAACTAAAAAAATGGCATAATAAAATAATTGAAGCGAGAATATAAAAATGACCTGTTGTTTGCAGGGTTGATCTTGATCACAGTATTGTTGGTCAATAATGATAGGATTATGCACATTCTGCATCTGAATATTCTGGAATTTGATGTTACTTGCACTTCCTGATCCACCCTGCAATATTATTCTATATTATATTTTATTATTTTATTCTTTATAATTTAATTATATTCTATATAATATTATATTATTTTATTCTTTATAATTTAATTATATTTTATATTATATTATATTATTTTATTCTTTATAATTTAATTATATTTTATATTATATTATATTATTTTATTCTTTATAATTTAATTATATTCTATTATATTATATTATTTTATTCTTTATAATTTAATTATAATAAATAAATGTTTTAGTAGTATTAGTAAACGCCAACCTGCCATGTCTTAATTCGGACACCATTAGTGGTTCCAGAAAGCTTTGCTCTGTTAACCACAACATCTGACACGTACTCTTCCGAGTTTCCTGAACCTAAGCTTCCAATGCTGCATTTGCCAATCCAATCCCAAATAAATAAATAATAATGAAGGGAGCGCACGGTTCGAGTATTTGCAAATATGCAACTATTTGATATCCGAACTGAACCGAACAAATATATGAAATCGCGAACCATATCTGAATCGAAAATTTCGGTTGACAAAAAATATTTGCACATAATTCAAACCGAACCGAAATTAAAAGATATATATTAAAAAATAATTAAAATTCTAATTAAGTAAAAATATTTCAAATATTCGAACCGAAACCAAACCGAAGAACAAATATCAAATATTCAGTATTTATATTCGAACTGAATTTGATCGATTAACCGAAAACTCGGTTCGATTCAGTTCGTTTAATTTGATTTGTTTGCCTAATCCTATTAATAATAATAATAATAATAATAATAATAATAATAAGTTGCATAAATTATATACATTCCTGCAATAATTAATCAGTACACAGACTCTCTTTATTCTACTTTAATTTTGTATTTGTATTCTATATTTGCATAATAATTGGATGTAATATTTTGTTTTAAAAAATACTCCATATACTTCTATAAAGATGAGTAAAAGTTACATAATAAATTTAGAAGCACACACAACTTATATACATGCTATTTGATTTTGACATTTTTGGGAAAAAAAAGTATAGTAAACTGATTTATTTAATTATGAAAAAATGAACGCTATTCACTCCATATATTTACATACTTTTTTAGAATTTTGGTACAAATTAATTTACAATCATTTTGAATATTTTCGTCTAAAGGGATCTTTGGTATCGTATACTATTTAATATTAATTATTGATATAATAATATATCAAGCTTAAATTTTAAATAAATAGAAACTTAATATAAAAATAGTTCGAAACACATTCAATAATTAAGTACCTTTTAATATTAAAATTTCAAATTTATATGTAAATTTAAATTAAGGGTTATGAATTCGACTCGAACCTGATCCCATGGCCCGGCCCACAAGTAATATCAGTGGCTCGGATCTTCTTTGATCCATCTACGATGGAAATACAGTCGTCGCCCGTGCTTATTACGCATTTGCGGATATTAAGGTTGTGAGTAGCCGTGACATGGATCCCGTCCGTGTTTGGACTTTTTTCGGGTGCATTCACCTTAACGTTGGTTATCTCAACATTGTTGCATTGCTCGATCGACATATGAATTTGTTGCGCATTTTGTACAGCAATATCCTTTACTCTCAACTTCGTACACTTGTAGAATGTCACAGCCTGTAATATCAAAAAAATAATTCCAAAGTTTCCGATAAAAAAAAAATAAAAGAAAAAATTCCAAAGTTATAAAAAAAATACTAATATATATATATATAGTTAGGGAGGAAATTCTCAGCATCATCCCTTCCCGCCCCACACATACCCATGTATAGATACATAAATGTGTATCTATAAAGTTGTATAGATACATGGGTGTGTATCTATAAAGTCAGATACCCATGTATCTATACATAAGTGTATGATGATGTTGAGAGTGGACAACGAGGGGTGATGCTGAGGATCCCCTATGTATTTAGGATGAAATAATTGTCTTTAAATTATTTACTTATGCTGATTAAGAAAAAAATAAATATTATCTCCGTCCGGTAGTAAATTTATAGTTTAATTGTTGTACGTGGATCAAGGTAAATTAGTATTATATATATAGTGTAATAAAGTAATATAATATTTATTTTACTCTTAAAAATTAATATGAGAAGTAAAAAGTAGGAATATTTTAGTATTTAATTAAAAATTACTTTTAAAAAAGATGATAACTTTTTATTTAGATAGACAAAAATGAAAAAAAAAATTTAATAGTGGACGGAGAATATATTATTTATGTGGTAAATAATATTAGTAATGGATATAAATTGAGGTAAATAAATATATGTACCGTTGGAGCCTTCACGCATGGCTGCAATGCGACATATGTCGATAAAAAAAAAAAAAAAAAAAATAGTTAGTTAAAACTCAGCATATTTATTCTGTGTATATATTATTACACTTTATTATAATTTATTAAAAATATTATATTTAAAATCCCTTTCACCTAAAAAATATTGAATGTATTCCTTTATATTTTTATTTTTATTAATTTTTTTTTAAAAAAATGAAACAGTAAGTTAATTTAATTTTTATTTTGCATGAAAAAACTAATATTGAACGTAAATTAATATCAAGATTTTGTTCAAACATTCATGTGTGTAATTTGATACTTTTTCATAAAAAGAAAAAAAAAGTGTTTTCTATTTTTTTTTTTTTCATTACAGATGTATTATTTTGATAAAAATAAATATTGAATATAATATTTTGAAATTAAAAACAGATGTTTTTTAGAAGAAAAACTATAAATTAAATATTAGAAAAAATGAAAAAAAAGGACCCAATCATACAAAAAAATATCTAGAATTAATCGACATATATAACCTTAGATTCATTTATTTTGCAAGAATTTTGCCACCATATATCACCATTCCCATCAAAGCTCCCGCTGCCTTTGACAACCAAATTTCGGATATTATCAAAAAGAAGCCAATGCCTCATGTCTTTTTTGTATTTGGAACGATCGTTCGATGCTAAGACAACTCCGTCAATCTGCAAACAATTTTAAAATGTCGTCGTAAAATCAATTTTCAATTATTTCAAATATTTTTATGTATGATGCATATTATTTTTTTCCAAAAATGTCCTCAAAACATCATAATCCAATAATTTTATTTTGTTTTAAAAGAAAACATATAGAAATTGTATAGTTAAAAAATAAAAATCAAAATCAAAATAAACCGAGTCTAGAAGTTTCATAATCATAAAAAAAATATTATGGCTATTGACAACATATACTTCCTCAATTCCATAAGTAAATATACATTTGCTTTTTTTTTTTTTTTTTTTTCAAACGTAGTTTTAGAAATATTAGTATTATATTGGGATATAGTAGGAATAAAATAGAAATGACTAAAATAACCTTATTAGTATGTGTAATATAAATGTAATAATATTTGTGTAATATATTATAAATTATAAGGGTATTTGTAATGTTAGGTAGATAGTACAATTACTAAAAAAGGAAATGAATACTTTGTTATGAGACGGACGAAAATGGAAAAATGGATACTTTGTTATGGGACGGGGGAAGTATTATTAAGCCTAACAAACAAAATTACATTAATCTGTCCCAATCTTAATTGACATTAAATTTAAAAATATACTATTATACTCCGTTTTAAAATTTTTGTTACATTTACTTTGATCATGGTTTTTTTTTAAATAGTATAATTTTGATAATTTTTTTGAAATAATTTTATAAATTGTATTAAGAAAGGTAAAAACTAAAAGAATTGAGTATAAATGAAAGAAAACTGAAAAAATTTCATAACATTCTAAACTTAAAATAATGCTAACAAAAGATTTGATACATATAGAATAATTAATTAGATACCATTCAACAAAAATAATACTACTATATATTATGAGAATGGTTATAGTGCTTATTACGGATAATTAGCAAAATTAGACCTAATCAATACATGAAATATGAATTATCAGCACGTAATTTCAATTGTTATAAAAAGTATTGTGTAAATTGTTATAATGTATTCCTTGAATGTATTTTCTGCGCAGAATGTATACTTTTGCACACAGATTTAGGTATATTAATATTTTATAAATGTGTAGTATAACAGATGAGTGTAAAATATATTTTACTCTTGATATTAGTGGGACTAAAAGAAAGAGTATTTTGATATTTAGTTGAGACTTATTTTTACTTAAAAAATGGATACTTTTGATTTGGACAAAGAAAAATTGCAAAATGAATACATTTGATTCGGACGGAAAAAGTATATTTTACAGGTGTATTGTATAAATATATATTACCTCCGTTCGGCTCTAAAGGGCTACATTATTTACTTTTTGCATCACTGAATATTAATTATTATATCAAAACGTAATACAAATTAAGGGTAAATGACAAAAAATATTAGTATTTTATAATACTAATTGAATGATATTTGTACAAAAAAAATTATACAAATAGAAGAATATTTTTAATGTTAAGTAAAATAACTCAAAAGGTAAATGTAACTCTTAGAGCCGGACGAAATAAATATTTTGTATTAAGATTAATAGTAATATATATTGCATAAACGATTGTCATATATTGTAAATTTATACTCCCTCAATCCCACATACCATGTCCACATTGCTGTTTTTGTCCGTCCCACATTCCATGTCACTTTCATTTTTTAGAAAATGATTATACACTTTAATTTTATTTAAACTTTTTAATTTATTTTTTTTTAATTTTAATTAAACTAATTAGGTATCTTAATCTTAATTTATAATTATTTATATTATAGGATAATTATTTTTACTAATACATTCTTAATTATCTACTAATTATACTCCTCCTACAATACCGTATTTACAGTGTAGCAGACACGGTATATGGGACGGAGGGAGTAGTATATTATTGTATTTATATTTTATTAATATGAACATCATCCTTTAATTTATACTTTATGTACTAACCGTCCATATTTCATGTACTACGGTACAATAATATCATTTAATACCATATATATATATATATATATATATAAATGTACCTGAAATGTTAGATGGGAAGTGGTGCAAGGGCCAGAAAAGGTTATGGGATTGAGAAGGAATGTATGATTTTGTGGCACCACAATCATAATATTCATGTCTTGTGATGACACACAACTTTCTTCCCAAGCTTTCTCAAATGCCTGCATATATATATATATATCAAATTAAATATTTATTTTTTTAAAATTATAGGTAAAATTGTTTATAACTTCCTGTAATTTCGAAATTTAGCGTAAAATATTCTTATACTTTAAAAATTATATGGTACCCTTTATTATACTTTAAAAAATATTGTACGAAACCACTGTCATAAAACCTCCCTTGTGTGATGAGAATATGATTTCTTATCTCTATTTTTTGCATGGCGGGAGTTTTATGCAATATTTTATAATGTATAAGGAGGGGTCATGCAATTTTTAAAATAAAATGAGAATCCGAGTTTTAAAACTATATAGGGGTTTCATATAATATTTTTAAAAATATATGGGGCACCATGTAATTTTTAAAGTAAAAAAAAAAAATTATACTGAATTTCGAAACCATAAGAGAGTTAATGAACATTTTTTTCTAAATTATATTATAAAAACACAACAGCCAAACCTATCGAGTTTCACAGTTGCTATTATAATTATATATGGGAAAATAGGTTATATTCTTTTCTTTTCTTTTTTTTCAATTTTCTTTTTTAATATGTAACTACACAATTTCTTTATCTATCTTTTTATAAAATATCATATCAAACTATTATTTAAATACAACAACAAATCAATAAGTGCTGGCAAATACGAATTCAATCATTAGTTTATTTTGCATGCATTGGCTAATTTCATTTTTTATGTAGCTTCAACATTTTCATTACACAAATTAATACACACTCCAACTTTTCAAAAATAAAATTTCCCAAATCGAAGATACAAAAAACCCTAATTCGATTAGATATATCTTCATGAGCTATCAATTTTAACCAATAATAATTTCGCCAAATGTGGCATCATTTATTTATTAAAAAACGAAAAAAATAATAGTAACTTACCAAAATTTTAATCATAAAAACAATAGTATTGTACGATTGGCTTGTAGTACACACACACAAACACGTTCTACATTAACCGCGAAATTGATCACAAAAATATTTTAAATATTTGTTGTAAAAATATTTATATAGTTTGCTATAAAATTGCCTATAACATTTTTTTTTTCGGCGAGACACATGTTTTTATTATCATCAACAAAACCATATTGATGCTAGACAATGCACAATTTTATAAAACTAAATATGCTCTAAGGGTGTGTACTACGAAGAATTATTTAATAACCGAGTAATAATATTATAAAACGATTATCAAACAATCATTTTTAGTAAGCATACCCGAAATATATTATGTATGTACATACACACATTACCTTTGTATCATCGGTTTTTCCATCACCTTTAGCTCCAAAGTTTAGTACATTGATTGATTTCTTACGAGAAACCTTAACTTCTTCGATTCCCTTTTGTAAATGAGAAATTCCACTATCAATGGCGAATGAATTGTCGAATTCAACACCCTCGTCGGAGGTAAAGTACGATGGATAAGCTTCGAAAGCATAACCATATTCGTCTCGTATGTAATTCGGAGGAATTTTGTTTGGAAGCTGGCTGTTGGTACTAAAACAAGTTAGAGAAACAATAACAATCAAGAATGTCAAGAAATGCTTATGAAGCCCCATAACTTGATAAGTAATAAAAACCCTTTTCCCTAATGAAAGAAATTAATGATTTTGATGGATCTATATATATATATATATATATATATGTGTGTGTGTGTTTTAAATTAAAATGATAATGAAACCCTAATTTTTGGGGGGATGTATTTTTTGTGTGTGGAAATGATGGATGGGTGAAAAAGTCTTGCATGCTTTGTTGTGTATTTATAGAAGTAGATTTTGTGTTTGAGAGGGGCTTGGGGTGGGGTGGGGTGGGGTGGGGTAGGGGGGGTGTTGTATACGACTCTATAATAATAAAATGGAAAAGAGGGTATGGAGGAAAATCAAGATTTGGACGAAAGGGGGTTTAGAAACAGTTGCTGACTTTTGGTTGCATGCTTGCATAATATATATATATATATATTTATAATTATTATTTTCCCACAAAAAAAAAAAAAATAAAAATGCAATTTTCAATTATAATATAAAATTCTTATATGCTTCTTAATTTTCATCATTTAACATTATAACTACTTACAAAAATATTCAAGTATTTACACACTTAATTAATAAAAATAAAAAAAATCCACATTATTAACCTACTCATTTACTTTTCAAAATATTCATATTTTATATCATAACCAACTAATATAATATTATATTTATTAAAATTTATGTTCAATTCAAATTAATATATAATTAGTGAATGAGGAGAGTATTATTAATTTATTATATTGATTATTGAATATCATGATGAATTTAGGATAGCTTTTAGATTTAGTTAATGGTTTTTATTTCATGAACAAAACTCCAGTTATGGAAACAAAGCTTAACACTAAATTCGATTACTTGAATTAAATGACCAAAAAAAATTACCCAAACGTACAACACTTTGCACATTAGTATATACAAATATGTATGACTTCGTTTAGATATATATTTAGATTTTTAGATAATTTGAAAATTATTTTTTTTAAAAAAAATCGATATTTGATGTGTTATCTATTATTGTGAAAACATGTGTTTGTTTGAAGGAATTTCCCCCAAATATACTATTCATCTCATATTTTTCCCCCAAAAATATCAAATCAAACACCTATTTTTCATTTTTTATATTATACTAAAAATCAATTTTACATTCAAAAAATTACATCAACACATATTTATATCATATCTTACAATTATTCAAATTCAAAATTTTTACTATTCGAATTCCAATTAAAAATCTAAACCCTCTCAAACAAACACACCCTTAGGTAATATTTTTTAAAATAATTATTGTTAATAAATAATATTAGAACTTTCAAAATGATGTGTATGTAGATAGAGCTTATGTATGTGTTAGATATAGATATATATTTTTTAATTATTTATCTTATATACAAATCTTTTCATTAATACGAAAAATATCAAGATAACAATATATGTTGTAAAATTTCTAAGTTTGTTTGGTTTTGATTTGAATTTGTTATTTTAATTTGAATTTTGGTTTAAATAGTGTTTTCATTTGATATTTTATGAAATTAGGGTGCATTATTTTGTGTAATATTTGGGGTTAGTTTTTTTACTAAAAAAACTTTACACCTTTCTTTAAAAAAAATTAATATATTACACATATTTATTATTTTTATATTACATAAACAAATTTCTATATTTTAAATACAAAATACATCTTCAAATTATTTTACAAAACAAATACACCCGGGTGTAATAATTTTAACATTTAAGATAATAATAACTTTGGTCTAAATAGTACTCCTCATAATTTGTGTAATACTCTCCGTGTTCAATTTCTATTGTTCTAAAGTATATTTGTATAGTTTTTTAGGTGATTGTTTTTTTTATGAATTGACAAATTTGTCCTTAGTTGTATGGTAAATATTAAAAGTAATAAATGAATTAAGGGTAAAAATGTAAAATTTGTGTTTAAAAAAAAATAAAAATAGGACAATAGTTGTTGAACGTCCCAAATAGAAAATTAGGATATTAGTCTGTGGACGGAGGAAATATTTGATATTTTGTGAAATAGGGTGTATTAATTCTATTGATTTATTATTATTATTATATATATATGAATAGTAATTTAGATGTGATATTTTGTAAGAAAAAAATATTTGTATAGAAATTGCCATTGTTGCATAATAATAAAAAAATTTAAACAAATTAAAAATCCAAAAGATCACAGCCTTAATTAAACTGTATTTAGATGATTTTGTTGAAATAATAAAATATTGAGTATTTAAAAATGTTTAGTATCAAAGGTGATTTTGGATCGTAAACATAAATACTTAAATTTCTTAATGAAAATATGGAGTTTAAATGGCAATGTTCTATTAAATTTATTAAAATGAAAATATGGAGTTAAAATGTTCTATTAAATTTATATAATATATTTATAAGTTAAAATATTATATATTATTATAAATTTAAATAATAATAATATGGAGATTTATGTAGAGTATTAATTCCCAATTGATGGAACAAATTTGATTACTAAATAAAAAATTACACTTAAAAAAAAATAAAAAATTTGAGAAGACCTTGAGGGTCAGTTGACCCCCAAGCTCCAAGCTCCAATGTAGATAGTCACTATATATATAAAGCGGTTAGCGTATAAATAATAATATATGATAATACAATATATAAATTGCAGAATATATGTGTTTTTATATAGCATAATATTATATTATTGTTGTATGTACGTCGGCAATTGGAGTGCTGCATGTGGCAAAGGTGTTAATTGGATTCGTATTTGATTCAATACTCTAATTGCCGCCGTATAAATAATATCGAGACATGCGAGTAAGATAAGGAGTTTGTCAGATGCAAAAATAATACTCCCTCCGTTATGCAAAAATGTGTGTTCATTTAACTAGAGATGAGTTTTAATAAAAGTCAGTAATAATTGTTAATTTTTCCTCTTATAGTAAAAAACAGTATAAAAATATAATAATTTTTTACTTAAAAAATTAATGAGAATATTTTTCGATGACAACCTAACAAAGAAAGTGAGTATAAATTTGAACGAGGGATGGAGTATATATTTACCAATGATAAATATAAATAAGAGAGTTTGTTTAATTTGAATTGACTTAAAAAAGTGAAAATTAATATAAAAAAAAATAAAAGGAAAAAAATTGATTTTGTATGTGAATGAAAATTTATAAAAATAGTTTTGTTTTTTTCCTTTAAAAATAGAAGATTTGAATGCAATAAAGCTAAAAATATTTCTAACCTATCAAAAATACCGAAAAAAGACATGACTGAAGTAGATACATTTTATGACTAATGTCTTTATTATATATTATTTCATAATTTTATGAATTAGAAATTTATAAATATAAAAAAATATAATATTTTTTTATTTAATATTTCAATTATTATTATTATTACAAAGTTCGAGTGTCACCTATTTAGGAATTATTTCTTTAGACACAAAATTTCAAATTTCTATTATTTTAGACTCTGGGTTTCCAAAAAAAAATGCACTTTTTCTTCTTACTGAATATTCTATCATATGTTATTTTAATATCAAACTCAATAATTACTTTGGATCAATTACCATGCATAGAAATGGATAAATTAGTAATTTTAGAATTAATGCTTTTGGAAAAAATATATTTTATTTGACCGTTTACAAAGTATATATATATATTTCTTGGGTTATTTTATTGCAAATAATAATTTTAAAAATATCTCATTTTTTTTACAAATATTTATATTTTACTATCAAATTATTATTTTTACACTAAAAAATAATGACAAAATAAAATATGTTTATATTACTTTTAATTATGTATTAAAATTAAAATATTATTATTTTTTAAACTCTGCAAAAATTAAAATAAATGTATATTTAGATGATGGCATTTTCAAATGTGTTTTTTTTTCTTTTCTTTTCTTTGGTAAAAAATGAATCCAAATTTATTTTTATAAAACAAAAATCAAAAGCAGCTATGTTGAAAGCCATATATTTCAAAATATGAATACATGACTTCAATATCATAAATTCGCCTCCACACTACCAAATTATCTTTTACGCTATAGATATGTTTTATTTACCAAATAGGTGTGACAATAAAGATACAAAAATGATTCATTTAATTTAATTTTGATTTTCTTTGGAATTGAATACGTACGTATAAGCGAAGTCGAGGTGCCATACCTCGATTTCGAATTTATCTAAACTTGATATATATATTTATTTGTAGTACGTGGTTCGTGATTATTAACAAGAATTGAAGAAGTAATTAATTAATTAACGGAATAATTAAGCAACAAGTAAATGATATCATTAGCAAATAATGATGGAAACACGTATCTATAAATGGCCAAACTGATTTGATGTCTTAAATCACTTATAATTTGGATATGTTCAAATTTATTGCATGATACAATATAATACAATGCTTGTCAACATATGCATTATCATGAAATTAATTGATTATTATTATTATTATTATTATTATTATTATTATTATTATTATTATTATGCGCTGATAATTTATTAAAATTAATCAATACATATTAATTAAATTTTTTAAATTAAATGACGATATATATATATTTAAATATATGATATATTTGATTTTTGTTTACCGAGTATTCTAATTTGATATTGCTGTTATATTTCATTTACTATTTAGTTTTTGAAATTGGTTTATTAAGATTTGCTCATTTAGGTATGTATTTTTTATGTTATATATGATAAATTGTATTGTTAATATAAAAAATAATTCTATTATTATTTTTTTTTTTTGTAAATGTGTAAAGTATATATACTATTATATATTGTGTTAATGTGTATGCATATTGTGTTTTTTAAACAATATTTATTTTTATATAGAAAAAAGTCAAATGCCTTTGTTTCGTGAAATAATTGGAAATATATTTTTTTTACATAAAACATAGAAAATTTGAATGTGTATAATTTATTAATTTTTATTCAAAAAACATCTATACAAAAAATAGAAAGAACACAAAGTGAACAAACTCTAAATTATATATAAAAAATCATTAGTTTT